CCAATTGCCAGAGAGATCTGAGGTCACGCTGGGCACAAAATCGTTTAAACTTTTAATGACTAGGCTTCACCAATATTGCAACGTGCCCCCTCCTAGTACTTCTAACCTCCTTGCTTGCGTCCCATTCGCGTGCTCAGAATGGAAGCTTGTGCGTGTTGGTAAGGCATGATTATTTCGAACGTACAGCGAAAACGACGGGACGGAAGAAAGGAGACAAACAACCGCTGAACTTGCAACTGAAGTCTTAACCACTGTGGTCTTAACCGTCAAGGCGCAGCCTATATATACGATAAAACAAAAGGAAACACACAAAGCCAATAACACCCCACTGAAACACGCAAAATCATCGCGCATGGTGTCGTCATGAGCGCCTTCACGATTAAAACTTCACTTGCAAGCTCAGCGGTTGTTTGTCCCCTTTCTTCCGTCCCGTCTTTTTCGCTGTACGTTCGAAATAATCATTCGCGTGCGTTCCCGCAAGCAGCTTCTATAGTACCGCGGAAACTACGTTAGCAAATAACTGAAGGTGTACTACGTACAGCTCCATTGAGACAATTTTTTTTTTTTTTGACAACAAGAAGGCAGGCATGGATGGATGGATGTTACTGGCTATAGACCTTTGCAAAAATCGTCTTCTGCGCGCTGCCATCTTTGTCTGCTAGGCTGTGCAGCGCCCTCTGAGCATGCGCTGTAGCTCCGTCCTGCTATAATTCAGACGCTGCGCATGCGTCCACGGCTCAGTGACTCAGCATTTTTCGCCCGGGTGATAAGCGATGCAAAGGTCTATACCCTCTGTAGCGGGTGGTAGCTTGCGCCACCTAGCCTAAGTAAGACAAACATTTGATTTGATTTCCCGCGCCCTTCTAAGCCAATTTTCTACCCCCTAACTATCACCAGGTAGTGTGGGATATCACCAGGATGACCTTTGGGGGATCGGGCAAAAAAAATAAAAACATCACCCCCCGCCTCTTCCCCCCGGCGAGGGAGTCGCCAATTTTCCTCTGGTCAGACCTTGTCGGCGTTACCCCCGCACCGGACCCACTGGGAGACAGGGTTGAGACTTTGGGCCGGAGCCACGCGGGAGGGAGTCCCAATTTTCCTCTGTCCCGCCTGTCCCCAGCTGTGCTAGTTAGTTCTGTATCATTCAATTTTCCCTAGATAATTTCCACCAATATTCTAATCTCCTCTTTGTGACTGCAATCCTCTTCTCCTCCGTCCCTCCATCGTCGCCAGCAAACCCCAGGGCCCCGGCCAGATCTGTTACCCCTTCAGGGAGTGCAGGACGAAGCCCCGTGCCCTTTATTACCAAGTGCTCAAGTGTCTCACTCTCATTATGGCAAGCAGCACATAATGTGTCTATCTCCTGAAATTTAGCCCTATACGTCCTCGTCCTCAAAGCCCCCGTTCTCGCCTCGAACAGCAAAGAACTTCCTATTGAGTTGTCAAACACATTTTCCTTTCTTATGTCCTGCTTTCGTGACCTGTACACTGTTAGAGCTGATTTATCCTGCATTCTTTCTTCCCACATTTTCCTCTCTGCCTCTTTCACCCCTTTTTTCACTGAAGTAGTCTGTTCAGCCCCATCACCAGTGTGTAGGTATTTAAATGTAAGCTTTCGGGTTCGGTTTGTCCATTTTGTGTTTAAACTTTTCATGTACAAATATTTGAATACTTTCCGTGCCCACCGCGTATCATCCATTTCGGTCAACCTTTGTTCAAATTTCAACTTGCTAACTGCCTCCCTGCTCTCAAAAGACGACCATCCCATGTCCCCCTGTACTCCCTCATTTGGTGTTTTTCCATGTGCTCCCAGTGCCAGCCTGCCTACGCTTCTTTGTCGAATTTCTAATCCTGATTGAACCTCTGATTTCATGCACAGCACTGCATTGCCAAAAGACAGCCCTGGCACCATCACTCCTTTCCATATACCTCTGACCACTTCATATCTATTATAGTTCCATAGCGCCTTGAGCTTCATAATTGATGAATTTCTTTTCCCTTTTCTAATTATATTCTCCTCATGTTCCTCTAGATATTTCGCTCCCTCATTGAGCCAGACTCCCAGATATTTGTATTTTCCTACTTGGTCTATTTCAATGTCCTGTATCCTCAGGGGTTCCCTCTTTTTGTCGTTAAACACCATTACTCCAGACTTTTCTCTACTAAAACTCATGCCCATTGTGTCCCCTTCCTCTCCACATATTCTAGCTAGTTCCTGTAACACGCGATGTTCATTTTTACGCATCGTAGGGACACAGGGAGATGAGAAAAAGACGGGGGGGGGGGGGGGGGGGGGGGGGAGACAAGGTTTGCTCAACTTATGTTGTTTTTCAACATTCTGGTAACGTTTCAATTCCTTTATATGACTGCGTTTAATAAAAAGTTATTCTGTACGTTAAGGAGTACACTCAGTTTTTTTAATGGAATTGTGCATGGTCAGGACGGTCAGTGCTGAATGATCCGTCACTGTTTATTGTTGGTATTAAAATAATTCCACGCTGAAAATGTTGAAAGAAGGAAAACAGAGTGTGACAATGTGTGTAAAAACAAAAACAAAAAAGGGAACTTTTTTTTTCTTTTTTTTGGGAGGGAGAAACAATTACTGTAATTAGTCAACGAAGAATAACAGTGCCAACCATCTAGTGCTGGGAAACGTACTAGTAAATTTCATGTACTTGTACTTTACTTAAATTATTTTTCTAGTACTTTCCGAGGAAAGTACAACTCCCGAATTCAAAGTACATTCCACAAATTTGGTATAGTTAAATTTGTATGATAAAATGATGCTTTGTCAACTCTGAAAAGAATACTCGGAGGGATGTTCTACCCTCACTAGAAACACGAGCAGACGAACTGCATCGCTCCGTTTGTACTGCGGGCGGCTTTCCCGCAGCATTTCGAACACTCGCTACTCGGTTAGCGCAGGCGAGGAGGTTAAAAGTATTAGGAGAGGACACCCATGGGAGGATTGCTTGCGGAAGCCACCGTCATTTAAACCCCCCGAGTACAAGGCAGTGCAAGCGGCGCGAATTCAGAAGTCGGAGGGGCTTCTGAATTTGGTGCCATAACCGAAAATAACTTATGTAACTCCGATTACCCCTATAACGATATATACCAACTAAAAAAAAACAAAAAAAAAAAAAACACGCTGTTCAGAAGATCGAAAGGGCGCAATGGAAGTTTGTTATAAAGTAATTTACTTTAAAAGTACATTGTATTTATCGTGCCTTACTTTAAGTACATTTCGCCCCGTGTACTTACTACTTTACGTGAAATACAAAGTGTCCCCCTAAAGATCTAGGATTTTTTTTTTTTTTTCTTATTTAAAAGTTACAAGTGATTTTCTGAAAATTTGAATGGGAAAATGGGGGCCATTTTCGGGCCGCCATTTTCCCATTTTAAGAAAAGAAAGAAAACATAACTTTTGAAAAAGATGACGGTTGGTGCTGAACCTTTGGCATCTGAATAATCTGGTACGCCAGATGATAGCTCCATCAGAAATCCACTGTATGCTACATTTGGGCGGAGAATGAACGTTCGGCCAGGCGCACTCCGTTTTTGCAATTAATAAAACCCTGCAATTTTTTTTTTTTTTTGGGGGGGGGGGGGGGGGGGAAGTGGGGAACTTTGCCTCTTATTTTCTTTATACTTTACTTCAATACCTTTTCAGATGCACTTTACCAAAACATTGCAGCTACCGCACAGATTGCACGACATATTACCTGGTGAAATATAAACATTTGAACATAGCAACGAGTTGCGTCTTATACGTGAAAAGCTAGATCGACAAGATGTGCAGTGTCACAGTAGCTAAAAATGAATAACTAAAAACAAACAATATATATATATATATATACTGCAAACTGTACCTCCCACGATGGTCTCCCGTGGTCTTCATCTCCCGTCCACGATGATTCGCCAGATGATAGGTCCATCAGAAATCCACTCAAATTGCCAAGCGTCATAAAGTGAACCTAACACGAGACTCGCATAAAATAACTGTAAAAAAGTCTCAAAGCATTCGCCTCCCGATCAGCATCTTCGCAGCAGCCCGGTGATTTGGCGGGGGAGCCACAAGAGACTCGCACACGCTTACCGACCTAGCGGTGCTACACGGACAGCCGGAGACTCCGCGATCCGAAAACAGAAATGAAGATATCAAGATTTCGCATTTCGCGAACTTTCCGAAAACAACCGCCAGGGAGCGACACACCTCCACTGACTTGAAGGTACCTAGACGAGTACTTACCTAGGGAGAGACTAGAAGAACAAGAGAACCTTCCCTCTGTGGGGAAATTGAGCAGGGAAATTGTCCCTCTAGGACTCAAACTCGCCAACACGACAGATTACGACCATATGGAAGTATCGAATCAATTTGAATTACAAAACATATTAAAAACAAATGGAGAAGAGAAATTTGTGACCAGTACATTCATTTCCAAAGGCAGGATAGAAATTTATACGTTATATAATTGACGAATGACAGTTGCCAATGGCCTGTCCTTTCCAGGGGTTTGTCTAGGATTCACAAGCTGAAGGATGTTATAACATGATAAAACAGCGCGCAGAACACGGAGGAAAAGTACAGGTAAAACAAAAGACATGTTGAAGTATCAACTAGCTCAAACGACTTTACTGAAGGGTGTTAATTTTTTTGTGGACGGTAATGGGGTCCATATAACTACCCTAGGTCCATAACTACAAATCCTATGCAGGTTTTCTTTTTCGGGTGGGGACAGATTCACTTGAACTGGAGGTGTATGTATCCCTTCGCTAAATATGCCACACAATAAGACTGAGCCAGAAATAATAAAGAGGTAATGGAGTCGTTCTGCTACAATGAAAGAGCTTCTCTCATCTCTTTCCGCTTTAGCAGAGCAAATGCTGGAGAGGAGACTACCTCCTTTCCAACGTTCACTCTGCTGAAGTGGAAAGACATGGGAAAAGCTTTCTTAGCCCAATACAAACTACTCAAGGACTCAAAAAAAAAAAAAAAAATGGACAGTAGGAGTAATGTTTTTTATTGACTGAAAGAGAGCACATCATTAATTACATAGTGCATCTTTAACATAAAGTAACCAGCTGATTAATTAAAATTCAATATTGAAAGGATAGTGTTTGTGTTCCTTAGCCCTGCAAAAAAAAAAGGAAAAAGAAAGTTTAATTCACTACCGCATATTTTCCATGGCAAGTGGGTTCAATGTAATATGCATTTTTTAATCTTACCAAGGGAGGAGTAGAAAACGGTGATTCCTGTTAAACTTGTCAATTGCCTTCATCTCCTCAGGGTTGAGCTTGAAATCGAACACCTGCCACGACAGAGAATATGTGAAGCACATGTCATGAAATCATGTAATAAAACAGATATCACCCATTCAAAAGGCTTGCAGGCTTTTCCCATTTTTACGCTACACACTTCTTTACACGACGAGAGGCCAAGGAGGAGGAACCACTGAATCACCAGTAGGGACCTATATTATTGCTCTGAGGAACTAACAATTAAATTTGTTCAGAAAATTCGAAAAGAAATGTAAACAGTATGGTAAACTAGTAATGTCAATGTCTGAAACCAAAAAAAAACAAGTGGTTACATTACCATTACTGTTCAAGGGCCAGTCAATTTGATATACAGTGTTTTTTTCTAGGCTTTACAGATTTGCTTTGAAGAGCAGTGAAAGCTACACTAATGCGGTCTTTACAGGTGATTTATACGGCCAGAAAGATATAATATGAGGGGCCACAGGTCACAGTAAATAAAAAAAATAAAGTAAAATTTGTTGATAAACTTCTCAGTTAGTGAAAACAAACATATCACTTTAGTTAGAAACTAGTGGGCGCCATCAAAAACCACTTGTGTAATGGGTGTAAGGGTGGGAAAATGCAGATGGTCAGAGATGGAAAAACTGCATGAGTGCATTTCTGCACCCCCAGCTTTGATCCTGTCACACAAGTGGTAACTTTAGAGATCCATGCGCTTCACATGCGCTTCTAAAATTTTTCAAATTTATTATTTAGTGGTTTTTGATGATGACCAGCAAGTTTCTGATTGAAACCGTATGTGTATACTTGCTAATCAAAAAATTTTATTTAGGGGCAAATCCTGACGATTAGCCCCCAAATGTCCCCCTGGCCATATAACTCACCTGCACAGACTGCATTAATATAACTTTCATGGCTTTTTTTTTTTTTTTTTAACAAATCCGAAAAGCTTCAAAAAGCACCCTGTATATTTATTGTTAATATCATTCTTCCAAGCTAGTAAATTCTACTTACGTCCAAGTTTGAAACAATCCGCTCCTTTGTGACACTCTTTGGAATCGCAATCACTCCCCGTTCCAGTTGGTAGCGGATCAAAACCTGCATTGTAAGTGGCAACCAGATCAAGAAAATAGCCCATGCATCCTTTACTAAACTTTAAAGAGAAGAAAATTTCTAACAAAAAGACAAATCTGACGTCAAAAATGAATTACTGCATCTTCAGTGACACTTGTGAAATATCATCACTTACAAAACAACTCTGAAGTGGATTGGTACTTAGTTACATAAACTGAACAAGGATTGCTAATGGAGCTTTCCATCTCAAACATCCCGGACTTTGCGCTTGACCATTTTTGATTTTTAAAAGAAAATTCATGGCTTTTTATGTCAAGGTCTTTAACCTTTTCCTAAAATAATTTTCAGCAAAAAAAAATTTTTTTTTTATGGCATTAGTGTAGTTTGAATTTTTAAAATAGGCATAAAACTAGGCATCAATCAAGTAAAAGTAGGATTTTCTTCTAAATGCTTCACAATTTGTTTTGTGAAATATGAATGGCTTTTAGCTTGCTATGCTGGTAATCATAAAATTTTTATTGTTAAGATGTTTTTAATAAATTCAACAAAATGCAAAAAAAATGGAACTTTTCTTAATCTTTTTTTTTTTCATTATCTCTCTGCACCTGGCAATTAAAACTTTTTTTTAGTTGGAAGTCCTGTAGATGTATTACAAATGAAAAAAAATGTTTGAAGCTGTACAACATATTACTTCATAGACAAAAAAAAAAAAATTATTCTAAAGTTATAAAAAATCTGTTTCGCTGCCTAAACAGCTGTCTATTCTACCCCGAGGCAGTTCGAGTAAAAATATGAAGCATAACGGCTTTATAAGAACAGTTCATTGTTTATCATTCCTGAAAGTTTAACCAAAATGATTTTCGTCTAAACCAGGGGTGCACAACATGCGGCCCGCGGGCCGCATCCGGCTCACAGGCACTTCCTGTGCGGTCCGCCGACACAACACTGCGAGATATGCTCAAGATGGCAACCAGTGCGATGATGCCAGATACTGAAAACCTCTCTGCCAGTTAGTAAAAACCTAAGCAGATGCCAATAAACATTTTTTTGTTCCGCGTCATTTTTGAGCGCCTCTTCGCCGCACAACACGCCTCCTGGCACGTTGGTCAAATGACGTTTTAGCGAACATTGAGTTTTCATCGAAAGACGCTTTAGCGAATGGTCAGCTGCAGCGAAGCGGCGTTTACGGACGGAACAGCTGTGGGTTAACAATTTTGTGACAAGCTGCCGCCGCAAGGTTGACATGCGCCGCAGTAATACATTAAAACGTTGATTCGCTCAAATGACTGCTGTTCACTAAATTGTCATCGACTTGTGTGATATAGACCAACCTGATATGAGAGCCGAAAAGCTTTGCACGCACGCAAGGCAATTTCCGGTCGGGACTGTGATTTCCGCAGTGGGTTCTGCACATGTGCATTCTTGATTCGCAATAGCCTCGCGTATAAGGTCACTGGTGACAGCTAAACATGCGTCGCAGTCTGCCGCGGCCGCTTTCACTCGCCCTTCCTTTCGGCCACAATGCAAACAACGGCGGCTGTAGTGCGATAAGTGTATGTGACGCCACTGCATAGCAGGCTCATTGCACCCTTTGTACCCAATGTCAGCTCCCCTCACTCCAAAACTTGATGCCTAATCTGTGCCGCCATCTCCCGTCAGGGACTTCTCTTCAAGAAATGTTATTACGATAGAGCTACATCCATACTGTACTCCGTTTACATTACCATGGACTGCTGTGGACGCTGTGAACAATCCCAGCTAATCAAGCGTTGTGCACGTATCGCATCACCGCGGGTCGCCACTCCCATCTTGAAGCTCACGTGACATTAGTACGGCATCGGATTGGCTAGTGCCGCATAGCGTCCGCTGCGGTTCATCGTAAGGTGAAACGGTTTTGAAAGGAAAGGACCGACTGTAAGGAAGGGCAGGAAAACGAGGAGTATTGTTTCGAATGACCTTACCACTGACTAGTGCGATCGGGAACCTGCCCAAGAAAGAACTTTATTTTTCGTCAGAGTATGGCACTATAACGATGGGATGAAGCAGGTCAATCGGCACAGGCAAGTCCTTCTGCAGTTTGTGCAGATGCTGATGAGTGTAAGTAGGACATTCTTATTATTAAATTTTCTAAACTACGATGATAGCCGTCTTGTTTTTACTCATCCTAATGTTTCACCGGCTCTGTTCAGTTGCAATGACTATGGCATTTCCGCTGAGTGGAATTTTTTTGCTACATCCCACTGGAAGAGTGCTTATGACGGAGTTGAAAAACAGGGAAGCGTTTGGCAGCAAGGGCCAGTCTTCGAAGTCCCTTTCAGAATCAAATTATGACGCCTTATCCTGTTCACCTGGGCTAAAAATAACACTGGAGGTATTACTATTCTCTGGATTCCAAAAGAAATGCTTGCAGAAAAACAAACCCGAATATCTAAATGATTCAGCTCAACGATCCACGTCAAAGGGACACTGAGGTTTCATCACTTCAAGCCAGCATCACCTTCAATGCTATGTGCTGGATTTATGCCCTATTCAAAGACACAAGAATTAGCAGTTGTAAAAACAATTTTAGGCTTGTTCTCCTAATTCAGAAATTTCACCAAAGAAAATCACATTAGCAGAAAAGCCAACAAGGCGTGAACCTTCGTCTGCCGCACGACCAAGAACATAGTGCTGCAGCTATCTGTTCAACAACGTATAGTTCAGGTCGTTTTCATAACACATACTCACAAGGCTTTTATGCTGCTGCTTACGTGTGTCTTGACACTGACAAGAGGGACAAATTGTGGTGTGAAACAAGAGACCTGCTGGTGGATATGCTGCCCCGGCAGCACTAAAAAAACGGCAGATATGACAAGCCGTGCTAGATAACGAGAGGACTCCACCTCATACCATGGAAGCAGAAGCACGCCTTTTCCCATGAATACCTATACGACACCACAGCTTTTCTGTGCCAACCTGTGGTAGACTGTCTGGGTGCAATGTCAACAGTGGCGTACTGGGGCCCTAAACCCGTCAACCACAAACTTGGAGCCAAAAGGTTGCGGAGCACGCCGACTGGACGCCGGCGAAAAAAGCAAAAGTCATCGTCGTGATAGTCCAATCGGTGCGCTTCGTCAACTTCAGCCCCAACTTTGTGTTTGACGAGTTTAGAGCCCCTTTGTGGTGAAGAAGAGCTAAGAAACCAGTCCGGGCTGCGACGTGGGAGCCTCAACTTCAATATTTGTTTTCTGGATTTAGACGAAAATCATTTTGATTAAACTTTCAGAAATGAAAGACAATAAAGTCTTCTTATAAAGCCCGTTACGTTTCATATTGTTACTTCAACCACATTAGGGTAGAATAGACGGCTGTTTAGGCAGCAAAGCAGACTTTCTTACAACTTTAGAATTCCTTTTCTCTGTGAAGTATTTTGTTGTACAGCTTCAAACATTTTTTTCATTTGTAATACACCTACAAGGCTTCTAACAGAAAAAGTTTTAATTGCTAGGTGCAAAGCAATAGTAAAATAAAATGTTTAGACAAAAGCTCAATTTTGGCATTTTGTTGAATTAAAAAAAAATATATCTTAACAAAAATTGCATAATTATTACAACATAGCAAGCTAAAAGCTGTTCAAATTTCATAAAACAAATTGTGAAGCGTTATCGATTCATGCCTAGTTTTACACCCATTTTACAAATTCAAACCACGTTCAGGTCGTATAAAAAAAATTTCGGTGAAAATATTTTAGGAAAAAGTTAAGGACCTTAGGAAAAAAAGCTAAAACTTTAAGAAAACAAAAATCGGAAATGGTCGAGCGCAACGTCTGGGACGTTTGAGATGGAATGACCCTAACATTAAAAGTGTGCATCGTGGAATACAGTGCAAAAGATATAATGGATGAAGAATGAGTTACCAAGTCTCGTCAGTTCTCATTCTTCTTCAGTCACATTTTTTACACTGTTTTCATATTGCATTCGTACCAACTAGCCCTATTTTCCATTGTAATAGAGGTGTTCCTAATTACAGTGAGTGTACACTACTGCAGATGACTATTTATGCAGGCCTAGCTGGTCAGCACGGAGACAGGGTGTAATTGCAGAGAGGTTCGGCATAGAATCCTTGCAACAGGATACCTGAGCTGGAGTTTTTCCGTGAGCTTGAGCTATCTCTTTGATGGCTGGCTCTTCCATCAACGAGGGATCTCCTGGTTTGGCCCTGGATATTAAAGGAACGCCGAGTAAGTGCAATTCTGACGACATAGACGATTAGCACACAGATCAAGAATAGCCTGCAAGTAATCTAATGGTGCTGTAGACGAGGGACTAAAAACTCACCAAGGACGATCGGGAGATCCGAGAGGGCTGTAACCGGTGACCTTGATGTCGAGTTTCTTACAAAATTCGATCAGCTGACTCTGGTTCAAATAAGGGTGACATTCCACCTGAGAAATAAAAGAATTTAATGAACACAGTTACAAATCGAAATTGAGTTCATGTTGGGGGGGTGTTTGTGGCCAAGTCTGCTAGATATTTGATAATCACAGCTTGGAGCATGCAGAGAAAAAGCTGGCGCTGCAGAACTTAGGCGTCATTCCTGGATTTGATCCCTGCCTCTGCCAGTCTACCACGGTAGTAAAATGGACTACAGGAACTTCAAACGGATTGCACATATTGGTTCTTTAACACGTTGCTCCAAGATCTTGTACAGAGGTGGTTGACGACGGTACATTTTGTCCACCGAAATGTCAAAGAAATAACTTACCTGGGTAAGCAGTAAAAAATTAAGAATCTGATTTTGCTACTTAAATCATCAGTCTGCTAAAAAAAAGTGCATCTGACTGGTGCAACAGCTGACATATGAAGGCGGGCATAGACAATTATCTGCAATAACAGACAATCTTTCTGAACCAGGTTTGCGGCGGGGGGGGGGGGCTTTTCAGTGTAGTGTACGATTTTGTTTCTTCTGCTCATAAAACACACTCAATGAACACAAAACCAACAAGATTCTTTGCCGGGCTATACTGAACGTATTTCTGATGGTGGAATCAATTTTTCATACAGTTGAACCTCTTTATGACAAACACTGGTCACGCTTTATTTGGATGAGAGTTCTAGTTATATAACGAAACTGAAACCGTGAAATTTGACGCGCTATCGGTTATAGCGAAGCAATTCCTGCTTTTCTTGCGTTACAAAATACTATGAAGGTTATTAAAAAGTAGAAAAAATGCAAAAAGTAATTTCTGAACGAAAAAGTCCGAAAGTTTAGATCGCCTGATGTGCAAAAATGCGCGCTTCGGGAGGTAGTCCCACCTATGAACCAAGCGAATAACGGCAGTTGCGCCGCTGCTGGCCTCTATGTGAGGCATCAAGAACCAGTGCAGACTAAAGCCGACCGCCAACCACGCCATTTGTAGTGGAGCTGCAAATGGCGACGAAGCGAAAAGCCATCTCTCTGGAGACAGAAGTGAAGGTTTCGAGGACGGTGGACAGTGGTCAGAAAAAAAATGTAGAGCCCATACACTTCACGTGAAGATGAAGGTGAAGATGATCGTCTTCAACAACAAGAGTCTAAGCTCATTACAACAGACCTGGTTACAACAGACATTTGGATATAACATACCAATTTGTAAAGTTCGGTTGGTTTTCCTCTACATACCATCGACTCCATTTCAGATCTGCATACAACATACTCCTTTTACAACAGACCAAACTCTTGGTCAAAATTAAGGACTGTTATAACGAGCTTAGACTACATACAATTTACATATGATTGCAATGAAGACACGTACACGACATCATTGTTTAATTGTCTTTATTTAATTCTTAGTGATCATTGCTTTATGGTCACTTACGGGCAGGTTCTAAACTTAATTTTTCGAGGCACACCTCAAGGACCGTTTTTTCCGATTGAGCCCAAGCCTCTTTATCAGCATCGCGGAAGCGAAAGAAAAGAGGATTAGATCGGTGCGATCTGCCCTCAGCCTCGTCACAACCCACTCTTAGCCAAGGTAAGTCGGTGACCGTAGATGATAACGAGGGATCTGGACCTCACTATCTAATTATGCCAATGAAGGCCGACTCACGCAGGTTGCCCACTCTTTTTATTTATACTTGCCACGACCGATCGGAACGAGAGAGTGCCGTTTAAACAAAAGGTTTTTTGTTAACATGCATTTTTTTCCAGATCCTAGCACATAACAGCTTCGCTGTAAAAAGACATTACTGCGGACTTCGAGCTTGCACCAAGCACGATATCTGCTATCCTGAGTGCAAGGAAGAAGATGGAAGACCAACATGCAAACAACACTGTCAAGACTGACCGAAAGAGTCTTAGGTTTCGCCTCGACCCGGACATGGAAGAGGCTCTGTCCTCATGGTTTAAGGACGTAAGGGTGCGAAATCTGCCGGTGTCTGGTCAGTTTCTTCAAATGAAAGCAATGAGTCTGGCGTGTCTGTTAGGGCATGATGAATTCAGCGCAGTGGCTCCAGGTGAAGAGGCACCAGCCCAAAATCATGTCTTCAAATAAATGGAATAATAGATACAGCTAACGTCGTTTCTAATGTTGCAAGTTGATATCCTCATGTTCCGATTTTTTTTATTATGCTGCTTAATGAAAGGTAAGGACCTCGTGGTCCGCGATAGCGCGTTTTTATATCTTAGTGCTGTGAACTTTCTTGCACGGGCTCAATTGCAGGAACTTTTATAACGAATATTGCATATAGCAAACAAATTTCTGCTCCCGACGCTAGCTCGTTATAACAAGGTTCGACCGTATACGAATGCGAGACCCGAACTACCAAGGAAAAAACAGGCCTCTATTAAGTATGATGTGCTGACGAACAGCGATAAATGATAGCCACCCAGGCCTAGCATGTTTAAGGTCTTAGACAGTAGCTCGAACTGAGGAAGAAGCTATAAACTGTTTCCTGTGTTTCCGATCACTCTCAAAGAATGACATGCAAAATTTTATTCTCGACTTCACCCTTTTCCTTTTTTTTGGTGGCCAGTGATAAGCAAGTAATTCTTTTAATGCACAAAAAAACGGAAAAGATTCTCAGCATTACCGGAAAAAAATATTTTGCAGGTTGCCCTTTAAAAGATCTTTAGGCAATATCATGAAGGTGACATAAAAACTTCATGGTATGCATTATCTGTGAACCCTCTCAATGAATACTACAATAAAATGAATTGCAGAAAGCAGTCAATCCTTAAGAGATTGCTCCGGCTAGGGTCTGAGTAATGAAAGAAAGGAGTCACCTGCAACATCACTGGCTTCACTTTGGCAGCCTTCAAAACGCACATGATTTGCTCGCTGTTGAAGTTGGAGAGGCCAATGTCACGTACCAGGCCTTTTTCGTAGCACTCCTCCATACCCTATTAGCAAGAAAGCCAATGAGTTGTGGCACAAGACACATTCTCAGTTCTGGTTGAAAAGCTTCAGAAACACAGGTCATACCTCCCAAGTTTCAAGGTAGTCCACATCGCTGAACAGAATGTCCCCAGCTTGGTTACGAGGGAAGATCTCGCCTCCTTCCTATAAACAAAACAAATGCACAATTATGCCCAAAATTTGTTAGAAAAATTAGAGGCATCATTTCAAAGTAATACATATGACAGATGCAACAGTAAAAGGTTTAAAATTGCTTTGACTTATGAATACCTCCAAAGCACATTTGAATATTCAAACATGGCATTACCAGTCTTCTTCAAACTATAACCCAGAAGAAACCTACATGCATGCTTGCTTATAACGACTTTATTCCAGCAATTATGCATCTTTCCTTTTCTCAATATGCGACTGTTTTGAATAATTCTTTTCTAGGACGTTTCTAGGACATAGCTGCTGTGTGCTGTTGTATTCCCCCTCTTGCAATAACCTCAAACGAGGTCGCAGTTTGTGTAAATAAATAAAACAATAACTAAAATACTAACGTCTTTGACAAGTTTGAACGTGTTCACTGGGGATCTATGGAATGATAAAGGATCTTTGCACTGTCTTATATTAATTCTGACTGAAAAAATACAAACTTGCAGCACGAAGAAATAGTAAGAATCCGGGTGTTTTTATTTATTTTAGCACCCTCAGAACCCAAAAGTATTATAAAAGGGAGGGGCAAACACAACACAAACAAACAAAATGTAAAATTAAAGCATCATTATTACAAAAAATGCAGTGAAAACAGGAAACATTCAAGGTTTACATCAACAAATATGGTTGCTTATGGCAGTTCGAGATGAATCGACTGATGGTAGTGACACTAAAGATGTGGGAAGGTGGTTCCGTTCGGATGAACGGCAAAGCAGAACTCGCCTGATAACCAAACGGCCAATGCATGAGATAGAGATCCAGGTAGTCAAGACGCAACCTCTTCAGAGAAAGCTGACAGCATTCCAGTACCTTACTTTTGCTGTGGAATGTGTTCCAACACTGAAAAGCAACCAGACTATACTATAGTATGCCACTACATAGAGAAAAAAAAAGTGCCACAAATCAAAACATTTCCATACCTTGCTAGTAACCCAAAGGTCTTTTCTTTCAACAACACCTTCTTTGATTTTCTCTTCAATAGCTCTCCCAATTTCATCTTCATTCTGATAGGCCAGTGCGCAGTCAATATGCCTGTAGCCAGCATCAATTGCAGTCTTGACAGCTTCATACACTTTCCCTGGCTCCGACTGGTAAAATGAAAATGTCATCAGTAAGGGCAATTTCCAATTTTGGTAAACAAAATGTAACACAAATCGGTGGTAATGATGCAAGGGCTTCACATGTGAGGCATAGTAAACCTTTACAGAAGACCATTCCTAACAAACTTGTTACAACAAATAGACTGAACAATGAACTGCTGTGCATTTCAGAGCACTACTGATTTTCAGAACGAGAAGTTCAGATCAGAAGGTGGAAATCTGCACCAAATGTACTCCTAGATTTATGGAGTTCAGAACACACAAGTGAAGGTTTCAAACTACTTGAAATGAGACACTGAGTCTGTAGAACAGGCACAGAATAAAAGGTTCTGTGAATCTGAGGACATGTATGTCTGAACTCCCCCCCTTAAAAAGAAGCACAGTTCTGACATTACGAGACGCATACCCATTTAGGAGCAATTTTGAAACTAACTACTATTGAAGGCAATGACCCCAAAATACAAGTTAGTTTTGTAACTTCTCAAACTCAAAATCTCTCTTGTGATGCACATATGTAGCTAAAAACAACTTTTTTTTTTAAAGAAAAAAAAAGTATTTTGTGACATAAATGTCATATACAGGCACTTAGAAAAAGTCTTCTTTTGGAGTTCAGTGGCTTTTTAAGAGAACCTAAAGAAAAAAATCTTACATGTTTTTCAAAAATAAGCTTGATCTTGGAAAATGTTATTTTTGGTCACCCAACATTTCAAAAGTATTTTTTCCACAAAGTTTCATTTGTTTGCACTACGCAGTTCCAATGCTAGATGAAATGCCTCAGTGCTAGATAAATTAAGACACCTGAACACTTCTGACACTTTTTTCTCCCTATCATTTTTTCAGTATAAATCTGATCTTGGTCAATTTAGTTTCATTCATAACGGGGCTAGTGGAAAGGCTTGGTCTTTGTATTCCACCTAAAATTTATATGACTGCACCTCTGCACATGTTTTTCTACTCTATTAATATCTTCAAATAAAATTTCAAAAGAATGTTATGACTTCATTAAAGAGACAGAAGGCCTGAAATTTGCTGGTTTTTGTAAATTACATTATACAAAAATAATTTTACAGACACACTCTCTCGACATTCTGCTTTGTACCTACTGAAAAAAAAAAAAAAGTTGGATGCTGCTATTATTTTAATGACAGATTGACAAAAGCAATGGCTACAATAATGGCTTGGACGCCATTATTGTAGTCGAGAGACTACAATAATGGCATCCAAGCCACCAGCCCCCCTCTCCTCCACCCCTCCTCTCCCTCCCTCAAAATATTCCTGGATATGCCACTGGCCAGATTGCCTTTTCCTTGTGAGCAAAACTTGAACCAAAAATCTTACCTTCCAAGTTCCAAGGCCAACAACAGGCACCTGCCGCCCGGATGAAAGAGTCACAAATGGAGCCTTGGCTGCCATCCTTCCAGTCTGGTGAAGCAAGACACATTAGATAAATACGGAGAAAACATGAAGGCAAGCCAATGCCAAGCAACCCCGTTCCTCTAGCTACAGATCCCACACTTTCTTTGGATGCTCATATCTGTCCTTGTGATAAGATATAGCTTTGAGGGCACTTATCTGAAGAAACATATTAGCTCACTTCAGTTAGCCCCCTATCAGCACATATGACCCACTTTGTACAACCAATGGACAGGATTGACAGCAGGGTCATTGTCTGTACTGTGCCACTGATTTAGTGAATTGCATAAATTGGTCCCTTGACCCGGACTGTTTTTTGGTGAAGATGTTAACATATGTCTCAGAAATTTTAACAAAAAGAAAATTGAGGAATAACACAGCGTCAAAAAATCAGAGCAGGTGCCCTCCTGCGACGGAGCTGGTAGGATGCGAGCAGACGCCGCGCTCTGTCAAAGCACGGAGTGGCTATGTTAGTTTGCATCTATGCTGATTAAAAATTGATCATTCAATATATATGATGTCTTTAGAAGAGCGGCTACTTAACTCCTTCCCGCATAAACCCCTTTTTTATAAATGTTTCCTAGACGACATATTTATAATTTGGAATAATGGGGAAGATAAGCTCTTTGAATTTATTAATTTTGCCAACAATTTTAATCCACATATTAAATTTATGTATAAATACTCTGATACAGAAATAGAGTTTCTAGATATTAAGGTAAGACTTACTGAAAATGGTTTGAAAACAACCTTATATCGAAAACCTACAGATAGACGTCGATTTCTACATTATAAAAGCTGTCATCCAATACAAAACAAAAAAGGTATACCATACAGTCAAATGCTACGCTTAAGACGCTTATGTTCAGAAGATAAGGATTTTGATATAAAAACTAGAGCACTAGGAGAGGATTTCATTAACCGTGGATACCCCTTACCGCTAATAAATAATTCTATATCAAAAAGTCGAGCGATCTCTCGGAACGCGTGTTTAGTAGAGCGGCCGAAAATAAATAATCATGAATTACGACTAATCTTACCTCACCAATCAAAACTTCCAAACATAAACAATATTCTTAGACGACACATGAATATTTTACACATGGACACAGCTTTAAAGGCAGTTATCCCTCGACCCCCTGGTATAGCGTTCAAGAGACCACGCAATTTATTATATTTATTTAAACAGTCCCGAAACTCCATCGGACGTAGCCTGGTCCCGATTGGTTGCACAAAGTGCAATCATAACCAATCCACTATATGTGACACATAATTATAGCTAACTCTATTCGTAGCACAGCGAATAACTTTAATTGGAAAATAAATGGTACATTTGACTGCAATTCGGAAAATGTTATTTATTTAATTCAATGTAGAAAATGCCAAATTCAATACATAGGAGAAACTAAAACAAGCATAAGAAAACGCATGAATCTACATAAAAGTCATATACGTATACACGTTGCCGGACCGGTTTCCCGTCACTTAAACTCTGCAGGACATAACGGACTTTCTGATTTTAATTTTATTATACTCCAGGGGGGCTTTCGAACCACCAGAGATCGAAAAAATAAAGAATCTGAATTTATCTATAGATTTAATACTTTAGAACCGAAGGGCCTTAACAGTTCGAAAGGATCATTGCCGTCTTTTTTTTATGGACATTTAATTGAGATCTTCTAATCAATACCGTACTGTTGCTTTTTTTTTTTTTTTTTTCTTCTCGCTTCATTGTTTAATGTGACACGAGCAAACGCGTAACATTGGGCCTCTCATTGGCTTCACATGACACCAGGTATAGTTGGGTTATACCCAACCACATGTCCCAAAAACTGGTTTTATGAATAGAATGGCAGTAATAATATTATATTTAATTATTTCCATAGTATTTATTGCATTGGTATCGGGATATATTAAACTTTTAAGCGAGAATTTAGTTGAGTAGGCACCCGCTAAACGGTAAGCATTTTTCCAATTAACTTCTTTTTTCCGGCCGCTTTTTCTTTGATTGAAAGAAAAGGAGAACGAAGTGTTCTCACTTGACTGACGAAGAGCCTACCAGGCCCGAAACGTTTCGTCAATCTCACTTTTTTGGCAACCTCCTCGGCGAACTCCTTTAAGGGCTAATATTTTGTTGAGTATATATATATATATATATATATATGTGTGTGTGTGTGTGTGTGTGTGTTTCCTTTTTTATTGTGTGTGCGATTGCACCAATACCTTAAAACACCACCTGAAAATATTGTCTGGCTATGCAACTGGTGCACACACGCACAGTTATGTTGCAAAGCGCCGCACACTTGTTTTAGCTTCATCGATCGTGCCGATACCGACATTTTCTATCCAAGTGTGGGGGGGAGCGTTGTCTACGCGCAGTGCATAGATAATTCAAAATCCCCACGCGCTAAAGTTATAGGTAAGGCTCCGTGTTTTCGGACAAATCCGAAAAACACCCGCCGGTAAAATTTTTGTCAATTCGGATTTATCCAATAAACTCCGAATTGTTATGTGCCCATGCCATGCCACCCCCCCCCCCCCCCCCCCCCCCCCCCACAAAAGAAGAAAAAGGTTTTTTTACAATTTGAGCAGTGCAGGATCAATGGTCCTGGGAAAATGACACCATAATTATCTTTCAAGCCTCGGACCATTGTCAAAAGGGGATCTTACAGCTTGTCTCGTCAAGCTTGGTTCAGGGAAACAGGTCATCGTACCATTTGTGTCTCCACAAAAGCCACTCTTTTGGTTTCCAGTTTGGGCCATGGGATTTGGGATTAAGAGAAAGGAGAGGGTATGTTTCTTGAGGTGTCAGTGAAAGCTATGGACCATAGAGATTGTATAAAATAGGGAAGAGGGGCAGTTGAAACTTCTCTATTACATCCTCAACCGCTCCACCTCGCGCGGCCGCGGGATAGATTGACGGGCTGACTACGAGCTTCCTTGCGGCTACCTCCGGCAGTTTATTGATTTTAAGGTATCGATGTTTATCAGAGCCACACTTGTGTGCGACTTTTGTCGTGGGACAAATTAGTATTGCCAATGACACCAACGCCAAATTCAGCAGAATAAATCTTAATTGATACAAGCGCGTTTTATTTTTTATCTAGCATACGTTTGCATCCGGTTATTATTTATTATTTTTTAATAGGAAACACTGCGAAATTAATCTACGAACTTCGAAGAATTGGGGATTTACGAAAAATAAACTCCGATAAGCACCGAATTTTTGCTAAAAAATAAACTTCGAAAAACACCCTCCGAATTTCACAAAAAATAAACTCCGAAAACACAGAGCCCTAGTTATAGGCTAGGAATTTGCAGAACAGCTAGAAATTTCTGGTTCCTAAGCGAAAGTTATCGTCATGGCCTTCACACTCTCCTGCACGTGCTTGCACACATAAGCTAGGAAGTAAAGGCCCATTCACACTCTTGCGACCGAGTACGACTGAGAGAGACGAGATCTCTTACAACTTCTTAAATGTTTCTAGAATGAGGGGACACAATTGTGGCGCCATCTATGCGGTGACCCTAGAACTGCATTTCACAAAAGCGAAGGTTTTGCGGGATTTCCGAGGTCAAATGTGCGTAATACCCATAGAAAGGCTCGTTTATAACATTGACAAAAGTTTTTCGAGCCAAAAAAGAAAGGATATTGCGCGAGAAATAAAAACAAAATATGCCGGACCGCCGAGTTTACACTGCTTCCCAATAGATGGCGCCAGTGTGTTCTCTGGTTTAAGAAGTTTTAAGGAACCCAGGTTTAAGAGGTCGCAAGCAGTCGCAAGAGTGTGAACGGGCCTTAAGGAACATGTGATTACTCACCAATACTCCCCAATGAGCGCGAATGCTCAAAGACGTCAACGTGAGAGTGCCGGTTAGAGTAGTGACAGTGAGCCACAACTACAGCAACAACACACGACGACACAACTAACAGGACTTCTGTCACAACACAAAGCCAGACAGAAGCAACGCCGGCAACGCCTCAGTCAGCTTTCCCTACCTCAGTAAATGGCCGGTGACCGTCGGTCGTCTCGTCACGTGGGCACTGTAGAAGAAACCAAGGAAGGTCGAACGTGGGTCGAACCTGTGGGTCGAACCACTGTTGGTCGAACGGTCGAACCTTTGAACCACTTGAAATGACTGAACTGACTGAACCTGGAACTCGCAAACTCGAACCGCTCGAATGGCTCGAACCTGGGAAACTTGAACGACAAAATCCCTTATCTGGGTACTTCCTGGGTACCACCGGTAAGAATGTAGGGACGTAGGTATCACAAGGCTGCAAAAAAGATCCCTAGGTGGTTCGCTGTTCGGTCGTTCGGAACAGTTCGGAAGGTTCGGTCGGTTTGGTTTTGCGTCTGGTACTCAGTTGGCGTATGCCAGATTAATCATATCAGCAGATTTTTTTAAGGTTTTTATTTGAAGTTATGAATACATTTTTTGATGACATACTGAAAGAAACGGACAAAGCAGCCGATGAGGATTATTATAAGATCCTGGGATGCGACGAGCTCTCTACGGTATGTTGTTTTTTTCGGTTTTGATTTTGGGTGAATCGGCACGTTCTTGAATGCACAGTGAATAATATAACAGAAAGGGTTTTCTCTATAGTTCAGTGGGTGTAAACAAACTGTGAGAAAACACCGGTTCTGATGCAAGTTTTATGACTCGCCAAGGTCGAGCGAACTACTGATATCAACAGGTTGTTTTCTCATTGCGCAAAGCGCGCAGTGTATGTACGAACGTTCTTGCGCGGTTTTAGTTTCGATTTATTTTTATAGGATAAAATGTGCGCTCAAAGAAATTTGTACCTATAAATTATTCTTTACTGCTTGTGCTGTAGGACGAACAACTTCAGTGCGAATACAAGGTCAGAGCCCTGGAATTGCACCCTGATAAGAACCCCAATAATTCCGAAGCTGGTAGGTATTTTTTTTTTTTTTTTCCCACAAATACTGTTAACCCGGTTGAGAACTTCGTTTCATGAATCTGATGTGTTTACGCGATGCATAGCGTGCGCCCAGATTCCTATCTGATACAATTCTTATTAGCATTGCAGTTCCAAAAGCTTCAAGCGGCGAAAGATGTGCTGTTGGACTCGGAAAAACGGAGGAAATATGACAAGTGGAGAAAGTCGGGTCTCATGATGCCGTTCCAGCAGTACCTTAATCTCAACATAACGGTATGTTTAATACCTGCGTGGTCACGCAAGCACAGGCAGCAGCAACAATATGTGCTACTTTCTAAATATCACTTACCATTTTCCCCCCTAGTCTTTGCATTGGGTTACAAAGAAGACGAAGGAGCCTATGCTCACGGAGTCTGCTCACCAGTGTTCAACAACAGGTACACAGACTTTAAAAAAGTGTGCACATGATTATTGTAACATTGACAGTGTCGCATCCACTGACGTTATGGTACTTGGACAGGTATGAAGTCGTGCGAGCCACAGGGCTCGCTCTCAAGCTGGAGAAAAGAAGAACCAGCAAGTGAGCTCCTGAAGAAATTCAGGAACTATGAAATCTAAAAATGCCTATTCTTGTGTAGCCTTTAGCAATGTTTTGCGTTACCAGCTGCAGTTCCTGCAACATGCTGCATGATCCTTCACAGGTCTTTCTTGGGTCTGCAAGTTTGTAAAGGGTGTGCAGTGGCGAAAAAGATGCAACCGAGATTTCGGTTGCACCCCAAAAGATCTCTTCCATCCTTTGGTGGAGCGAATTCCTATTGGTTTAGAACATAAAAACCCCAAATTTGATCGATTGTGATACAGACATAATATAAATGTAGCAAAGAAAAAGCGTAAAGAAGAAAAAACGTGCAGCTTTCGCTGTTGGCATATCATGCAGTTAAACGTTATTGTAAAAGTGAAATTAAGAAAAAAACTAGTCTCTTTCTCCGGTGAAACTCAACCGAGAGGTTTCGGGCATAACTTACGATTAGATGTGCAACATTTTCTAATCGATATCAGCAGTATGTTTACAGGCAAGCAGGTGCTCAAATATTTTATGAACCTTTTGAAACCTCCTAAAAATTACTATGTGCCAATTTATGTGGTGGCTTGTTTCGGCTTACATTTTATAACGATCCCTAATACCCAACGGGTAACTGGAAATATAGCTGGAGCGATTAAAACTCGTCTGGTGCTGTGACTTCAAAAAAATTTGATGTAGCAATTTCCAGGGTAGGTCTATCTCAAAGCCAAATACGACTTCCGAGAAGAAATTTCAACTATCCAACGGAATATTGAAGTCGCAGAGCACTGTATCTATACAAGTATGGCAGTTATCAGTTTGAGTTTGTACAAGCAAGTTCTGGAAAAATGTCTTGGGGGAAACCATGTATGAGAAGTATTGTCCATTGTAGTGAACACAAAGTACAGGGAATGAGAATGCAAGGTATGGAAGGCAGCCATCAAAGCTTCTAGCAGGATGAAATATGCTTATATGGGACACTAACTTACTCAGCAAAATGTGGCATTCAGCACTAGCATTGTGAACAAAATGAAAAAAAGTGCCAATGTTGTGTTTGTGCCGTATATCGCTGGTCAGCGCCTTTGTTGTGGTGTCCCCTAATTACTGCATTTACCTCCTTTTGAATAAAGTTACAAAATAGATATCCCATGTATTACTGCAAAAAGCTACACCAAGTACCCTGCAAGTATGTATGCACACTTTACATTTTGGCCTATTACAAAAGAAAAAAAAATATATTGCATAGGAAATTGCCAAGAATTTTTGTGTTGCGATTTTAAAACAAACGGAATCTTTTATACGTGACATGGTATATGTTTTTTCCAGTGTAATGAATATGACATGAAATTCCTATTGTAGCATAAGCAAAGCATTTTCCAAATGTGCAAGAGTAATATAATTTTCTGGGTCTTGTATACCCTTGCCAGGTCCCATCATTTTACATATTGCTGATGTCTCCCTTAGGTGTCAGTATACAAAGTTTTTAATTTGGGAAAGTATTAGCTTTCTTTGAGCATTCAGAGGTAATGAAAAATGTTACAGCATAGCCAGTGTTCTCATTGTGCGTGGGATGCTTTTGCATGACATGTACTTTGCAATGAATCTTACGCATTGCACATATATGGAAAATGTAATTTTTGATGACCCTACTGATAAAGAAACACAGGGTTCATGTTTCCAGCATCCTTTATTTTGAATTAGCCTTTACGTGACAATTTTCTTCACACTTGACAGCATCCCATTCAGTACTATACAGGGTGCCACAAAAAAAAAACTTTACAGGGTTTTTTTTCCCGCAAAAAATAAGGTAGGCATCGCCGAACGCTAATTCTCCGCTCAAAGGTAGTGCTAGAGGTCACAACCAGATGCCAAAGTTTCAGCCCAATCCGATAACTTATTCAAAAGTTATAAGTGATTGTCTGAAAATTTCAATGAGAAAAAGGAGCCCATTTTTGCCTGTTTTCAGTTTCTGGTGCCATAGAGCCCCATGTATTCGATAACTCCGTCGGCCGCCATTTTCCCATTGAAATTTTCAGAAAATCACTTATAACTTTTGGTTAAGTGATCAGATCGGGCTGAAACTTTGGCATCTGGTTGTGACCTCTAGCGCTACCTTTAGGCGCAGAATGAGCGTTTGGCGATGCCTAGATCATTTTTGCAATAAAAAAAAAAAATGTGTATAATTTTTTTTTTTGTGACACCCTGTACATAAGGCAGAAATACTTAATTGTCACAAACTGTCTAGTAAGCATTGCATATACAGCATACACATACAACCTTGGAGCCTCACACTGCACAAATATCTAACCATAATACACATTAAAAAGAGAGGGACAATACAACAATGAAAGAGATGGCTTTACAATACTAAGTACAACTGCTGATATTGTAACAATGCCATTTATTGAGAATGCTCAAATTCTTAGTCAATGTGAAGTACACTAGCAAAGGACCCATACTATGATACAGATGCATCATGATACATATTGGCAGTGTACTTTGCAAATTGTGCAAGCTTAACATGAAGCTTAAACGGCACAAGGAAATCAGCAAGCCAGCTTGCAGACTTGTGCTGTTCATTCTACATTCTATGAAGCAAAATATAGTAACTTTGGCAAAGGAAAGAAGGTTTTGCAGTACAAGCCCTAGCAGCAAGTTCAAACATAGCTGACCAACAGAAAAAGATAAAAAGAAAACTCAGTACTTAACTGCCTTTCAACCTGGCTCGGTTATCATTTCTATATCTTCTATGCCACCCCAAAACTGAAACCATAATCAAACAGCCAACGGTCGATTCCAGAAGATCTCCTAAGAGTAAGGCCATGATAGCTGGATGCCTACGCTAGCACATAGTGTGCTGTACATGGCATGCACATACTGTGCGAAGGACCAAAGCTTATAGTCACATCTGTAATGAAATGGAGTGGCAACTGCAGGTCACTTATGAAATTTTCTCGGTCAGAGTTTCCATTTCTTTCAGAAGGTCACTGCAGTCTTTTTCCCACTGCATTCTTGTCTGTTCAATCCTAAAAAAGAGAATCAAAAGTGTTCAACAAAAGCAGTGCCATCAGCAATATGTCTCTATTGCTACTTCCATGAGGATGAATCATTTAGGAACTATCTTTATTTCTAACTTTCCTCCATCGGATCAAGGTTATCACTTGTATCGTCAATCCTCACAATGCATTGTCTAACATGCTACAAAAACAATTACCATATATAATAACTAAAAAATAAAAGCACCAGAAAGAACACGGGTTTCCCGTTTCTTATCGTCCGTGTGTTTGCACTGCCAGCCTTGCGACTGTTGTACAAACTTTAGTGCACTACAGTGGAACCTCGATTTAAAGAAACTTGATTTTACGAATTTCCCGATTTAACGAATAGGTACATTCGGATTTCCCGCGCAGCCTATGCGCGAGGTCTCCCTTTCTCGATTTTACGAAGTTCTCTATTTAATGAAATAATTAGCGGGTCCCGGTGACTTCGTTAAATCGACGTTCAACTGTACCTTACTTCCCACACGCTCAAAACAGACCATGGTTTTTAGTGATGCTGAGCAAGTTTCTAAATGAAACCAAGTTTATTGTCACTAATTAAAAATGTTAATCAACAAATTTTAGTAAATTATTCGACTTATAAAAATCAGACTCCTATATTATGTGCCCTGGCTGTATAGCTCATCTGTAGACTGCATTAGTGTGCTTTCATTGCTTTTTTTTAGACAAATCTGAAGTTTAAAAACAACATCCTGCACAACACTCCGTTTCACGATAACTTGGCGAACTGTGGAAACTAGGACCCCGCTACCCAATAAGAGCGTCGGAGTGTGGCACGTGTCCTGCCGTCACGGGAGCATTTGTGTCGCCACGCTAAATGCGAGGTGCGAGGCCCGGAGGAACCGGCTGTCGTCAGCTAGCCAAGAGTCGTCTGCTCCGAAACCAACCAACTTCGGATGAACGTCCACAGCATCACCATTTCCGTCTGCTAGAATAACAAGCACTTCAAGAACAGTTCATGAGACAACCATACGCCCAATTTAGCCATGAATCTGCGACAGGGGCTAATGTCAGGGCACAGCGCAGTGTTTTGAGCGGAAACGGCCAATTACACGGCTGCGATCGCCAACGGGCACGGTGCTACAAGGCGAAAAACATTGAGCAGATACGGATGTGGCGTCACTTTTTTGGTTTCAATATAATTCAAACTAAGTTTGAGATTATTTATTCTTCAAATCTTCTGATCAGAGATGGAATCGTGCAAGGTCAATTGCCGTTAATAAAAAAAAGAAGCCTAGAACTACTTTTTGTTGCGGAGGGCTCTGTTGCTGTGGCGGTAATGAGGCCCCTTTGGCCTCGACCGTGGGGTGTTATCACGTGCCTTGCTCCAGCGCCCTTACTGGGTTGTGGGTGCCGCAGCCTCCACAGTTCGCCAAGTTATTGTGAAACGGAGTATAGTACAGGCACAATATTCGCAAAATTTGCAGGTATTCAAAAATTTTGAATATAGACTCCCCCTTGAAATTGAAAGAGCCAGTATTAGAAAACATTGGATACTTCCAAATAATTCCTAATATTTTCTAAATTTGTTACAACAAATGACTTTAGCTTTGCTGGGTGTGCTTCCTCCATGTTACATGTACACAGTGATGAAACGCGACCCAAGCAGCTGTATTTGTTTTGTATTTGATTTCCCATGTGCACCAGAGAAATTACAGTATAACCTCGTTACAACAGACCTGGTTACAGCAAACATTCGGTTATAACAAGGGTCCCCTTGTTTTCGGATAAATACAATAAACTCCAAAAAACGCTCGCCGGCAAAATTTTCCACAATTTGGATCTCTCCGAAAAACTAAGAATTTCGAGGTCACTATGGCAAAATAAACAGCCGGAAAATACGGTATTATGTGAATAAAGTTTGTCGGAGCACAGTGTAGTGGTCGTGAAAAAAGACCTATCCAGTTTTTTTATCTTGGACTATTGAACGAAGGGAGTTTCCCGTTTAGATCAACAAGGTTCGTTCAGCACGATAGGTCAATGTATTTCAGGACAACGACAAAAGCCTCTGTTCCGGTTTCTGTTTTAACCATACTACTTGTGCCTTTTAGGGAGGAAAGATGTGAAAGTGAACTGTGAAAGATGTGAACCTGTAGAGATTTCACAAAATGGGGAGGGAAGCTGAAGGTTTTAAGCGACCAGGGGTTTGGTTATTTGAAAGTACCGACGCTTATTGAACAACGCTTGCTTTCAAGATTTGTCGTGGAACAGTCAGTACAGTCGAATATCGGTAATTCAAACTCTCTTAATTCAAACATGCAGGTCCCATCCTATGCGTCTCTACAAAAGGAAACTTCCGATAATTCAGATTTTCAGTCCCCCCCCCCCTCGAGTTTGAGTTAACGAGATTCGACTGCAGTGCCAATTGCAAAGGCACCAATGCCACATGCAGCTGCAGAAATACCTTTCGACACTGGTGAATTTAAAAAAAAAAATCTTGTGTATGTTTTTGGTTAATTTTCACTTAAACTTTTGTTTTGAAAAAAAAAATAAAAACTGAGTAGAATTAAACTCAGAATTTAGGACAATTCAGAATCTAACAAGAAGAAACTCCGATAAACCCCGAATTTCCAGCGAAAAATAAGCTCCGAAAAACACCCTCCGAATTTCACAAGAAATAAACTCCAAAAACATGGAATCCTTGTTATAACTAAGGTTCCATGTTTTCGGTACATAACAATCAACACTGAAAAATAACCCCCAATGCAAATTTCTTTAAATCAATATTAAAAAAAAAGAAGAAAAAAACGAATTTAAACTGCCCTAAAAAAAGATAAAAAGATTGCTTATTTTGAAGAAATTTTACACTACTACTGCTTTTCTCTTGTTGACCCGGAACACAGCTGCACTGAACTGTCCTTGGTGTTGTTCCATTTTATCGAAACCATATTCCCTGCCCCGTTTCTTTCTCCTATTTCTACCAGCCTTTCTGGAGAAAATATTATATTTTAAAACTTACAATATTTTCTCCAGTAATTATACAGTCACTTTACAACAAAAGCCCGATAAACACAGATTTCTCTCCGGCATCGAAATTAGACATAGAGCAGCACCGATTCAGGGAGGGGATAAACACCAATATATAACCCCTGAATTTGAAGAAAAATAAATATTGAAAACACGGAACCCTAGTTATAACATAACGATTTGTGAAGTTTGGTTGGTCTTCCTATCTATGCCATTAAGCCAACTTCGTTTATCACAGTTTCTGTTATAACTAGGGTTCCGTGATTTCGGATAAATTCGAAAACATCCGAGAAACACTTGCCAGTACATTTTCCATTAATTTGGATTTATCCAAAAAAGACTCAAAATTTTGAGGTCAAACTGACAAAATAAAAGTAAGAAGGACTGTGCTTTACAAAATAAACTTTAAAAGAGCACAGGGTCATTGGTCCTGAGGAGATGCCACTTCAGTATCCATTGAAATCTTGAACCTATATTCATTCACATTTCAAAAGTCTCATTGGCTCCAATCATAATCCACCTCAGTCTATAGTAAGAGTATCTGCATTCTACATACTCCTTTTACAACAGACCAAAATATTTATCGCTATATTGAGGACTGTTATAATGAGTTTACTATATTGTATTTTAAAAGGGGGGATACAAAATTTGCCCAACATTATATTCCACGCATTAGTGCGCACAGATCTCAAAAAAGTTTTACCTTTCAGTTTGCACATATTTAAAAGTTTTATTTAAGTTTAAACAGTGTACTACTTAAAATAATCAGCTTTTTGAAGTGGACTGTCTTTTATTTTATTAAAACAAAAACTCAGTGTTTAGGAGTAACACTCATGATATTGTTTGCATCTATTACTTAGAACCATATTAAAAAAAAAAGGCTGATTTTGTGGTGTCATATTGTTCATACATCAAAATACCATTAAAGGACACCATCAATTGAAAAAGTTGCCTTTGAAGCTAATTTGCAAAAGCACTTTTCTACCAGAATTCATACATCTTACTCAAGTACCTACTGGAATATTCAAATCCATCCCAAAAATGCACTGTGCAGATATGTCAATGCACTGTGCAGATATGTCTAGCAGTTGCTAGCTCTATCTGGTCTCCCTTCAACTAGAAGCCCATGCTACAAGACAGAAACTCTCCCAACCCTTTACCTGTTGCACAAAGAAATGCTCTCCTCCTTTGCCCTGGTGTCTTCAAGCACACATTCCACGAGCTGGCGTAAGTTATGCCCCCTGTTTGTGTCCTCTGAAGTCACTTCTTTCAAAGAACTCTCTGTTGCTTGCATCAGTGACTCCAGGGCAGTTGTCTGCAAATCCTAGGAAAGCAAACAATGCAGTATACATGATTTAAGATCTATGATGGTTTGCTCAGGGACTGCGAAATTTACCACCTTTAATCTTAATACCATTTCCCCCATGAGAACCTAAATCATGGTACGTACAATGCATTTTCAAGTATGCACTTGACGCTGTTTTTTAAATCGTGTGCCTTGACAAGTGCAGAAAAGCAGTGCAAGTACAGTCGGTGACAGGTTAGCTAAGAGTGTGCCATGACAAGCTTCACGTTTTCCACTTTCGCAGAGCGAGCACTACTGGGGAGGTGAGTTCTCCCGTGCTTCCTCTCCAATATTCTAGATCAAGTTTATTACCTCAAAGAAGAAGTTTGTTAGAACATACTACATGAGGGAAGGAAGAAGAAAAAAGAAAAGAAAAGCACTGAATACATTGGCAACAAAAAAAAGCTAAGATTAAAAAACAAACTTGAAAAAGACTATCTACAGAACTTGAGCACTCATTATTTGAACAATATAAGTAGTAGTAATATTTGCAATTACTAGAAAACACAAGCACACACAGTATAACATGGGGTTCGTTCTGCTAAACTGGAAAGAGTAGACGGCTTTGCTTAAGGACGTTGGCCCGCACTCTTGAATTATCGCCGACTGTGCACTGCACAATTGCCCTCCGTGCAAACCTGTCTGCTCACGTCAAATCTGGCGATTCCAACAACCTTTGCAGTTATTTTGAGGCTCCAGTGTAGTACCCGTAATCGACGACAGGCCAAGAATTCAGTAGTAGCTACACCTTCAGCCCGTGCTCATCGCCTTCTGCCAGGGTTCGGTTGTGCGTGCTACGAAGTGTCGTCAAAGGCAGAAAGCTTGCACTGAAAGTGGAGCACCTCCTAAAACCTTAACCTGTTACTGACTATAGTCCTTGCTGGTAATTGTTGTTACTGCCAGGGTCAATGCTGACATAGGTGACTACAGTATACACGCAGTGGCGGTGAAATCATTCTTAGTACGATAGCCCCCCACCACTGCCACAATTTCCCAGTCGGGCGACCTCTGGCCGCTACTGTGGTCGTCAAAAACAAGCTGCCAAAGTCGTCTGCCAGTAAGCCTTTAGAAAAGTAGAATGCAGTTAAATACCCGATTTGTAGCCATGTTTTTTGCTTGTTGAGTTACGTAGGCTACGCCTCATGCTTGTTAAATACAACTCGTGCGCAAATTACATTGCTGCAGCGAAAATGCCTACAGAGTGAGGTTCTTGTGTGTGGCGGGTGTAAGCTTCTAGTGGCTAGGCATAAATGACTGTGGTGGGTGATAGTGGCAGGGTGTAGTTATGTGACATCCTTATACTACTGGTGACTGTAGCAGAATGTACCTTTGCCACCCTCTGCAGTGTCTAAGAAACATCTATCATAAAATCCTGAGCAGGCGCCCACTCATAACTTGGAGATAATCGTGCAAAACTGGGGGATGGTCAACAATACGTAAAGATACAACCTTTGTGTGTTTTCCAAATGTTACAAAATTGAGGGGTGGGCACTTATTGTGGAATGGGCAGGTACTCGCTATTTTATGGTAAATAATAGAAATATAATCACAAAAAATGTAATAAGCTTGGACGTAATAGGTGAAAAAAGTGCAGAGCTTCAAGCAGCTTTTTTTGTTGATTACATTTTGGTATAGACCAACAAAGAACCGAGACGACCAAGATGCGCAGCACTAGCTAGGGAATATTTTATTGTTGCAACTCGCACCAGTTACGAAAATCTGGACGACCCGCGCATTTAGAATGTTCCAGGCAAAAATATGGATGGAAATCAGGCTGGAAAGCATCACAACTTGTCACAGGCACTTATTTAGCCAGTCTGCCTGTGAACGCTGATTTCGTCACTATTCTTGGCCTGGACTAGCACCGTAATCACAAAGTCACTAAACGCTTGTGCTTGATTGAGAAACACTGCATTTGGTACAGAACACAGTTTTCTTACTGCTCTGGACAGTGACAATAAATTTGAGGGATGTATTTTCGCCCACAAAATTGTATTTGATTACAATTGTATTTGAAATACCCACGTTCTAGTATTTAAATACACACATCAAATACATTACCCAATTTGTAATTAAATACAAATGCTAAATACACAAAGTATTTGAAATACGTATTTCAAATACTTGTATTTGAAATACTGCCCATCCCTGGTAAATATATAGGGTGTCTCTTCAACGACCGAAAATACCGTAAAATCCTGAGAGGTAGCCTACCTAACAACAAGAGAAAATTGGGTGAAAATATGGAGTGGGCTAACTTTCAGTGTACAATCAAGAAAAGTTTAAAAAATTGCTTTTTTAAGGTAGTGTTCCCTTTAAGCTTGTTATGGTGGTGAGGGGCAATGAAGCAAAAGTGACCGTGCTTCCCAGACAGCAATGTTCATTTATATCCCGCCACAGCAAAACTAGCCGCATTTACGCCGAGGCCATCATTGATCCCAAAACTACTATATTACTAGAAGTGGGCTATCTTTCAGTGTTGCATCTCTCTTGATTTTATGGTAATCTTCGAAAAAAGGACGTTGAAAATAAAGAAACAATTTCTTCGGAATTAAGATGGTGACCATGGCAGACATTGGGGCTTGAGTGTGAAGTGATAATCAGCAAATTAGTTTCCCAAAAACTAAAAAAAAATTACAGGAGGACACTTAAGGCTGCTTATGTGTAGGAAGGCAAAAGCATTATAGTCCCGCAGGCGAAATGTTTTTGAGTGATGTTTCTACACGTATTAAAGTTTAGGACGGCGTATAGGACAACGTTGAGGACTACGTCCTAGAGATTGACGCCAAGCACGGCATCTAAGACGCCGCCTAGGACGATGCCTAGAGGACAATGTCTAGGACAACCTCAAGGATGATACCAAGGACAGCATCGTCCTTGAGCATACGACTGAGCGCTGCATGCTTGATGACATATTTTTATGGCCATCTTTCGGGCACAATGACTCCCCCTTTTTGCAAGATGGGACAAGTAAGACTTTCGCCTTAAAAGTACTCACAGAGTGCTGAGCTTTCAAGTCCCAGATGGAGTCCTGGCGTTCCTTCTGGATCGAACTGATTGTGCGGCTGAGAGACACAACCCCGTTCATCAGTTGGTGAATACGCTCGGGCAGCAGTACCACGGTCCTGAAGGCTTCGCTCATGTCCCTGTTGAGAGAGAGAGAGTAGTGTATGTTATGCGTGATCATTGCCATGGCTTCTGGGTATTTTTAAAGGAGCTGTACAACAATTTCAGTGCTTTGCTCAAATAATTCGGGAGTTGGCGTCTCAACCTTTCTGAAGAACAAAAAAACGCTTTTGCCCGCATGTCCTAGTTTTTAATTTTAAAAGTGGACAAAAATTGAGGTTTTCGGCACCTCTCAACTCCTTCACCATCTTCCGAGTCACATGCGCTGTGACATCAATGGGGGTCGCGCGGGGTTCCGGTGAAGCTCTCTCTCTAGAGCCATCAGTGAACAGCGAGAACTCATCCGCTAGCAACCGCGTGACCACGTGCTGGCGCAGCGCGAACGATATGGTGGAAGGAAGAAAGTCTCATTCATCTGGGTCCGGCCATCCCCGTCCGGCCCTGTCCCCCTCCTGCTCCGGCTTCTGGCAGCTGTTCGCGGTAGCAGATAGAGCCGACGGTTTTGTTGACCTCAGATAGATGGCGCCACTAAAACTCTGTATAATTTTTTATTTAGTTTTTCTTTTTTGCTTTTATTGGCATGTCTTACAAGAGACTCGTTACAAAGAGATTGTGCCTCAAATATACATACATACATACATACATAATAAAAGTTTTGTCGATGATACCAGGTTTTTGAAGCATTTATATTTATGTTGGAACGACAAGATTTATAGAAAAGTTACCTTTTATCGAGCAGGTATTTGCACAACTTGCTATCTTTCTACAAGACCCCCATTGACGTCATGCCGTGGGGTTCTCATGGCCGCTGCTCGCGGCTGCAGGTCGGGGAATATTCTCATTTTTGCCTTGCGATTACACCGTGGAATCGCAACATTTCGAAGGAAGGATGTGTGTTTTCTGTCTTTTGTGACAAGATAAACAATGTCAAAAGTAGAAGATGCCAATTCTTTCAATGCTAAAATCGTTGCACAGCTCCTTTAAGCTGTGTATCAGTTTCCCAGGTTGAATTTGTGGACTTTGGCAGTCTAGATTTGCTTCTGTGACTTAGCGTTCGTGAACAAATGTGTGCATGTTGCAAGATTTAGAATTGTTAGCTTGCTTCCTGTCTGTTCATTTTTACATTAATAAGTTGCAGCCCCAGAATGCTTTACATGCAATATGCATGCCCAGTTGCCCATATCACACGCATTCCTCCTAAATTTAATAACACTAGCACCGAACTACTGCGAAGTTTGCCATTCCAGCCTGAATTGTCACGTGGGCCGCAGGCATCTTCCCAACACTGTCCTGCGTGCACGACGGCATAACAACTAATTGAACTCCCATTCTTCTCTCGTGTGCATTAAATCCGGGTCTTTCGTCACATTGCTGTTGTTACCCACAAGAGCACGGGCTGGATCCAGCACGAAACACCCACCTCATGTACTCGTACACATCCTTCAACATGCGACTTTCCTCTTCCAAAAGGTCGTCAATGACCGCTTTCATCTCGTTGCTTGTGAGAGAGATGCTGCCGAAATCTAGAAGCGGAAAGCATAAACGTTATCTTGCAGAGGCTTAGAGAGGAGTGCACACAGAGTTCAGTGTGTTCATATAAACGACAATTTTTATACACCGAGTACCTTAAAATACCGGGAGAGCCCCCCCCACCCCACTTTTCCTGAAAATTGACTTAATCTAGACTTGGGTGCTTTTCCGGTCAAATTGGACATTAATGTACAATCGGCAGAATTCCGAAGTTTGGGAAATGTTAATAGTGGGCGCTTCCATGGTTATTTTACGGTAGGTGCTTTTTGAGGATGCGTAGTTGGTGACATGCTAAGAATTCAGCAGAAGCTCCGCCTCCAGTGCAGGTTCGTTGCCTGCCGCCAGGCCTTGGATGTGCGTGCGACGAAGTGGTATCAAAGGCGGAAAATTTCCAATGAAGGCCTACTGAATTATTAACCTGTCACCGACTATAGCGTAAACCTAGCTTCCTAAATTCGAAGGGGCACGTACCATACATACCCAATTCTAACGCACCTAACATACCATACATACCCAATTCTAACGCACCTATCTTTGAGAAAAATATGCCTAAAAACTCTCTGCATGTTAGAACCGGATATACAACCTAAACTGGGGGCATGTTAGCATCATGATGCTTGGGTATAAAAACTGGATGTGCGTAAGTATCGGGTAAACATGGTCCACTCTGTAATAGAGCAGTAGCATGAACGAGGTGTTGGCATGTTTTTGCATTTTACTCCCATAGGCTGGCACTGTACACTACCTCTTACCACATTGGTAATATGTTCCAAATAATGCACATTCTGCTAGTATTAGTTTTGATAGCAGGCTTTTAACTGCAAAATAAAAACTGGATAAAACTGAAATATGCATATGTGGACTGTGTTACACTTGGTACCCCCCCATACTGGCTTTCTCGTTAAAAAAATCAATGAGAAACCCAGTTTACATTCCAGGTTTGAGAAGAGACTCAAATGTTACTCGTAATATAAGTGGTTTGACCGCATGGTGGTTCTAACCTTTGCTTTGTTTTGTCCGTCCATAAATCTGCAATGTCCTGTGTACGCTGTAAAAAAAGGAAAGGAAAAGTGTGAATGTAGTAGAACGCTTCAACACTTGAGTAAGACATAAGACATCATCCACTTTAATATGGTCATGGCAGACAGGAACACATTCGTTACTGGTGAGTTCTTTCACAAATCGTTTCAGTTTCGATGGTGACAAAGGAACTACCAGGCTGTATGAAATGCTGACCTAAGTGTAGCCCTTGGCAAAATTCACCTCATCAAGTGGCTTGTGGGCCTAGTGTGTGCTAAACAATTAGATTGGATGAGCATCCAAAGTGAACACTGGCAAATCACGCATCCTGTTCGTGCGTCGCATTGGTACACTGTCTAGAATGTCTAGGCTTCGTGCTACCCACTTTGGTGGATGCCTTTAACCTCCTTTTTCATCCACTAGAAGACACCATTAGCATGTCACAGATGCCATAAACTCGGATGACCACAGTGATCAAAGTGGCCAAACTAAATTTCACAAAGGGTCTAGGCTCCACACACTGCCGAAAGTCGGCTATACTAGGCTTGAACCAGCTAGGCTGCCACTTACACGTTGAACATGACTCCTTTCTTTGTTGTTCTCTGGACCTTGACACAACCTCGAGCACCGTGGTGTCATCCATTCCCCACTGCACCCCAACTTTCAGAACTGGCCAACGTTCTCCAAGAATTCCCCGGGCAACTTGCCCAACCCTCTGAAACTCGCAAAAGGGCTGCCGATTTTAGGCGCATTTTCGACAGCCTGGCAAAATGACGTGGGAACAAAGCTGGACAGAAAGAGCCCTCCACAGAAAGGTGCAGAACTCACATCTCATCTAGGACCTCTGACCGCTTTGTCTTGGCATAGGGAGTCTTCTCCAGTCCAACTACCTTGCTGCAAGCTGCGTTGAAGTCGGTGCACAGGGCAGTGGCCTCCCTTCGCTACGACGATAAAAAAAAGAAACCATTTCTATTTCAGGCAGACCTTTAGAGTTGAACTAACCCTAGTACTATATCTGAAATCTATAGTATACCTTCAATAGAGAAAGTATCAAAGCATTAAACCAAGGGCTGTGATGCTGGCTTCCCTTGAAATTGTCTACCGGCACCCCTTGTGGCAAATTGTGGTGTTCACAACTTGGAAACTAGTTTCTTGCAGTATGCTTAAAAGGGACACTAAGGAGCATTCTGGGATCGGCTGTTCTTGGTCATAACTGATTCTACAGGCCCTGAGCATCCTAAACACCCAAAAATTACAATCACGCAACGCCGGTTTCCTTAATATAAAAACGTGATGAAAGGTTGGGAACCACCCCTTTCTGAGCGGAACTTTCCGCTCAGGAAAGAAGGGCATACCCCAGCAGTGGTGTCAGCGTGGCGACGATGGCGCTCGTCAGCCAATCGCAAACCACCTCTCTCGGAGAGGCAGCTTGCGATTGGCCGAGCGCCCATCGTCACCTCACTGACACCACTGCTGGGGTATGCCCCTCTTTCCCGAGCGGAAAAATCCGCTCAGAAAGGGGTGGTTCCCAACCTTTCATCACGTTTTTAACAGTGAAATAGGCGTTGCATGATTCTAATCTTTTTTATTTTTAGGATGCTTAAGGCCACAAAATCAGTTATAACCAAGAACAGACGATCACAAAATGCTCTTTAGTGCCCTTTTAAAGACAGTTCTAACCGTTTCACCCACCTATAGCATAGCAAGAAATTGTGTTCCTCAAAGCTATTTATAGAGTAGCCCATACATTTTGTAAACCTTGCTTCAGATGTAGAGTGCCACCCTTTTCAACAGAAAAGTTTCGGGGTTTACAAGCTAAATTTGAAAAAGGGTATCTGGCATGCCCAAGCGAAAAATTGGGGATTAACCTAGACCACTTAGGAATCTTCTGCCATGCAACTGAAATCTCAGTTACATGGCGTCTTGTCCACAATAAGCCGCAGTCAAATTGCGGGCTGCTCAATTGACGTTCTAACCTGCAAATCGGGGATTCGTAGGCCAGCAATCAACCTCAAAACCACTGAGACAGCGCAACCTTCACAGTGAGCGAAATGAACTCGGTCCGTACCTTGTCGTCAACTTTGCTCAAGATATCATCGCATGATGCCCACTTTGCTAGGAGCCTGTCATTGCCTGGGAAAAAACGTGATGACAAAACATGATGTTACTGGACGATGAAGCCCGTGATCAGTCGTAATGCTAATGTTAGCTGATATAAACACAGCATATACTTACTTTCACTGGGATGACTCCTATTCCACTGCTGCAGATGTGCAACATCTCTAATGTAGCTAGAAATAAAAATAAGAGACTTCAGAGGAAGGTACCACCGAGATATCAACCATAAATAATCTATACGGATCTCAATTATTCGTGGCAAAATTTATAAAACAGTCTTCTCATAAAACTTTTCACATTTTTCAGCCCCAATTTTTCACAAGAATCAGGTCGCTGGAAGCATTTATGTTTTGTTTGTAGAAAGCGTTTAGTATATTGTTTTCAAATTTTGCATGTGTAAAGGTTGTTTCAGCTTGAACATTTGCAAAAATGATAAACTATAAAGTTAGGGAACTCACACAAATTAAGGCTATTATGTATAAAAAAAGTAGACATTCACCTGCTCTTTCTCAAGGATCGTGGCTGCTAAAATAGCTTGTTTTGCCCTAAATAACTAGGCTAGTTTGTAACACATCGGGGGCTATTCAATTCAGCATTATTTCTAATCTTCACAACCAAAACATAAAAAGTAATGTCAAAAGGAAGCACATCCTTACCATTCGTGGGCAAATTTGACTTTGGCCATGACCATGTTATTTTCAAAGTGGATGTCTGACAGTGCCTTCTGCAGTGTAGGGATCTCTGTGTTCAAGTATGCCCTAAAAAACAAAAAGTAATTGCATCGCGCAAGGTTCCTAAAACAGCTTACATACATCGCACTGATAAAATTTTTCACTTGGCTAGCCAGGCACCATGACATTGCTCAGTGCAGTCCTATATTCAAGCAGCTGTCTTAAAGGGTTATTACTGCAAGCCACACAATGGAAAAGGCAGACCACAATGTCTTGTCTCTTTCTCCACTGCAAAAGCTAGGAATGACTAAGTGCAATTTGATTAAAGTCACGATTAGCACACCTGTACTTTTGTGTTTTCATAGGCTTCTCAACAAGCATCTTTGCATTTTAGCACAAGAATTTTTTAACAGAGGGTGATCTGATAAAACTACTATTAATCATCTGTCCAGCATCTGGCATCTGAGCAGATGCAATCTGACAGTGTCCTTATTTGACTCTTATCTTGGTTGCTTGATCAATTAGTGTATCAAGTCACTTCTCGTACACTGTAAAAAGAAAGCTAGTAAATCGTAGCAATCTTCCTTCTATACCATAAAATAAGCTGGTTTAGTTTCGCTGTTATGCTGTCATAAAAAAGTAATCAGCCCCATTTGTGTAATAATACATACGCAAAATTCAGGGTCTGAGAAGACCAAACCGAAAGTTCTTCTTTTTCAATGTAAGCAGAAGAAGCAACTTTATGGAAGTGTGGTTGTAGTGCATTTCACATGAAATCAAAATATTTCTGTTTTGGTTACACCAAAATTATGTTTCAATTATAAATAAACGCACATCTAAAATGTTGCCTCTAAAAAAAAACAAAAAAACATCCTGTCTTGGAAGTGGCCTCATGTGCTACCAAACTTTCCTTAAAAGAGAAAAAAGAAAAAGGAAGAGTAAAGGCATAAAAACAGTGAGGGCTTAGGCGAGCTGGTGTAAGTTAACCATTTTGTTGAAACATATGAGACTAGGCGTGAAAAAGCTTGAAACAACCAAAAGTAGAAGAGACAGGAAAATAAGTCAGTCAGACGACGTCTCAAACTCAGCTAATACAGAATTAGCTGAGTCTGAGACGTTGTATGACTGACTTCTTTTCCTGTCTCTTCTACTTTTGGTTGTTTCAAGTTTTTTTCACACCCAGTCTCGGGCGTTAGAGTAAAGGCACTGTGGAATGAATGTCGTACCAACAGAACCGGTCACGCGCCAGAGAAAACGCTCACTTACAGACCACTGTGGAAGGCACCGAGGATGTTGTGAAGCATCTCAACTTCCTTCTGAACGGCAAAGAGGCTCTCTGCCCAAATCTTCTTGATCTCCATGCTCCTCAGCTGAATGTCCCGGCTTTCCAGGCGATCGGAGAGCTCCACCAGAAGGCAAGGGCTGTAGTCGAAGCTCTTCAGCTCGGCATTTACCGAGTCGTCAAAAAGGTAAAGCGTGGCCTGCCCCAGTTCCTTCAAAAGAGGAAAGAAGCAGCACAGAAAGCACTTAGTACAGTGCGACGTCGTGAAACTACAGCTTAATTGCGTCGCGCGTACGTCTAGGCGGCAGGAAGTTAGTCGGCCCCAATGGGCGACTGGTCTCTACGAGAAATTTTGCCAGTGCGGTACTATGGCTAGTTCACAATCTGTAATGTGTACCACACGGTAGAGATGCACGACCGCACGCCGACGGGATGTACGCCCAGATCGGAACAGGTCGGGGTGGGGATCGAACCCGGGATCCCTGGGCACTGCAAAGCGAGCTTTCGCTCAGTGTCCTCCAAGCTGAGATGCACTAATGTATTCGGCCACCGATCCCCCAGCTTTTCATCTTTGTCGCAATGGCAGCATTTTTCGGTATTTGTCCCTTTTCACGTAGCTCGTGGGTCACAAAGAGAAGGCAATGAAGCATCGAACTTGGGAGGCACGTAACCTGTATGGCTAGACACACCACAACACATGTTTGCAAAAGGAAGAGGGACTAAACCAAAACTTTCTGCCACTATAATGTTTAGTATTAGTATATACTTTACTGTGTATCAAAGCTCTTTTATCAGAATGAAAATACTTGACAGAAATAATTTTCCCCTTTGGGATAATGTTGTTGGAGGCAGCGGCGGGCATTAGGACACAGGAGACGTGCGCGGGTCATGATTACAAATTGCACTCCATACGAAATTAAACTAGTGGAAGCGAGCTACTGAGCACTACGGAAGCGTGTGCAACAGAGAATGCAATGGAGAGAGTAATAGGTTGTTATGAAAGCCTGAATTGAATGCCTTTTGAGCCTGGTCTAATGTCACGCCCATCTGGCCAAGAAGTAAGAGGAAGAGGGCAGACACGGCCGGGAGGTCCAATGAGTCACGTCGGGTGGCAGTCATTGGACATAATAAACAGGAAGGCAAGCACAATAAACGGAAAATAAGTACACACATTCCTACGGGAACTTAATGGGACCAGCATTTGTGAATGCCACAGCAGGAAAACCATATCAATGATGCAGCCAGAGTTTTTTATTGGCTATTGCTACCATAGCAATAGCCAATAAAAAAAGCTTTCAGCCTTTCCACTCTGGCGAAGAAGGAAGACCAGCAAAGCTGTACTATGATGGGACGACCTCAAGGATGACGCCTAGAGGATGACATCTAGGACGACCTGAAGGACAACGTCTAGGACGACCTCAAGGATGACTTCTAGGACAACCTCGAGAACGACCTAAAGGACCATGCCTAGGACGACCTCAAGGATGACTTCTAGGACGACCTCAAGGACGACCTCCAGATCAACCTCTAGGACGACCTCGAGGACAACCTCAAGGGCGACTTCAAGGATGACGTCTAGGACGACTTCAAGGACGACGCCTAGAGAAATTCAGCCTTTCCACTCTGGTGAAAACCGGAGTGGAAAGACTGGAAAGGTTGCTGCCATGTATGAGTGAGGCTGGCAAGCCGGTTGTCTGGTTGCCGCCGTTGCTCATAGATGGCGGTAGCTGTCCAGAGTTTGTGTCAACATTTGTTTGGTATCAAACACGATCCTGGGGAACCTAGCCCTTAACAGTAAAAAAAAATCTTGAATGCATCGGTAATTTTTCTAGCATATCCATATCTGAAATGCCAGGTCCAGATTACGAGCCTATGGCAACTTTACAGTAAAGAAAAGTTGCAGTAAGTTTGTCATCAGTGCAATGTTCACTCATAAAAAAAGACTGATGTCAAGCAAGGATTCTTTCTGACACTGACTTTCATGAAAGGGTACTCTCCTGTATGATAAAAATATCAATGTAGAAATGCAAAATTGCTGTCAGTCCATACTGCACAGGTACACAGGCATTTGACATAGCTAGATTTGGTAAAGACACCAATAACAATTTTTTAAATTTTATTTTAAAAAGTGTAAAGAGGGGATCTTTATTGATGTCGGTGTCCACCAAAAACCTCCGCAGGTGTTGTGCTTGGTGGAAAGCAGGAAAGCATGACAATCCAATGAACATAACATTCATTCACTGCGACACAGCCTCCCATCCTCCCTGTAGCAAGAAACTGCCGCCAAGAGGTCCACAAGGCAAGGAAAGCCTTCTCACCTGGTAGCGCACACAGTGGTCGGAGATGTCCTTGAAGTTGGAGAGCTTTGCTTTCTCGCTGAGGAGCAACTGATTCCGTTTCAAGATTCCAGTCCGTCTCTCCAGCTCCGCTGCCAGCGCACCTGCACTGCCCAGGTCTCCGTCCAATGGCAATGAGATCACCGACAGGCTTTGCATGCTGAAGATGTTGGCTGTCTGGAAAAATGCAGTTCAAGAAAACATATTTGAGGGAAACCCTGGCTTTTCGAGGTATTCCTCGACCGTGTTCCTTCCTTCCTTCGGTAATTCCATGAAACAATGATTTACAGGGAGAATTGTTCTCACTGTCGACGATCGATAAATCTAAGCTCATGGGAACAGCAAAACACTTTAAATTGAAACGACAGATACTCAAACCGTTTGCCTTTTTATTGAGTACTCACTGGAAGAAATTGATGTTTGCTTGCCCCAGCTAACGGAGATGCGCAGCATTAACTAGTATGTTCTGGATATTGCAAACCTTTCTTAGCGTGCCTTGAGCACTTTCACTGCCAAAGAAAACGCAAAATTGTACTCCGTGGTGCTGCAAGTGGTTTCTGCGTCAGTGGCACTCGGCACGGAAAGTGACACGATCGTTCCTAAGCCTAACCACCTGCACAATGTCACTGTCTGAAAGCGGACTGCAGACCACAGCATGTTTGTTGACATTGAGATATTCGATCGACAAAACGTCCCACAGGACTGGGTAGTGCTTCAAAATAAGCTTTGTTGCCCTTACGTGCCGCACGGCCACACTCGCTTCTGTCACGGACAATACGGTTTGGAGCAGCTTGGCTTGGCCACCGTTTGGCTTGTTCGTGCGCCACTCTCACTCCCTCTTCTTTCCCGACCGCGCGCAGTGAATAAAAGCAATAACGTGTGCACGGGTGCAATTTAAGCTTGGTAAACATATTTGCCGCACGGCTTTTCTGCATTTTCATGCACCAAGAGTTGCCGGACTTCTCCAGCACATAAAAAAAAGTCAGAGTTAACCAGGCCCATAGGTTAACCCTTGAATTAACCATACCCTTTCCCCATAGACTTGAATATGCAATTTTTGGGAATGTGCTCCTGCTTCGAACCGAAAATTTGAATAAAGCGACTTTGAATTAACCGAGAGTCGACTCTAGTGTATGTAAACACTGCTCTTTTTAGAATGGGCAAAATTTAAACAAATATGCACCGTAAAAAAAAAAAAAAAGGAAGAAAAGAGTTTCCATCTCATTTATTATAAAAAAAAAAGAAAAAGCAAAGATTGGCACTAAAATGCCTCCCCTACTGAAGTGATAAACTACCGTGTGTTTGTGAGAAATCCGAATCCGGCTTTTCGCACCGCAAAAATAAACTAGACATTGCGGGGAGCTTTGACTCTGTCAAAACATAGCCCCAGTCGTTCGAGCAAGATGCCAAAGTTTCAGCACCAACCGTTATCCTGCTCAAAAGTTATACGCGATTTTCTAAAAATATCAATGGAAAAATGGCAGCCGACTGAGCTCTCAAATACATAAAGCTCTATAACGCCAGAAACCGAAAACAGGCAAAAATGGGCCCCATTTTCCAAATGAAATTTTCAGAAAATCGCTCATAACTTTTGAACAACGGTTGGTGCTGAAACTTTGGCATCTTCGTTCTGACAGAGTTTGAGCTCTCTGCAACGTCTAGTTTATTTTTGCGGTTCGAAAAGCCAGGTTGGGATTTCTCACAAACACCCTTTATATTTTGAAGAAGACTAAACTTATTAGTGGCTGACCAGTAGTTCAAATCGTATTCCAGAAATAGTTGAAAAATTTAATTTACTCTGAATCTTATTAGGATGACTACCCGCTTCTCAGTATCTCGTCGAGGCCAGGATGGAGAAAGAGGGCATTTACGCTTTTTCTTCCTTCCTTCATATCTCCTCATCCCGCCTTATGTTCACTAACATGATATGTTTCCTTCCGCTTGTGTAGGAAATGGAACTGATCACATTAACAGAAGCTGACCATAGAACCAGCGCTTCAGCTCAACAACAGTTCAACCATGCAGCTACATAGTAGTTAGCTAGTGCCCGTGTCTATCACAAAGTCCCAAAACATTGAGGCAAAAAGCCACGACGAGGAAGAATAAACAGGAAAAGGTTACCGGTCGTGCAAGTAGGTTCTCAAGGATTTCGTAGACAGTGAGGTTGTCACGACGGCCCCTCAGCTCTGGTTTTGTTTCGAGGAGAATGCGTAACCAACGCTCCAGATCTTCCTTCAGGACCCTGTAGACAAAAGAGCCGTTACTCTCCAGGCAAGAGAAAGCTTTATGTTTACACAAGAACAAGTTCATGCTACGAGGCTCGTAACTAGCGCACCTTGTTAGATGGTTCAAGGGAGGCAGCTTGTCGTCGTAGACATAACTTCCGGAAGAACGCAGGTCTCCCCTTATGTCACAGCTTCCCTTGTTGTTGACTAGAGGGATCCTGGACGCAGGTGAGGTAAACATATTTATTTTACTTTTATTTAAAAAATACTGTGGCTCACATCTGTGAGTCATAGCAGGGGTGGAACATATTGCATTGGTGCGATATGCTTAAGATCACTTTCTCGTGGCAGAGCAGACTGCCTCAACAAAAATATATTGTGACGAGAGGGTTACCATTTCATTAGACCAAGAATTCCAATAGTTTATTAGACAATGCAGTGCCAATGAGACAACGCAGATTAATATAATAATCAACCGATACACAGAGGATCACCAATGACTTCTCAAGCGGACGACACAGTTCCCATCAGAACGAACGTAAAAAAAAAGTCAAAGCCGTTTACAACTCCCTGTAACGCTGAATTGGAGCGCAGCTCTTGAGGAGGAGGAGGGAAGGGTACTGAGGGGGGGAGGAGGAGGGAAGGGTATTGAGAAGAGGGTAGGCCCCTCCTCCCCTCATTCTTCAATATCCTCCGAGGGGGGGGTCGCGTGACCCCGAGGGCGAGGGGCCGCGTGACCTCGAGGGCGAGGGGTCGCGTTACCCTGGGACGAGGGGTCGCGTTACCCTGGGACGAGGGGTCGCGTTACCCTGGGACGAGGGGTCGCGTTACCCTGGGACGAGGGGTCGCGTGACCCTGGGACGAGGGGTCGCGTGACCCTGGGGTCCAATAAAAAAGCCTGGATGACGTTAAAGTTGTTTCAGGACTGGCTAGTGGCTTTTGACAAAGACAGGAATGAGCAGCACAGGAAGGACCTGCTGCTTTTGGACAACTGCTCCGCGCACAGAATGGCGACTCCACTGAAGGCAGTCCGTTTGATGTTCCTGCCACCGAACACAACTTCTGTCCTCCAGCCTCTGGATAAAGGGATCATCCGGTCTCTAAAGTGCTTTTATCGAAAGCGCTTGGTGACGCAGCTCGTCTTTGACGTCGACCAGCGGAGATCCACAGCCATCAACATGAAGACAACGCTGGAAATGTTGTGTGGGTCGTGGAACGATGTGAGACAGTCAACAATAAGGAACTAATTTGTAGGTGCAGGCTACGTTCCACTCGCCAATGAGGTTCAACTTAAAGACCCGACAGAGCGACTTGACAAGGCAACCTGGCATCGATTGACACTATCGAATGTCTCATTCAAGGATTTCGTTTCTACCGACGACACCTTGGTTGTGGCACCCGAGCTCACTGGTCAAGAAATTGTGGATCATGTTGTGCTGCCCGGCAATGACAGCAGCGGGGACAGCGATGATAACGAGAGCGAAGACGACACTGAAGAGCCTCCGGCAATTAGCACAGGTGCCGCAGATATGGTCCGGAAGCTGCGCAATCATTTGGAGAAGCTCCCTACTGCCAAAACCGCTGAGGTAGAGAAGGTGCTCTAGTGTATGGCCACTGTGGAGAACTTCATTCTTTAAAATGCTGTGAAGAGGCACTAGCCCAAAATCACGTCTTTCTTCCAAGTAAATGAAATCACGTATCCAGCTAACATTGTTTCTCATGTTGCCAAATAATATTGTCATGTTCCTATGTCTTTACTTTTTTAATGCTGCTCAGTGACAGGTAAGGATCTCGAGGTCCACGATAGTGCATTTTTATGTCGTAGTGCTGCGCACATTCTTGCACAGGCTCAATTGCAAAAGCGTTCGTGTAGATTTTTGTGTTTACTTTTATAACTAATGTTGCAGCATATAGGAAACAAATTTCTGCTCGCGATGCTAATTCATTACAACAAAGTTTGACTGTATACTTTGTTTCACAATATGCTGGACCACAGCAAACGCTACCAGCCACCCCAGACAATCCAGCGCCCTGAACGTATTACGTGACTACACACCCCGCACGTCGCCGTACCTTTCCTCAAAAGTCGTATGACAGTCACATGGCATTGGATTGGCTACAATGGCTCGTGGCGGCTACCGCGGTCCATTTTGAGGCGAAACTGAGTAGAGGTAAAATTTAGTGCATCACGGTTCGGGTCACGATCCTTGTTTGTTTCACATAGTGAAGCAAAAGGCCAAGCAGAAGTCACAAACCCGAGCCGAAATCGGACGCCTAGTCACCTTCACGTCAACAGGAGATACTCCGCAGAGAGATTAGACCAGGGGTGGCCAAGCCGCTGCTCGAGAGCTGCATGCGGCTCTTCCCATGTCGCAGTGTGGCTCGCGGCTCCCTCCCCAGCCTTCCCCCCCTCCCCCGCCTCCCTGAAGGTCACACGAGCACGTCCCCAAAAAGAGAAATGGAACGCGTTTTAAATCGAAAGGCAGGTTGCGGTTTGGTAGTCTTGTGCTACTGCCTTACATACAGTTGGACTGCTTTCGACTCGGATAGACTGAAAGTAGTTCGAGTTTTGTTTTTTGCTATTTACAAATATTTGCCCCGCCCCCCGCGGCTCTTGGAAGTTTCGTGGCTTTGTTTGCAACTCTTAGGCTGGGTCAGAATGGCCACCCCTGAGTTAGACAAAGAGAGGCCAACAAAAAATGCGCAGAAACTTACTGCAGGTGCTAATTGTTGAACAGAGCATCGAACTCACCACTGTGCGGGAGAAGCGTTGGGTGAGAAGGGTCGCTGCCCCACGATCACCTCATAGGCAATGATTCCGAGGCTCCAAAGGTCAACGGCTCTCGTGTATGGTTTCCTCTCAAATAGTTCCGGAGCCTGCGAGATGCATGGGTTGTGTGCAAACATAAATTGTGTAGTACAAGTGCAGAAATGGCCTTGGATGATAATGCAGACCCAAAAACGTTCCACTTTAGCCAAAGAAACACTTGGCAAGAAATATTTAGACGTCATCTCAAGCCAAGGTTGAGAAGAGGATTGTGTGAAAAAACAAAGAGTAAGAATAGGGGTGGTTGATTTCAGCTTTTGTATCAATTATAAGAAAGGAGGGTTCCATTCTAGCCTTTGTTTTTTTGCTCATAGTAGCAACCACTCTGAATGTACCCTTCGAGAGTTTTCCGGATTTCAAATAGGTTGTGATGCAAGAAGAAAAATGTAAAGATTATTCATGATGTGAAGTCTCTCTGGCTACTTAGCATATGCACCAAATTACACAACTTTCAGAACGCTGGTAACTACGAGATTTATTTGTTAGATCTACTTCTTGTTTTCGCCCTGTAATCAGGCAGCCTCGACCAAACTGACGTAACTGGCAGGGCTGCACAATCACTTTGCTTCCTCCTTTAGGAAATATATGGTCATTGGAATAAAGCCTAGCAAATAGTCATCTCAGACTATTTTTCTCCTTGACGGTGGTTTGCTTTGGCCTTAAATGCAAACGTAAAGAGAGAGATTGGTTCTGAATGAACATACCATGCTATATGCATAAGGTTCTTTAAATTGAGAAAAAAGTTTGCTCAAGTTAACCACAAGTCTTTCATTCTTTTATTCAAGTATTTATCGAGTGAAAGCGAGTAAACATTGTTTGACTGCATACAATTATGTTTACAAGTAGGCATTTGTGCCAACCAAAAGTGGCGTCTTTTGGGCTAGCACCAAGTGGGGTGTTTTATTGGCAAGGAGGTTGAACTTTAAGGGGAGCAATGTCCAGCTTGTTTTCCCATTGTGTTCAAACACAAAGCACATGCACTCACTGGATTCTTTACTTCATTACTCTCGACTGAGCACGGTGCAAAGATTGGGCACGACTCACGCCCAATGTTTTCCCCGCGCTCAGTCGTGAAAGATGAAGTGAAGAAATCCAAGAGCGCTGGGTCTGCGTTCGCTTTACCGATTGAACATGAGCCCCCACCGAACACTGATGCAATGTTTGGCTATGTGGGCCGAGTGCTACATCAAATCTCAAACAAGTCATCTATGTTACTGTCTTTGTCGGTGTAGTTCTCAATTTAGCCCCTAGGGGTGCGACGGCTGGATCTCCTTCTGAATAGTTACCTGAAAATAATATGTAAACCTGATATCCTTCATTTATTTATGCAAATACCAGCTATATTGTAGAGCATGGGAATGATTTATATATAAGTGGCAAAAGTATAAACTGCATGCAAAAGTGAAAAACAAAGTGCCACTTACCAGGTATTGCAGTGTTCCAACAAAGGAGTTGCACAAACTGCTCTGGTCAAACTCTTTGGCATATCCCAGGTCAATGATTTTGTAAACAACCTAGACCGTAAACAAAATCACATTAGCACCGGCAACGGAAAAAGTTTGGAAAAAAGCACCTCAAACATCGACCAGCTTCCAGAAAACCGAAAGAAGCTTGCACTACACAATCATGAACAAAACCTACACTAAACCTTTTCTTGCATGCTTTGTAATTAACAAGAACCAAGCTAAATCATGTGCACCATAATGAAAAAAGTTCAAGCTACACTTCACAAAAAAAAAAAAAAAAAAAAAACATGACCAAAGGAAAAAAAAAGAAAAAAAAAAGTGTCCGGTATCTTGTTGAAAGCACCCGCTACTAACTATGCAACAATTCACAAGCAGTGAATAATCGATCCTTCTGAAAACGCGAGCAGTGCGAACAAGGAAGCACGAGACATACCGTGCCGTCCTTCTCCTGCAGCACTACATTTTCGGGCTTCAGGTCCCTGTGCACGACGTGGTGTGTGTGCAGGTACTGCAAGCCAGAGGAGACGTCGCTCAGGACGCGGCGGACGTCCCTCTCGGGCAGGCCACAGCAGTTCTCCCGCTTCTGCAGCACCTGCGGACAGAGCCTCACCTGTTGCAAAGAACTATTTCCCCCGACATCCAACAAAAATATTTTTTCTACAGTGTTTCACGTTTGCCAATAAAGATGCACAACATCAAGCTGAAACCAGAGGTTCAGCGCAAAGGACTGTGACATTAAAGACTTGGAATGGAGAGCGTGCTGGTAAGATCCATCCCCGTTTTATATCCTTCCCATTACTGACATTTACATTGAAAACTCCGAGAGTTGACGCAAGTCACTTGGGTTGTCTCCCTTCCCACATCTATGCATTCAAACTTTCAATATTACAACGCCTCCTTGGCATCTGCAGTCTCATTTCGTAACAAAACCCGTCAGCAAACACTTTTGTTAGGATCAGTGCAACAAAATAGTACTGTCCGTGATCAGCTGAAAACTAAAGAAACGTCACATGCTGCAAACAATTTATTGACCATCGTGGCAGCGTTGGAAAGGATGTGGCGGCAACATCAAAGCACAGCTCTTTAGTAACTCTAGATAGAATCGCCTCTTGTGATGGGAGCTGGGAAATAAAGAGAGGAGCAGAATGCCGCCAATTGTAAGAGCCGTCGTCGGCAGTTCCGAGAAAAAGAACGAGAAAGAAAGCGACAGAAAAGAAGATAAAGAAAACAGACGAAAGGTTAGGCGGGTTCATTTTGCCATGACGAATTTAAGTCGTTCGTATGCTTGTCAACCTAATTTCTTTTTGTACGATGCGTGACGCCAGCATTTTCCTTAAAAAAATAAGGCTAGGAAACAGTTAGGTGCAGACCTCACAGGCGGTTTCTTGCCACTTTTAGTGTCTACTAAAGCGTCGCTAGCAATATGGTCCCACTGGGACTACCAACCTGTGTGTCTACGCCTGCGTCTAGGCGACCAAAATGCATGCGAAGCTGGTGGACGTCTTCCTCTAGATGGAGGAGTGAGTGCATACCTGGCGAAGGTTGCCACCGGTGCAGTACTCCATGGCGAGGAAGGGTAACGGAGAGTTGAGCTGGGCAAAGGCCTTGGGGAGAGGCAGTCCCTTGATCACGTTGGGGTGGTCGAGCTTCTTGAGGATCTCCACCTCTTGCGCCCAACGTTCCGAGAGCTTGGTGGTCAGCTCCGAGCAAGTCCTCAGGCAGGCCTTGAGAGCGATCGTCTCCTTGGTTTCCTGTAAGCCATTTGGCAACTCGTGTAAGATGTGTGCACCTGGCTCGGATCAACCGAGTCAAAGTAGCTGCTATACACAAACGCGTTACCTACAAACAAGCATGCATTCCCACACAAGGTGTGGGCACAGCATGCGCAGAAACCAAATTTGTGCAAAGTGAAGCGTCTGCTCATGCGCAGACGCTCCGCCTCACACATGCACGCTTCACCTTATCGCAGTGGTGTGATGTGAGAAAGTCGAGTTGGTGTATGGTTACAAACGAGGTGAGGACGGAAACGGTGTCCCTTTCAAATGTCCAGCTTCCAGAGCACACTCGTTGCCTTTGGCTGTGCTTTGACTGCACGTGCGTGCTCCAGGCTCATGAGGTGCTGAAGCATCATAGAAAGTAGGACAACTGAAACTCCTCCCTACCATTCCCTCATGCTGTCAGTGACTTCAACTTTGTTCCTTTTTTTTTTAAATCTTTGCAAGAAGCATGCTTTAAACCTAACTTTGGAAACAAACTCTTGTGCTTATCCGCAATACATAAACTTCTTAGCAGAACCTTTAAAAAAGTTTGTGCTGCTTGAAATGCGGTTCCACTCTGGTGGGTAGTTGCACTCTGGTGGGTGGAGGTAGTTCGGAGAACATTTGAACAATCAGAGGATGTTTTGCCGAAGCCCACAGTAGCCACAAATTTGACGAAATGATACAATCATGGTCCACTAATCGAAACACTTTGCTCCCCTGCCCACTCAATTTGGATAAGATCTTATTCTGTTAATCGAGTGAAATTAAAATGGGGCAGAACGTTTTTGGTACTAATGTGTTTCCACATAAACCCTCAGTGCATGTGTGCTTTACGTTAAGAAAGTTAACTTACTATGCCACTGCATCAGCTTGACAGATACTAGTTACATGTGTAATATCGCAATAGGACATATCTAATTCACAATTTTATCTTCAAAATCTAGAACCTTGCTGTGAAAAGAAAAAAAGCTTTCTTGCAATGTTGATTGAGCAGGACGTGACTGTACTGCAAATAAAGAGTCTTGCCAAATATTACTCCAAACTGGTCACTCCAGTGGTGTAGCCAGGATTTTATTTCGGGAGGGGTTTAACGGCACTATCACCTCCTTCTTCCCCTTCCCTTCCCTCCTTCCCTCCTTTCCTTCCCTCCCTCTCCCTCCCCCTCCCCCCCTCCCCCCCTCCCCCCTCCCCCCCAAATTGATGAAGTAGGGTGAACTCGGCGCTATGGATTCTCACGCAAAGATTAGTGAGGCACTGTTAAGATAAAACTGGTAAAGCTACAATATCATTTTTCAGAACGGAGCAGGCTTCATTTACAGCAATACGGGCGTGGTACCTCACTGTTCTACTGTCGTCGTAGTTGTGGCCCACCAACTTTAAAAGCTTCCTCACAGCACACAACTCCCTTTGCTTTTTGAGGTAGCACTGTATTACCAACGCGTGTCGGCCAGACAGAAGAAAAGGATAGCTATACTGTCACAAAAAATTAAACAGCAACTAAAAATAAATTTTGACGCTGAAAAATTGAGCAAACGTCCACCCAGAAACACTAGGCCATATTCCAAGCTGCCATTAAAATGGCCAAGACAGCGCAAGTTGAAATTCAGATGCCGCGTGTAACAAGTTTAACACCGCTCCAACATTCCCGCTGGAAGCACAAAAGAGCATTTTAAGCGCTCCGTGTTCGTTCCTTTTATGGATTACCTGATCGCACAGCTAAACGGGATATATAAAAAGCATTAACATACGCTGCAATTACTTTCGTCGCTTCTGCCTGCAAAGATCTTGGAAAGCGGGGCAGCTCCTCGCACTGAGGAGTTTCTGGAGCAATATTCAGGCATGGTTTCAGTTCCAGTACTCTAATGCGAGCTGCTCATATGGGCTGCCGAATGCAAGACGGAAAAACACTTTCTCGTGAAACGTCACGTCTACGCTACAGGCGGTCGCCTTCTGTCTGGAGGCTCTATTGGCGACGAGATGTATTTGGTGGCGCCACCTCGCAGACACCCTCCTGTGACGCAGCTGGTAAGATGCGAGCAGACGACGCCCTATGTCAAAGCACGGAGTGGCTACAATAGTTCACAACTATGAAGATTAAAACGGTTTATTTATTAAAGAAACGCATGTAACGTTTTTTTTTAGTTATCTTTCTAATGAATAACAGTGCCTCGAAGTTGCTTTTTGTATTAGAAAAACTTTAAATGTTCAAAAACAAGCCTGGAGCTTCACATTACAGCTTGCGCGGCGTGCGTCAGGGCTATTCAGAGCCTCTCTGGCCCCCTTTTTTTTTTTTCTTCGGATCTGAGGAGGCCGTTGTTCAAAAAGGTTTTGCATTCACCAGAGTAAATGACGTATTGTCTTCTTAGCTGTGCACGCGCATGCACAGTTGCGCTGCAAAGCGCCGCACACTTGTTTTAGCTACATTGAGCTTGCCCATACCGACGCTTCTATCCAGGGGCTCTAATCTGGACACTTGGCGAGAAATTCGGCGAGAAGTCTGGCAGCCGTGATTGGCCAACGCCTCACATGACCTTGGCACCGGCCCAGGGGCGAATCCAAGGGGGGGGGGCGACGGGGGCGGTCGGCCATCCCCCCTCCCCCCTTCTTGGAGGGCAATTTGGGATGGGTGGACCCCCCGGTGCACACAAAATAATGGGAGAATAGCATCCTTACAAATTTCCCGCCCCTCCAAAACGGAGTTCTGGATCCGCCCCTACGCCAGCCAATCGTAGCCGCCGGATTTCTCGGCTACTTTTTCGCTAAGTGTCCAGATTAGGGCCCCAGGTACGACTCGGCAGTTGATGCCGAGCAAATGCTCGTCAGCAACTGACGCTTGGCTCCTCCCGAATCGAAAACGCGGCAAAGAAGTCTGTCACATCGCGACTTCTGCTCGAAAGAAAAGAATAAACTTTTATGAATTCTTAAACTGTCGGCCATGGCCCGGCAAATTCGGGCGATTGATTAATTTGTTCTATCCTATTTTTACCAAGAATCGTTTACAAATTTAAAATCACTCGCTGAGAAGCGCATCATGCATTATGCGCATTTGGGTCCCTTTATAGCAGGTGTATTCCTCATTTTCTAGGACGTTGAAGTGTCACCGAGTTACTAGATTACTTCGATCGCGAGGGGGTCTCGCACATTTTGGGTCGGCCGGGTGAATAAGCAGGGAGTTAGTCGAAACGACTCCAGGAGCCAGCCCCCCGTCTCTTCCTACCAGTTATTCTGAGGAAATACTTGTCTACTGGCTTACAAAATTAAAAGAAAAGGAATCAACTCGGAACTAATAAGAGACCAACACTCGCAGAACACATTGGAACTAAGAGGATACACGGAGTTGCTTTCACCGAAATGTTTACTGCACACGCGAGAGAATCTCGCATTTCGCTTACCTTTCTGCAATTTGACGAGAAGCTTCCTTTTTTATTTTGTCCGAATCATAATAAAAAAATACATCCTATTCGCCGTGGTAAACGCTGTAGTATAATAAACCGCTCGATATTCTACTTTCATCGTTCAGCTTTTTGTACTGGATAGAGAACAGCACACCACCATCCGAGCACTTCGACACATCAGCTCCAAAAGTGTTTGTTGATACGACTATGTGTGCCACGTGCGGTTTAAAGCTTTGGTAAAATGTCCTACTAGAAATATCACTTCACCAAATAAACACAACGCGTGAAATAGGCTTTGCCGCACGTTACCCCAACACCCCATGAAACGAGCTGACGAGCTGAGGGATCCAAAATCTATGTGGTCTGTCCCAGTCTGTCCTACCCGTGACGTCACAAACGATGATCATGATAGCTACAGAAGTGCCCCTGTAGTTCGCACACGCCACCAATTCCCAAACATCCATCGTCTCTTTGAGGTCATAACGACTCTACGCGTAACAACGGCGGAAGCTGAACGCTTTTTCTCTTCCCTACGACGGTTGAAAACATACCTGAGAGTGTCCACTTCGAATGAGCAACTGCTCGGTCTAGCACTTTTGACTTTTCACCGCGACATTAAAGTTCAAGTGGAGGACCCGCTGGATATTCTTTATTGGGAATGCAGGCGGCTGCATCTTAATGAGTAGGCGCTTGGCATAAATTAGATTATCAAGAAAGCCTGTAAATTGCTTTTTGAAATAACTAGACACAGTTACTTTTTTATTCGTGGTAACTTTTAGTCGAAAGCACGTAATTCTGATCAGTACTCAAGGTGTGCGCGAGCGCAGCGCCACCCGTTGCTTACAGTGCAGTTACTTTTTACTAATCATTTAATATTACTCACAACACTGACATTGTTTTATATTATAACCATGAGTTTGTTTTATTATGTTCACTTTGGCTTGATTGAACTGTGTATTTTAGTGAGGATAGTTTGTTATATTTGGCCTTGAAATTGCCACCCTTCACCCCACAAACGGTTTGAAATATCCGAGGTAACGTTCCGCATTCCATCAAATAAACATGAATGAAGATATATTGCCCATTTTATTTATTTGAGCATTTTCTACCTCACAAAAACCTTTGTCCCGAAAGCATATAAGTTGGAGCAAGTTCACGCTCCCCCTTTGCTTCATGCCGCGTGCAAAACCGAATGCGTGAGCAGGGGAGCAAGCGGGCCCCCGGGAGAGGAGGGGGGGGGGGGGGGGGGGGGGGGGGTTTGACCCCCCAAACCCCCCCTTGCCTACGCTACTGGGTCACTCGCAATATATTTTAGTTTCACTCGTCAAGAAGAAAATGTTATTACATCAGGAGCAATTACTCACAGTGTTGTGCCATAGTGTTATGCTGCCAAAGGCACCCCTGTCGAGCAGCTTGCCCTTCTTCCAACAGCCAACAGTCTGAGCGTCTTCGTCCATCGGTTTTCCCATGTCGTTGCGGTGTTAAGCCATCACGAAGAGTGCCAGTAAAGTTCTCTGGGGAAAAACAGGCATACAGTGATGCAAGGCTTTTGTGGCATGTAGTGCACTGCACTTTCTCCCGCATTTACAAACGGGGATATGCCTAATACTGCGACGACTAAATTAAAAACTACTAGATATCCTTGACGGCCGAGCATCATTGGTCGAGCGATGCGAGCATTCCTGTCAAGCAGTGTTGGGCAAGTACTTTTAAAATGTACTTGAAGTAAAGTACAAAGTAAATGAGAGGTTATGTACTATCAAGTATGAATGAAATGCGAATAGCGGTGCGCTTGGCCAACGATATGTGCGGTGCCACCTAGAGCCAACTAGGAACTGATAAAGCTGAGATGGAAAGAGGGCTAGGAGGGAATGCACATTGAAGTAGGCCAGTAGGTGCGCAGCCTCACAGCCCCACTTCCACCCTGCAGTTTTATCAGTTCTTAGTTGCCTCTAGGTCATGCAATATGTACCGAAGGTCAGGCGCTCCGCTGTTCGCATTTCATTTGTATCTGAGTAAAGTAAAGTACTATGAATACAATGTACTTTCAAAGTAAAGTATGTAGGGATTCCTGTGGTCTCCCTTCCCTAATGGCTGCGATAACGACCGCAGGTCGGAACGCTCAACCTCCTTCACCGTGAGCTCCGACCTATTTGTGAAGTGGAAGGTCCCCTGTTTTGGAGGGCCCTCCCCTCACTCTTTCCCAAGGGGAACTCCTTCCGTTCCGCCACTCAGATGCGGTTGCGAAGGTCATGCGAGGAGGATTCACCTCGTCTTTTCTCGCCCTCAAAAAAGGGACTCGTTCGGCGGCCGCGACAGAGATAGGAAGTGTTTCGGTGACCTTCCCGATGCTTCCCCAATCTTGGCTCTCTGGAACCCCGTGCCTGGAAGGTAAGGACCTTTCCCTTGCCGGCGCGGGGGGCATTTTGGATGGGGACATTACAGTTCTTTTAAGAGAGTGTTTTAATAAATGCTCTTGGACTCTATCCTTATTCTGGTACGTGTGTCGTCTCCTCCACTATATTCGAGAGGGTGAGACAAGGTAGTCGATCATTGGTACCGACGGAGGTATTTCTCGAACCAGCCCACAGTAATTTAGCCCTAAACGTCGTCTCTATAGTCACCGAGATGTGGGAACTATGCTGCTAGGCTTAACAACTTCATTGAGATTGCCGCCGCTGTTAAGATAACCTGTTGGTTACTCTGTCAGTACCACTGTTAGGCCCGCTTCAGACGGGGCAACTTTTCCAGCAATTTTGAGGTTGCTGGCGGGTCGTTCCCTAGCTTTCCCTAGATCGACATGAATTGCCGAGATCGAGTCCGGCTCGAAACGGACGAGCAACTCGAACAACTCGGAGCCGTTTGAAGCGGCAGCAGCCAATCAGGGGCGCAATATTTTTATGCGACATCCCCGTGGTGGTGATGATGACAGCTAAAGACTTGGTTCTGGATTGAAATCGATCGTTTTAGGAAGTAAACCTTTTCAGAAAGATTAGTTAGTATTCTCAAAGCCATTGAAAGATATAAAAACATGTTTTTAGCGCGTAGCTGGGCGTCTAAATAGTGCAAGAAAATTCAAAGTGAATGATAATGATAGCAAGTCGTAGCAATTCAGTCGCTGCGTGTGAACGCGGGCAACCGGTGTTGCTGGTGTTGCGACGTCAAGTTGCTGGGTGAAATTGCTCCGTCTGAAGTGGGCCTTAGTGGCTGCAACCCCACAAGTACAAATCATGATGCCATTTTTACTCCCTTACACAGCATTTTTTTTTTTTAAACTGGCATGCATTGCCCTAGGGGTAATCGGGGGTGCACCTAGCTGTTATTCTCGGAAATGGCGGCGAATATTGGACAGTCAAGTAGCTTGAAAGATGACAAAGCATAATTTTTTACACGTTTAAATTTTGGGAATGTACTTTGAAGTCGTAAGTTGTACTTTCCCGGGAAAGTACCAGAAAAAGAAAAAAAAAAACTTTACGTACAGTACAAATTTTGAAAACCTACTTGAAAGAGTACTTTGACTTAAAGTATACTTCCCAACACTGCTGTCAAGTGATGTCATCCATGTTACTGGTTCTTTCCCTGCGCATTAACAACTAAAAAAAAATATAAAAATAATAACAGTCCAACTATTACCGCTGGCATCACACGACTGCTTCTCAAACCTCGAGCTACAAAGAGGTACAAAGCGCAAAGTGCGAATTTTAATGGAATATTCTGCCGTTACCCACCCGCGATGAATCATGCGAAAACGGCGCCCCGTCTCTAGCTGACAAGTGCAAATACGAACTTTATAACAATAAATCGAGTCATGGTAGTACCCGAAGGCTCGAACGGAAATAACCTGAAGGTAGTACCGATGAAATGACGTAATATATAATTTTAAAATGCTTGTCTTTGAGCTCTTTTATCTGTCCTACGTGTTTTCCATTCCGTCACGCAGTCGCCGATTCTCGAAGTCGCGAGGTGGCAGCGGTGGCAGTTTGGTTGGTTTAGTTTCGGCGATAATAGACGCTGCACGTTTGTTGACACGGTTTAAATACTGACTAATGATGCGCAAATACTTACTTGAAGCAGGCCGACAGCAGACAGTTGACAAACAATCGCACTATATAGCAAGTTTCAGCGATAAATCTGGGCTTATGACCGACGAGACGACGTGGAGACGACGACGCCGACGGAACAAGACAACAAAAAATAAGTGGATGGCTCTGTTTGTGTACAGCAGAGGGCAGAGGTGTACAGAGTGTTTGTGCATTCGTGTAGCTGTTAGCTGTTAGGCGTGTTAGGGCGGTAGTTTGCGCCACCTAGCCAAGCTATTTATTCTTTCTTTCAGGGTTGAGCGGTTTGAAAGGTTGGTACGCCAGAGTTGGAGAAATATTGCTAAACCTCGGCGCTTATCATGTCCCGTTATGCCGTTATCACCCACAGGCAGTTTGGGGTAGCACGAGCTGTTGCTCGTATAATCGAAACAGCGCTGACCGACTGCTTTGTTGTATCATACCCTCGGAATTCACAATGACATGTACAGAGGCTGTCAATTATTGATAATTAATTTATGCGTCCTTCTGGGACTGTAATTTACAGCTTATACGTTTTATAAGGTAATAATGAGCACTTCGCTGAAGCCATGTGCTTGTGCCTATGCGCTGCATTCTAGAAACGGAAAAGAAAAGAAAACAAAACAAGACAACGTCACATGACGCTGACTTCTGCTGTCGGTAAACAAGCAACAAGAAAGTTAAAGAAAGTTGGCAACATTTTCATCAAAAACAATCGAAATCAAAACACAAACAAAAAGTGTTTCTGAGGAGGCGGGTGCAGACACCGCGCACACCGCGCATTGCACGGAAGCCGTCGCTGGGTGCAATCCTTCCCAGCATTCCCCGCGCTGACGCTGCCACGGCATAGTAACTGCCGCCACTGCCGTAGAAGAAAATAGCGAAGAAATTTATATTTGGCCGGTGAAATTCCATTCGCCCCTATGGTGTTATCTGGATTACTGCAAGACCTTCTTCAGCTCGCCGTAGTTGCCGCGGTGGACGGATCATCGAGGGAGAACAACGAATAATGCCATAGGTTCGTACTACTGCTACTACGATGGCGACGGGGGCAGACAGGGTGACTTTTGCCCCCATTTCATTCTGCGTCACAACAAAAATCCCTCGAACAGTCGGTGTTTGTGCCTTAAGGCGGCCGCTTTAGTCCGCCAGTCGCCTTCTTTAGAAAACAAAGTGACAGCTGCACGAAGGTATCTCGCGAGGATCTTTCTCGAGTGTCCAGCAAATAGGCCTTGTCTTGTTTATCTGGGCACAGCGAGCCCGCCGTTACCGATAAGCGTAAAATTACGCGCGTCGAGCGAATCCCTTCTTCGAGTTGCTCTTAATCCCGGCTCGATACGACAGTCCGTAGGATCCCTTTTCATTGTTTCACAACCTATTGTCTTCGGGATGTCTTCTGAAACGCTCGTCGTCGGAGCTGTCGTCACAGCTGATGCAGAATCGTTCGCGCACGCGATGTTCTCAATCGAGAGCGCTCTCCGATGACGTCCAAGGTCCGCAAGCGATGATTCAAGTTTGACGCTCCGTTATCCCGATTACCGTTAGATAGGCGTTTTCATTATGACGCGACGCCTTTAGTACTTCCTCGTCTCGTAGTACGAGGAAGCCTAACGAGCTCCATTCTCCCCACCCTCCGTCCTTCCTCGAATGAAAAAAGAAACAAAAAGAGTTACTTCGTTGAGAACGATATGAAGGTAGCCTATCCGGTTCTTCGAAGTCACAACAGAATCGCGCCTATGTTTACAGAATTCTTCGACCGGATAACGTGCTGCGCGATAAAGCGGCCGATAACGGTAGATCCTTGTGGCCGAGGCTGCGAGTTCTGTCGGGCTCGGCCTTGGGTCAGTTCGAAACCAGTCGATCGTCGGGAGTATGCGGCCAGATCTATTACGTCTGGTTTGCTTGCTGGCTGGCGTCTAAAATCCGTGACAGGAATGACGACACTGCTAGCCATTGCCGCAATGTCTACTGCTCAGGCATCAGCTGGTCCCGTATGTACAGTTTCATTGCCACAAGGCCAGCGTTCTCTTTTCAGTTCTTTTTTTCACCTTTTTTCGCACGTGGTAATGGTTTTCTAGACATCGCTGATGATCTAAGGTGTACTTACCTTACTCACGTGAAGCGTTTTATTTGTCTTTCACTGCAGTTGTGCTTTATGCATGCATTAGTATAAATTTGCGCAAGTCTTGCTATCTTATCCGAGAAGTGGTTGAGTAATGGCAGACGAGTTCCACGAAGCCTACCTTTGCAGTTTTCTATCGGGGTGATTGTATAGCACAGAAACTGGAGGACCCTCATGCAGCAATGCGTCTATGCGGGAGCTTTGCAAGGTCCCAGTTTTTGCGAGAAAGATGTTCTCTGTTTTATTCACTCAAGGCCACTCGCAATTTTTCTGAGATCAGGTCCTGTCTGCGTTTAAAAACATGTTTTCTAAGAGTTGTCACGGTTCTGACGTCACTCCTTGCCACTGGCTGTTTATTTGCAAACTTATCGGAAGCATGGCCCAGCTTATTCTTCATGAACGAGGCTTTCGTGAATCACCTGTCCGGATGCATTGGAACTAGACAAAGGCTGTGCCATATGTACATTCTTAATTTGCTCGAAGAATGATTGTAGTTGAATCATCTATCTCTGTTTCGTCAGCAAAGCTGTCACGTGAGTGGGGTACATGGAGTCTCCTACAGTGCATTGGTGGAAAATTGCCAAGCCATATGTGGGGGGGCAATATGCATGGAAGCACGAATATTCTGGCAGCTTGCCCACAGAACTTTTTCTCGTTGTATATGAGTATGTTTTCTTGTACATTTGCTATTGGTGTACAGCTGTCTTTGAGGTCCTATTTTTCTCATATTAGGATAGTTTTTTTTTGTTTTTTTTTTATTGTGCATTTTGTTATTTCATGGTGAAATCTTTTTTAGGGAAGTAATGAAATAAAAGAAGTGAATAGATAACATGGTGTATCAAAGATTTTAGTTCATTGGGCACTAGTTCAAAGATGTTGTATCTCCTATCACTTTAAGTCTGAGCGATGCCGAATCCTTAGAATTTTTTTAATTGTCTAGCACCTCGTGGGTTTTAGTAACATAGTGTGATCCCATCTTTGTCGCTTAACCCCTTACTCTCTGTGCCACGTGCCAGAAAAGGCACAAAAGTTGCACAACTGTGAGAAATGGTACCAAGGGACGAAAGCAGAGCTTAGGAAAAACCTTATACATAACGTGGAACTCGTATCTCTGCGTCACAATACCGAGGAATGGCTTCACCCAATGGCACGATTCCCATAGACATTGATTTTATGCTGAACTATTAAAAGTGTACTTCATTTATGATATTGTAATTATTAGGAAGAATGGCTCGTGATATGGGGCATATTCGTTCATATTCTGAACTATTCTGAACACTTTTGCAATACATGCCTTGCACCTGACGTCTTCCCGTCAACCCTCCGGCAACCACAAAAGAAGAGGGGAAGGCGAAACTCTCTTCTCACCGGGACTCGCCTTTGTGAGTCCCAGACTTGCCCAGAATTCGATAGTCTACCTCTAGGAGATTATAGATGATTAACCCGTCACTCAAAATGTTTACAAAAGCAGCTTCCCCCTCTCTCTCTTCAGTCGTGGTGTGAAATGGATGATGTGACGTCAGTGCAAGGCATGTATATTGCCAGTTGAGACGCCTGCATGTGGCTCAAACAAGTTTCGCACTTTTGAGTGTTGCTTTAAGTTTATTTTTTAGCAATCTTATTATTTACTCTTTTTTTCCCTAATGCTTGCATCTTTTGAAAGAACAACAACTTGGCTAGACATGCCCCAAGCTGCCCACCACCGCTCACTTTCAAAATTAAGAAAAAAATATGTTGAATACACCGCTTGGAGGGACGACTTTTGAAATCCACTTTGAAGAAACAGACGGTTTCCTGCTTGCAAATTATCCCGCGGATGAGCCATACACACGTTCCGGGTTCTGTCAAGAAACAAAGTGCAGACAGAGACAAACACGAAAGTTGGGACGTGGCCAAGCACTTGTTCGTGTCTACCTCTTTGTGGTCGTCCCTGTTTGCACTTATGGGCACCATTCACCGAGTTCAGCAACAAGTCTAGCTATACATGGGCTTTTGTGGTTGTGGTTGCAGGCAAGCGGGGGAAAGGTGGAGCAGCGAGTGCACCATTGGGCCAGCCTGGACGCTGTCCAGTATGGTGGACTGTAGAGGGGCCCACAGGACAGTAACCCACCTCCCCAGCAAGCTGTACCCACTGCTCAAGAACTTCATGACAGTGCATCCCAATGGCAGCTGCACCGACAACTGCTCGGGCCATGGAGAGTGCCACCAGGGCATCTGCTTCTGTGAGGTGGGTTCGGATTGGATAGTGTCGGCTAAACCCTTTTCTTCTGGCTCTCACGGTTTCGAGAACTGGATCTTGTCGGAAAGCAAAAAGACGTGGGCAGTGGGGCTCTGCACTGGGTGGGTCGCCAATACTAGCACTAGCAATGTGTGTGCAATTCTTTTGTGTTTATTTGAAGAAGTGGCAAATAAAAGACCTTGTTTCTAAGTGGAAGGAGGTGGGGGGGGGGGAGTGTCTTAAATGAGGGGCAGGTGGTCTGCGGCAAATGATTGATGTACACTGAGCTTAGCAAATCTCCACGAATAATGTTCTCAGAGGTATGTCTCAGTCATATAAATTGCTTTAATATTGGACTTAAATGCTTATGTGTGATTTTAGATAGGGTTGAACAATGTGTGGCTGGTAACATATTTAATTTGTTTGATATTTTTATCTCTGAAGTATTTGCATAGTGTCTAGTATAAACAAAACAACAAATACTTTAACCCCCCACCCACAAAAACAAAAAAAAAATCTTGGGACATAAGTAATTCTACGCAAACCGACTGTGGTCAAGTTTGGTAAGTGAATTGCTTAAGGTGACGACAGCACGAGGAGATATTTGCTAATGTTTTTGAACAATGTGTGGGTGCAACTAAGAAATAAGAAATAATATAATTATTAATAGCGTTACATGTATTTAAAAAAAAAAAAAAGTAAAACGTGACCACCTGAGTGATTGCTTGTGAACTTAAGAGGCCCCTTGATTTTTAAATATATTTCACTAATGTCAAACTTTAATGGAATATTCTCCTTTCACATACCTAAAAAATGACAAAAATAAAGTACTTGCATGATGTCATTGCCTAAATATTAGCATCAAACACATGATTGTAATTTTCAGTTTTTTTATTTGACATTGGATCTTCGTTGACATTTTTGACCCTGGAGAGTGGGGGAAAGAGTGTTCATGCCCATTAAGCTCGCTGCAGTACGTGATTGGGTCTTACATTTTGTACTTGGATTCTTCAAGATTTGACCTTTTTGCATGGCCTCAGAGATTCTTGGTGCGCAAAGCTCTTGTCCGGGCATTCTATTCGTTAGGAGAGACCGAGATGAAGAAAAAAATGGCTCTTGGCTGTTTTGTGCACTGTGGCGCTAGGTACAGGCCCGAAAAATCATAATTATTGACCTTGCCTGCCCAGCTGCCTGCTTGAAAGGGTGCTTGTTTTCCCGAATTATAGTCGTTGCTTCTTACCACAACACATATTACTTTATCAAGGAAGCTGTAGGTATAAATCTGAACGTTTTCTGTTTGTAATCCGGGGAAGATATATAATAGATGCATGCCCGATTGTTTTCAATGGCACTGCGCGTCTAATAACTTTGGACAAGAAATAGTGGCGAGTCAATAAACAGCGAGTCTCGATAAAGCTTCTAATCCAAAAATACCGTTTTCTTTGTGAGGCCGAGTGGGCGGAACATCATGCTCATTATGCCCCCGCAGATTGCTTTACTGAATACGAGCTAAGAGCAGTTTGAGCTCTTTGGTCCCGTCGTTTGCTTGAAACTAAATTTCCATGTTTCTTTCGTGATATCTTTGTTTAATTTTAGCCGTTGTTTTGATTCTGTCTTTTCTCGCGTATCTCTCAAGTGTTCCTGGGATGCCGTCTCGCCATGACTGCTGTAGGCTGGGCTTTCACGGCTTCGGCCCTTTTGCAGCAGTGACATTTCGTGCAACATTCTCTTTTACTGATTACTGTTGATCCGGGCTGGCTTGCTGGAAACTGCGTCTTAGCGAAGGCTAGTTGAAAGGAAGCACTGTCAGAGCCAGCGCACCAGCTGAGTGGCCCTTGAATTGTGTTAACGAAAATACAGGCTCTATACTATTTGCACACGTTTAATGTTCAAGATGATGATGATGATAATAATAATACAAAATATTTTTGGCTGAGGGGAGCCACAGCACTGCAAGAAGGTAATGGTTTGTACCATGGAGGCTCAAAATGTCATGTCGAGATAATGGTGATTATCTGACGATATAATGTACAAGATGAGGATGACGGGTTCCTCTGATTGTCACAAAAACCGCTGTTTGAGTTTCGGAAGTTTGGGGACACTTCTAGCGAGTCAGCCAGCGAGCCGAGGTGGCCTTGCGGGCTGTTTGACAAAGGTTTCAGATGGCAGTCTGGTGGGTCTGGTGGTGTGGTCGCTCACTTCAATGAAGGCAGCGGGCTGCAGGAGGTGGTCCAGTCAAAGTAAAGGACTGCCACCCCCAAGGCATGCAAGTCCGGGTCTTGAAACGTAGCTCTGCGGTAACCTGGTATAGCTTCCTGTCATCGTCGTCCATGACTCCCTGACGCCGGCCCGGCATCTGTATTGTCTTGCGGAGCTCTGGAAAAGCTGTGCTATATGGTCCTTCTGCTCGGCAAACAAGCATTTGGAAGGGCCGAAGGAGAGCTTTGCGTGCTAAGAATATTGGAAGCCGTGCTTTTTGCGAGAGGCCCGTTTTTAAAATGATTGTCTTTTGGTATGGAAGAACATTGAAGTTGCACAGCACAGATGGTAGGCACTAAAAAGTAAACAAGGGCACCTGGATGCTCGGAGGCTATATGCTCAGTTGGGGCTTGCTGCAATACAAGTTCAAAAGTGGTGCTTCCAAAGAAGTCCATCATTCATTTCATATGTGCAGGTCAAAATCAACCGTCTCAGTTCATCCCTACATGGGGGAATGAATTTTAGAAATGTTATACAAGCAAAAACAAAGAAGTGGAAGTGTAATTTGCATTTGCTGTTAACACTACACTGCCAAAAAAACTGTGGTGCAAGATTTGCATTAGGTTTCCAAGTTCATTATTTACAACATTTTATGGAAAGTTATTACGAGTCCAACACAGCCGCGGAAAATGATATCGCTGTAGCTGCTGACTCTTCAGGAACCTGTGTTGTGAATCTTGACATGTCCCCTTCTCGTGTCGACAGGTGCAGTACAGTGGCGGAACGTGCACCGATCCGAACATCAGCTACTTCGTGGCTTTCTCTACCATCTTTTATTTAATCTGCGCAGTGTCATTTGTGCAGCTGGTGAGCCTCTTTGTTTTGCATTCCCTGTAGCAAGTGATGACATAATAGCCTTCAAAGCTGTTCAGGTAGAGCTTCACCCAATTGATTTGAATGAATTCGAGGCTTTAGTTACGAGGGCTTCCTGAGAAAAGCATCACAGGTAGTGATGTTTGCTATAACTTTTTGTTGATGGTCGAGCAGTCATGTCCCTTTAATACGGACCTCGTTTATGTGGATACAGTGTTTTTGGGGGCGAAATGGGTAAATACTATGTGCATTTTTGTCTCATCATTATGGACGACTCCCATTATGGAAGATTTTCCGGGGGAACGGAGGCGTCCATATTAACGAAAGAGGACTGTTGCGTGAACTTGGCCGGCATTCAGTATTACGTTTCAAAGAATTGCGCAGCGACTGATTTCGACTTTGTTTACTACCCTTAACTTTCAGCTTATCTGCATCCGGTCGGAATTTAGCCGCATCAAGCCGCCGTCGCTGCTAAAAGCGCTCAAGGTCACAACGCAGAAGGCTCTTTACGCCCTTATTTGCATCGCCACTTTTGCCCGGGGCTTCTATTTCTCTTCTCCGGTAAGTGTCGTCAGTCTCGTTTTCTCATAATGTTGTATTCCCGTTGCAGCCATTTAGCTTGCTAGTCTGAGAGCTGGCATTTTCTGCCAGATTTATGCTATTTCAAGTTGGGACAGCCTCAACTGTTCCTTTCTTACTGGTCACGGTGATTTATGGCAGTCCATCACGTTTAGCGCCAGACATGTGTGCAGGGGTTCCCTGCGTGGTTTTGTTCCCTTAACCCAATTTCTAAATCTGAGTGTTTTTCTATATTATTATTATGATCATTCTCGTGAAAGCCTGAGATCTGAGAAGTGCTGTGTTTTACGTCTTGTTTCAGGAAAATGCATCCTTAGATTGGGCGTCTAGTCTGATGAGCGCTTACTACCCGCTGCTGCTCACAGGGTCCTCTTTGATTGTCTGCTTCTGGGCTGAGGTAGGTGCATCTTGGAGGGCTTTCATCAACAAACTTGCTCGTTTGCAGTGTAAGCTGCAATTGCACTTTATTGTGTCCCTTGATCCAGTGGTTGCATCTTACAAGCTAAATCTATGGCGCACAATTTAAATTCCACGTAACTGTAGATTCATGTTGTCATGTTGCTGAAGCTTGTCCGAGACAAACCTGGTTTATTGACTGTTTTTTTATGCACATACTATTTAGCTCTTTCATTTACTTGTTCTTACGCATCCCCACCTTTTCTTGAAGCCTACTTTATCTAATGACGAAATGTGCTGGTGGATTCGAAGCAGTTTCAAAGTACTTTTCTCTTTTTATTGTCATGCCCATGCAAGCGTGACTTGGCATCTACTGTCATAGAAGTGCAAACATGGATCACTTTTGGAGCACTCCAAATTTACCCAATGGATTTATGCATATGAGTGCACCAATAGGGTGTTCGCACAACAGAATGATCTGGTCTATCAAGGATAACATGTTATTTGGTGCCATATTAATGGTATATTCCAGGAAGTCTGGCTTTCCTAAATTTTCAGCAAAATGTAAAAATGCCTCTCTTTAACCTTAAAACATTTTTTTCACTAGTTGCTCTCAAATGCTCGCACATTGAAGTTCACAAATTATACAGACTTGATGTGGAGTATACTGCTAAATTCAGCATTTCTGGATGAAGCTTGTAGTCTCAACAAGTAAGCAGCTGATAGGCCAAGTGAAGTTACCATATGGCACCAAATCCGTTATTGCTTTTTGTTCTTTCACGTGACACGTGTGGTTGTGTTGTGGTGGTCTTGTCTGTGCGTGCAATTTGATCTCCAACGGATGGCTCCCAATCATGTTCCCAGGTGTTCCACCTGCGAGACTTGAGACACGACAAGCCTCGCTTCCTGAGCAAGTCGTTCCTGGGCTTCCTGGCCTTCAACATCATCACTTACTCCCTGCTGCTCGCTGAGCTCGTGCTCATCCAATTCGCAGGCTATGGGGAGACGGAGAGGGTAAGTTTCTTTACATTTTGTACTGTTGTGCTTAGCAGATCTGTTGTTGGGTGGGGGAATTTCTCACCACACTTTTATGGTAAGCTTTATGTGTGATTTAAGGAGGAATCGATTTTGTTTTTTGTGACCACTGTGGAATCTGTCTCTTGTGCAGTCAATTAACAAAAAGAGGAAGGTTAAATTCCTAACTTATGACCACTTGAGTTGGTTAGAAACTGTTGACTAGAAACCGCCATGGGGTCAGAATTTTCTATCTTTGGAAACTTTGACTACTAGTTTAAAATTTTTTTTAATTTTTCCTTTTAAACATTTATGAAGCTCGGATCAGCCAGACACCCTTTGTCGCAGACCTCAAAAGCTACAAAATACAAATTTGAGTCTCGGCAAGGTTTGAAAGCTTCGTAATTACTCGAGCCTCAGTTGGTTTGCAACATTTTCAGTTGCATGCAACTTAAAATTGGTGCTAAGCCATAGGCCTTTTTTTGATGCCACTTGTTATTAAAATTTGTGGTACACTCTATAACATTGTTTCAAAGTTGGAGATTATCTGAGCACTATATACGGGAATTATTCATTGGGCCACACACAAGTGTTTTGTTTGTGTGCTTTTTTGTTGCATTTGGAAAAAACATTTAGTGCACAGTTTCTGTTTCAACTTGCACCTCTGATACTTTATGCTATTCCTTTCTTGTGCCCAGAGCCTGTTTTTGGGCGTATTCAATGGCTCCTTTGCGGTCCTGATGGTAATTGTGGTTGTCTTCTTCCTGATCTATGGAGTCGAGGTTTATTTCAAGGTATGATGTTTGTTCTTACAATTGTTGATTTGACATCCTCATGTTTTAAAAAAATTTAGAAAATAAGTCTTGACATATTTTTTTTTTTTGAGAACGAGAGTGCAAATTGTACCTTCTTTCAGAATATCAGCTTTGATTACGGTGGCTATTTTGAAAGAGCATCTCCGTACCCAAATACTCTACTATTACAACTTGAGATAAAGTTTATACATGATTCATTAATATGATATGTATACTTTTATGGTCATAATATTGTTTTACAGTTTGTAGGGTATTCAAATATGCTATAAACCTGGGATCTGTAGCAGTCCTTTGCCACATGTAGATACATTTCTTTGCGTTGTGCGTTAGGGGTTGTTGTACGTACGATGCATCACCACATGAAAACTTGATTCTATAAAATGACCCAAACTTCATCATTGCTAATAAAAGATATCCTAGTAAGATAGGCTCCATAGTATTCACAATACGAAAGTTACTAAACACAGTGCTGCTTTTCTAAAAGAATGGAATTCTTTATTTTATTTCTAAACAGCATTTGTTATGTGGCTTACTCCTAGCTGATTCCCTGTAATGCACACTTGTGTTACCTTTGGAACCCATTTGTCCTATCTAGGCACATAGTAGAAATAGTTCTTGGATGTTCAGTGTCTCTTTAATACACTCTGCAAAAAGAGTATGCCCCAGTTCAATTTTTTGATCGCATATGGACGCCATTTTGTAGCCATCGATTTTTGCGCCGCAACACTGTTTTGACATGAGGCTTGGGCGTCACGCTCTGCACTTTTCGAGGATGTTTTAAAGGGATACTACAACGAAATTTCGGCGCTCATTTTTTGGTCTATATGTGTTCAAAAAAGCAGCATCACATCGAACATACCAATATCTTGTTAAAAAAGTCACGAAAAGGAATTTTAAAACGAATTAAACGATTAGCAAAGAGCCCCTGGTGGATGTCGCTAACGCCTCGCTTGTAATGCCCGTCTAGGAACCTTGACAGCTAGTGACGGAGGTTGTCTCGTCTTCGGCCACGACGAGAGAAGAGGGGCAGAAGGAACTCCCCTCTTCCCGCGAATGCCTTTTGTGTGTCGCAGAAGTCGCTATTGTCCCCCTAGAAGATTATAGAAGATTAACCCGTCACTCAAAATTCGTACAAAAGCAACCGCTTCGGTGGCTGGAACGACTAGGCCGTCCTCTCGACGTTAGCCTTGCCGTAGCTTTGCTCATCTTGAGACGACCTAAGTCACGATTGCGTTGAATGTCACGTGGTCTCCTCTGGGCCTTCTCCGAGCGCTTGCCAGAGTGGGCCGTTTATAACAAAAAATACAGCCACCAGGCTCAAAATACAAACGTGTGATTGTCATTTACGGATATTGTGGATCATATTCAACCTATTTTTGAACACAACGGGAATATTTCAAATTTCGTTGAAGTATCCCTTTAAAGCAGTTATCCCCAAAAATTAACCCCAGAATTTTGTGTGTTGGTTTGTTTGTACATTTCCCGATAAGTGTAGCGGGTAATTTGACGTCGCATGGCCTATACACCAGTTCAGTTTCGCCGCTAAATTCAGCTTTAAAATTTACGTCACATGACCTATTCACCAATTCGGTTTTTCCCGCTTAATTTGGGTGGGAAAATTCATGTCACAACGTCACGAGACCTACGCATCACTTCAGTTTTTCCGCAACATCTAAGAGAAAATTTATGCCCCATGACCTGGCATCACATGACCTATTATACACCAATTTAGTTTCCCTATAAATTTAGCTTAAAAATTGACGACCTTTGTACCAAGTCAGTTTCCCGGTCAAGTTTAGCGGGGAAACTAATAAAAACTCTCCAAAAGGACCGTTTAGTGTCTTCCAAACAAATTTACATGATCGCTCCTCGAATACCGCATTTCATGGATTATGGGACTTTGAAGATAAAGGTCGAAGTCAATTTTTCCTTATTCAGGAGATTCTCCCACCGTCTGTGGTGCAGGTCCGGGGAGCCTTCGTGGCGGGTCCCCCCAGCGCGCCCAACATGTCGCAGGTACACCAGTCCCGGCTGGGGCTGGTGGCCTTTGCCATCCTCCTCCTCACCACGGTGTTGTTCATCCTCTCGGACGTCATGGGATCCTTCTGGAAAGACAAGTGAGTGGACGCGGCAGTTGTGCGCCGGGCAGTGTTTAATCTACACTCCGTTGCACCCACAACGGATCGCTCCGGACGCTGCAAAGCCATCGAAGCAAATCTGGTGCCGTGCGAGCGTCACGTGATCTTCAAGAGGGGTGTAGTGACGCTTGGGGCGTATTGACATTTGGGGCGTAGCGACGCTTGGGGCATAGTGACGCTTGGGGCGTAGCGACACATCCGGTGTAGTGGCGCTTCGGGCATAGCGACACTTAGGGCGTGTAGTCATCTGATACGTTCATGGCAAACTGCAGCGTCCGCTGCGGTCCGTTATAAGGTGAAACGGAGTGTAGCACAGTGGCGTGTGCACATTAGCAGAGTTTGAGACGTGACGATAGCTTGGCGGCAGCATTGTGATCCCCGGTGTGTTTTGTGGATGCAGGGTGGCAGTTCTGGGCCGTAACTGCCACGACGTCATGTTCCGCGTGATCGAGATGGGCCTGGCTCTCTGGTTCCCTTGCGTCCTCTGGAATTGTGTTCAGTGAGTTGCCTTTTACTTTTTTAAGATTTTTGTGTGTTTGTTTTGAATTAAAAACTAGAAACCGAGAAACTAAATCTTTAGAAATTTCTCAAATAAACCCGGCTTTTTTTTTTATTATATAGGCCACAACAGTTGTGGATCTTGAATCCAAAGAAACTGCTGGTGCGTCGGGAGCCCGACAAGACTCCGCCCACCGGCCCCGAGTCTGAGGCCCTGTTCTCCGTGCCCAAAGAGCTGGCCAAGAGCGGCGGTGAGTCGGGAGGAGGGATTTTGTTCCTGCGAGACAATTGCCATAGCTGGTTGCCGACTTGCCACCACCCCATGATGGTGGGATGACTGATCGGACGACATTTGCACTTGACTACGGACGTTGGCTGGTATCATTGTAAGAAAGCGAAGGCTTGACATGCTGGGGCCTGTTCCACGTGCATTTAAGCCCGTGCATCCAAGTAATCCTTGAGCCTAGAGGTTTTTCTGCCTGCAGTGTTGTATGAAGATCAGGAAGTACCTCCGTACAGCACAGAAAATTTCTTGCCTTATCCAAGGAAATTTTATTGACTTAGGAATAGTGCCTTTCACAATGGCTTACAAGGGTCATAGGCAAGTTGCTTAATGACTGTAAAACAGTAAAACATGGTCATGGTTGGGTTTAGTGTTAGCCGGTTGCTCATGGTCTTCAGCCAACAAATGCTTGCCACATTGATTCTGATATGCGCCATTTTTCGGCACGTTCGATTGTGAACAGCCCTCCCAGGTTCTAGCTATTCAGAATGTTCTTGGTATAGTTTGACCAGTCAGTGGGGAGGAAACTAAATTTAGATGAGAGCCCAGCTCTTCAGTGCATGAAATGGGGCTCTGGCATCTTTTGTGGACTTGCAGACAGCCTGAGCTCTTTGGAGAAACTCCCCGAATGCTTCATCTGCTACGACTCCGACCGCACCGACGCCGGACCTCTGATTCGCCCCTGCAACTGCAAGGGCGACGTTTCCGTTGTGCATCATGACTGCCTCCGCACCTGGCTCATTGAGGTGGGTTTTTCTTTTCTTCCCTGTTAAACTTCTTTCCATCTAGCAACCTAAGTAGCCTAGTCATCTTGTTCCTCTAAGTAAATATGTTAGAGTAATTAATTAAAAATTAATGTAAGCACTCGGTACACCTGACTGCAGGTTCCTAGAACTAGAGCTACTTAGGTTATATTTAGGTTTCCAAGGGCCTACCCCCCTTGTATCCGTTTTTGTCAGTACAAACTGGCACTAGTACTTAGTGGTCGAATTGGTACCAACGCTTCTCAAACATAAATGTGTGTTAAAGGGGGACTCCGGCTAGAGGTTGAACTTCTGAACTACTTATGCGATTGGAATGAACTTTGCAGGGGAGATCTAACTTCAGATGTAGGTGTGCTGTGCAAACTTTCAGCTCTCTAGGATAACTTTACATACCTGCATAAGAAGATGTGTCATTCTTCGTTAAGAAATCTATGATATGCAAATGAGCTATCTAGCTTCTATCGAGCTATCTAGTTTTTATAAATCAAATGTAAATATTTCAGGAAGAGGGATTACCTCAAAATATGAGATGCATATCTGTCCTAGTATGCCAATTTTTGAAAACATAGTTTTTTCTTGATGAGTACTTTAAATTAAAACAAAATAAAGTAGATAGCCCAATTCCCCAGTAAATTTCAGTTCAGAAACATCTTGATTGTGGTATCAAAATACTTTTACCTTCGAACAAAAGATTCCTTCGTATGAAATTTGCAGCAAAAAACGGAACTGAGAAAAATGCATTCAAACATTGAACTCCTTTACTTGTTACTGCCTCACAATGTGTTGAAAATATTTTATATCAACGTAACTATTTGGTGCATGGTTATGATATTTAGTGTAAGGGTGTATAATTAGTTTCTAAAACCAAATACCTCAAAATTGAAAAATGAATTTTTTCAAAAAATTTTGAAACTTAGGTTTCTGTCGCTCCTTAAGTAGAATTTCGACTTGTCTAAGTACTATTAGAGCAGGAAGCGAGGTCTAGGCCTTCTACAGTGGCCATGGTTCGAATACTCTTATATGCTTATTTAAATGTGAGTATTTGCTGCTTTTTTTTCTCGCAGTCTGCCGGGAACGCAGACAGCAACCGCTGCAAGGTGTGCAACGAAGAGGTGAGTTTCTGAGTACCGTATCTATAATTCGCTTGAGTTTCCCGATACTCTGCTTGGAGCTTGGTATTCAGGTAACTGATGTTGCCCATTATGCACTTTCCTAAAATATACCGGCCAAAATATATACTACTGGTTTTTGTTTCATATACATAAAACTCTTTTGGGGCATCTCTGCCCGTTCTTATCCGAAAGATCTCTGTTTATTTATTCATTTTACCCTCGCAGCCAGAGGCATTACAAAGGGAGTGGTGAAAAATGGAGCAAAATAGCAGTTGAAAAGCAGAACAGTTAGAGATGGGGAATAGTACATGGTTGCTTAAAAACTTGAGCCGGCTCGTCACATTTCTTTTTCATCGTCTTTGTCCATCTCTGTGTCTCTAGCCTCTTTGCTCGCTTACTTTCCATTGATGTACCTCGCCCCATTAGAAGAGGTGGTGACGGTTTCGACTACGAGGCAACTGAGATAGAAGTTTCTTTCGTTAACAATGCTGTTGTCGACTGTCCCAACCAAATGCCGTTGCGCCCCTTTCCAGTACGAGCTGGAGCGAGGGGAGGTCTGGCTGCCGAGCGGCCTCTCCCCGGCCCACTGGCTGCAGACGGCGGCCGTGCTGGTCATCATGGGCAGTGCCGTGTCCGGCGCCTGCCTGGTCGTCAAGGTCTTCGACAACGTCGGAATCCGCACGCTGGCCGTCGGGCTGGCTCTGCTCGCCGAATACGTCTGCCTCAGGTTTGTACACCCTCCCTCACCCTCCAGGTCTCTTGCATGCCTTAGATTACTTCCGTTACGAAAATGTAATTTGCAAGTTTTGCTGTGGATGGTGTTGTTGCGGTCGGATTGGTCCTAAATCTTGCAGTGGATGGGTGCTGTGGCGTCTGCTCGAGACCCGTGAGGCAGACTTAACTATTTCGATCCCCGAGTTCATCAGAATCCATCATTTATCGAAATCCCTCAGTTTATCATAATTGGGGTATCTCATCGGGCACAGCTCGGCCACGATGCTGTGCCATCGGGTGCCAGTGCGCAGCTTTGAAACTCAGCTTAAATGTGAAGGCAGCATGTTCGCAGCATTGGGAAGAGCTCGGGAGTTTGAGTCAATTCTAGCGTTCGACAGGTGTCGTTGTCATCTTAAGCAGCCGCCCAACGAGCTCAGTTTTTGTTCCTGCCAGACGATATGGAATGTGGTGTATATTTGGTGACTTTGGCCTTTACCTTCAGTATTTCTTGTTCAGTTTGAAAACATGGTTCAAAAGTTACTTTTACTTTTTATCTAGTTTGCTGCACGACATTGTCACGGCAAGCGTAGTTCCCACGGCAAGCGTAGTTCCCACAGTGCTGCAATCCCGCACTGCTGCGCAGGCACGCGGCGTCATCTTGCATCTCATTCGCACTAACTCAGGCGCGAAGGAGACGTCGAACGAAGTGATGTTCTCGTGCCGGTAGGTTTGACAGCTACGCCGGCCTTTACACTGTCGCACTAGAAAGATGACGCCGAGTATGGATCTTAACAATCCCATTCGGATCCTCTGACCTCCGTTGCAACACGTTCTGCAGACTGCTGGGAATCAGCGTGTTGGAGGCGTACCAAAGAGCCAAGTATTCGGCGGTGCGCATCCTGGGCAAGCGGCTGGCCGGGGCGTCGGACAACGACCGGGCCGTGGTGGTGGCGCCGTCGAGCGTCGTGAGCAGGGTGGTTGGATCGCGCTGTGGCAACCACCTTCCGGCGGACCACAAGGCCATGCTGGTCACCACCCTCGGCGATCCGCAGAACGTCCCGGACTCCGAGCTGGCCATCTGAGCGGCCCGTCCTTCGTTGGAAGGCGCCGTGCAGTGTCCAGTCTCCAAATTGTCTTTTTTTTTTTCTCCCTCGCTAGTGCCCCTTGTTCGGTTCTCCAGATTGTAGGGTTGTCGCGAAACGGAGTGTCGTCAAAGCGGGGTCGTCTGCTCTCCGCCACCCGTGCTGTGTATGATTGAAAAAGAGTCTCGTCAGACACGGATGCACAGCGGGTGCTGTCTGAACCTCCAAACTATATTTACGTTCACTACGGTCCGTCTGTCGGGCCGGAAATGCGGAGTGTTCCGTGGTTTTTGCAAAGATACGAAGAGCTTATATTTTCTCCAACACTGTGAGGAAGCAGCTCTCGCTGTGTATACTGTATGGGGAACTTGTTTATAATGGGATGCCAGTGTTGCTACAGCTCGTTTGCAATGCCGGATCTTGCCTGTATCGGTGGGGTGGGCAGATTACACGGAATGAAACCTTTCTGAAAAGATTGAAGGGCAGGGGGGGCTGTTTATAAACAAAGCTTAGATATGATCAGCGTGACAGCGTGACTTGGTGAAATTGAAGATTAAAAATTGTGCGGGAGCTTAATTTAATGACGCAACATTGTCGGGGCAGTCGTCGCATTCTAATTGTTTCCGCGAGAATACTTGTTTTTTGCCTATTTGCACTCTGGGATTTGCTGCTGTGATAAGTACAGGTTGGGTAAATTTGTACTTTTGTCATTGGTAGATGCCAGGCCACCGTGTTGTGAACCGCACGGCTGAAATTCAATCCCGTATTTTGGCGTTGTATTCCGAGTGCCGACACTCCGTTCCACGACGGAGCAGTTCTGTTGTGAGAAGGGTTTGGGGGGAAAGAAAGCTTGTGTAATTTATCTGGTTTTAATTTATTTCATCGTTAAGATCATTCCAGAGGTGTAAATTGGAAGGAGTTCCTGCAAAGCATACTTGTAGCCTTTCAACAGTGTTTGCTCCTAGTTCTGTACATAGAAAGAAAATATAGCACGCGGCAATTCGGGAAGGGGCTCCCGAAACAAGGCACAGCAGCAGCATATATGGAAGCCAACATTAGCATAGAAGGGCTTCCCTTAAAGTTTGGGACAGGGTCCTTATGATGATCCTTTAGGCTCTTCAGAAGATTGGGACATTTCTGGTCTTGCTCCATGGAGAGGTATGCTTGGCAGTTGCTTGTAGCTTGAGTTTGTTGGATTTCTGCAACATACATTTTTTTTTTTTTTTTTTTTTTTGGGTTTTGGTGGCTTTGTGTTGAGGATTGGCTTGGGGCAAGAGCTTTTGATTCTAGCATTGTGCCAATTTCACAAGCCATGGTATCAAAAAAGCAGTAGTTGACTAACAATTTGAGCATATATTTGCACTTCCTTACGCTGGACTTTGTCCCAGTTTCTGAATCTCTAATAAACATTGTGTAATGAGGAGCCACCTAACGTTATTTAATGGTCTAGCACTGGTGTTGTAGTAGTGGCACTTGCAGCAGACAGTTTTTTCTTTGCAACACATCGAAGATGTGCCTGTATATATCCCTTATAGATTGTTATATATACCTCATTGCTGTTCTTATTTGTGATCCGGTGTGAACAGTAGGAAAGGCTATTTTTATTTGGAATTTTGCGTGACTGTAATAAAGTCCTTCCTCATTATATTGTTTGGTTTGTCTTGTTATCAAGTGTGTTATCAAAAGAACTTGGTGAAGTATGTTGCTTAGGCTGAGCGAATGACACGTGTATCACTGGGGCACGTGTTAACCCATCCAGTCCCTCCCCTTCTTCACGCTACTTCGTGGCGACAGTATGGGGCGGCTCATTACAAGAACGTTAACCCACCTGGCCCACCTGTACTCTGCAGCAGTTGATTTCACTAAAGTTCTTTCGATGAGTTAGAAGGGGCGGGACTTAATTTGCTAAAACGCCGTTTAACCAACTGAGTGCCACCCCTGGGTGCATTTCGGTACAATAAAAAAGATGCAATGCAAAGACTAGGACAATCGAGCAAGATGAGACAGCACCTGTCATGTGGGATTGTTTATTTGTACAGAAAATAACTTGTTTCAAGAAAAAAAAGGCTTTCTTTTCTCTTTAGGGTATGTGGTTCTTAATGATAGGACTGTGGTAGAATAATATTTCTTTAGGCTCTTTAAAGCCGCGACGCTACAGAAAGGCCAGGGGCCCGTACCTAAAAGACCTAGTGACCCAGTCCCAGTTAACGTTTTAGATGCGGAGCATCTCTTGCTCGGGCTATGTCCCGCGGCGTCGTAGTCCGCACTCACACTACGCATGCGCAACTCTCCTCGCTGCGCGTGCGTTCTCTCTCTCCAACAGCTCTTTCGAAGTGCACGCAGCTACCAGATGCGTCCCTCTCTCCAACAGCTGCGCGTGCGTTCTCTCTCTCTTCAACAGCTGCGCGAAGTGCACGCAGCTACCAGCTGCGTGCACTTCGCGTGCGTTCGCTTCTACTCACACCGCGCGCGCAGGCGCAGAAGAGCAAACCAATTTCTGCGCGCGTTCAGTTCACCGCTGTTGACTCCACTTCACTGACTTCACTTCGTTCTTCCGATGAAGTGTGATTGTACGACGCTCCGCATCACCCCATGGTTCCCCTCGGGAAGATGGTGTAATTTTTTTTTTTTGGCATAGAGATTATACATACTCATCATAGAATCTCAGTCCCATTGCACTCAAATGCAAAAACAAAACTTAAGAGCAGGGCTAACTATTGATGGGAGTGCTGAACAAACAATAATTGAAAAGTAAAAAAAAATATATTACATATTTTTTTTTTTAACTATTTCGGCACCAGCCGGCGTTGAACCGGAAACGGAAAAAGCGATGGTGACGACCCTTGTGGCCGTTTCTTAAATTTCTTCAAGACCGCAGGCGGCCGCTCATCGCAGCACGGCACGCGAAATGCTTTTCCTTACGCATTTTGAACGTATGATCGCATCCACGAATTTTTTAACCAAGCTGCAATGAGTGCATCAAGAAACTGCTCACGTGTTTAACGCGATTTCCGCACGAGCGATAAACTTTGAGCATCGGGCGTGCATCTTCGTCGATTTGAGCAACGCAGTGGATCGTCTCAATGGCGTCTGTGAACAACACAAGGATTTCCTTCTCGAGTACGACGTCTGATCAGGCTCGAAGGGCAAGAAAGAGACAGCCCTCTGTCCTGAACGGTATTGGCAGCTCGTACGAGGACAGAAACAGCGACTTTCTCTGGTGAGTGCCCTGCGTGGTTCTCTACTATCAAAGACCGCGCTTGTTAAAAAAACGCACGCGTATGCGAATACATGTTACAACTTTTCCTCTTTTGCTTGAAGTACTACCTTTTTAAGTCTCTCACACCGAAAAAAAGAGTGCAAATAAAAATTGCGCTGCACCTCTATCGCTAGCAGCCTTTCCAGATTCGTTCAACGTGCCGATCGATGACCGGCCGTTTGCCTTTTCTGTGCAAAACTGGTTAAATGGATGGACGTATTCTGATTTAGCTCATTTTTTACTCTACTTACTGTTCCCTTTTCCATTACAGTCCTATCTGCTTTGATATCATTGAAGAGGCTCATATGACTCCGTGCGGTCACACTTTCTGGTATGAAACCGGCTTTTGTAGACTTCGTCACGCCCATTTTCTATATTTTTCTTTTTTCTTCCATTGTATATAACTGAAATTACGAGCGTAGGTTTGAAATGGGAGTTCAAACTTAGGAGCTGCTGTTGGTGTAACATCGTTCCAGCTACAAGTGTATCACAACAGGCCTGGAATACAGCAACCGCTGTCCAAAATGCAACTTTGTTGTCGAGAAGAAAGAGCAGATATACCCCAACTTTCTGCGTGAGTGGGACTCACAGAGGCTCGTTGAAATTACCATATTTGGTTGCAAGGTGCAGCGTAACTAATGCAACTGCAATGACCTTTTCCAGTCAACGAACTCATCACAAAGTACAAGCAGAAGCTAGCTGACAAGAAGCTGAAGATGCAAACAGTAAGAGGCTTACACTTCTTTTGGGTAGCCTGGGGTTTTCTTTTGGTGTGAGCTCTAATAGGAGCCTGAACCTCGTTTTACCGCGATCTAGCACAATCAAGCAGTGTCTGAGCTTCACGAGCTCATCGCACAGGAGGCAGACAACATGGACCTCAATGACGTCTACAATATGCTGGAAATCCTTTCGCAAAAGAAACAGCAGCTGGAAGCTGTGAGTAGTTGTCTTGATCATCCTTCAGTTTGTGAGTGGCTGTTATCTTTGTTCAATTTAAACCCGACAAAATGCCGACGGTGCTACAGTTTTGTTGTGTTACATTAAGCCTCCGTCAAGTGGCACCTGTAATCGTGACAATGCTTTTTACAGTTGTTTCCTCGACTCTTTTATATCATGTTGTGACGTAACATGTAACATAACATTCTTTCGTAACATCTTGTAGAGATATGTCGGTGACTTAATGACATTGCACTAGATGCAAGGGGATGGGTGGCTGAGTGCGTTAAAATACTGCAGCTTAGAGCACATAAAGCGAAAGCTCGTGCTGCAGATTCCAGAGATCCTCGGTTCAATCTCTACCCTTGCCCATCTAAATGAACATTATACCGGCGTGCGGTCAGGCCAGCATCTGTACTGCACTGGCTAAATTTCTCATCTACAGCGCAGAGACTGGCCGCTCATTGGGGCTGACTAACTTTCCACTGGCTAACATGACACATTATGTAATGCCCATTGGGCCTTTAAGGGTCGAATAAATGAAAATGAAATTTACTTTTTACTGACTGCAACACTGACTGTCTAATCATTGTGCCTTTATTTGGGTGATTGTTTATTGCCACAAACAGGACTGTAAGGCAGCACAGGCCCAGATACTCAAGGAGTTCTTGCAGCAGGTTCGCAAGCACAAACAGGAGGTGAATTTTTATTTCTATAATCCTCGTTTTTCAGAATTGGAATGCATTGAGCGGTCGTCAAGTGCTGAAATCTTTTCCCTTGCCTCTAAGCCTTCCACCTTTTGCATCTTTTATGCAGCAAATGGACCAGCTGACCAGCGAGCTGAACTTCATTGACGAAGATCTTAGGAGTGTGGAGGTATTGTTTACACTGCATTTTGTAGTACAGAGGTTAGAAATGCCCCCAGTTTTAATTTTTGAACCTAACAAGCAAACCATACTAGGCAAAACAAAGAGCAGACATTAGTGATTTCATAGATTAGGAATATTTGATATTGTACTTTTCCATATAAAATATAACCAGTGAGGAGTTCAGTATGAAGTGAAACTAGCATTTGTGAGCTACACTGCTTTTACCAAACAGGCAGATGTCAAGGAGCCCGAGCGTTCTTGGCTGGCCGGGATGGATTCTTCTTCCTCTGAGCTTCAGGCAGTCCCCGTCGAACAAAGTGCAATGCAGGATGGATTTAATGGCAGCAAGCACGTGAGTTGCTGAGCGTTTGTCAAGCTGCTAAGTTAAATAGCCCCTATGGCGATTCTTTGGTCTTTGGTGTCGCACTGTGAAATCTCGTCAGTCATGTTGTATCCAAACGTAAACTGTTGCAGCACATAAAGCTTGCTTTGTTATTGTGTCTCTGCAGGCCAGGGTTATATTCGCGCTCATTGGGATTTGTGTTCTTCCAGTTTGCTCCCATTTCCCTTGCTCTTGAGGTTCCCAAGATGGAAGCTGTCCATAGGCCCGTGTACTTAATCACTTTCGCAAGCGTCGAACATGTTTTGATGTCGGAAAAGGTGGAGAGTGCCAATTTAAGTCGGGAGTACCCCTCGACAGGGTAGGGTCTGACTTTGCCGTGCCTATGGTGTCGCAGGGTGCCAAGCCCCAGTGGCTTCAGAGTACCCTGGCAGCTCGGCGAAAGCGGGTTCATCTTCATTTCGACGACCTGGAGCAGTGTTACCTGTCGGCACGCACCAAGAACTTGACCTCCACTTCCTCCGGTAAGATCTCTCCCGCTCTTGTAAGCAAGGGCATGCTGTGTAACTCAAGACTCTAGCCTCTCCGCCTTCCATCATTGGTGTGTGGGGTAAAACTGAACTTGATTGTTGCCTCAATGTTTGAACTGTGGACACTGGTTAAGCTTGCATCAAGTCAGGCCGCAATCGATGAGGTTGGAGATGACGTCTCTTCCCGGCAATGTGTCGCAGTGTTGCTTCTAGTGAAGGTGAGATTGGCCACTCCTTCTCGCAAGTTGTGTAAAGTGAAAGAAAATTTCAGCTAAGGCCAGGTGAACTAGAATAAACGTACACACAAAGAAAAGACCATACAGATAGCTGGATTAACAACTGAGTTTTCTTTTTTTCTACCCTTCTACTACGAACCCGACATGAGGGAAATATTTTCTTTTCTTCTTCTTTTTCCTTCCTTCCTTCACCAAATATTTAACCCCTGAAGCACTTTTTTTTTTTGTGCAGTGTGAGTGAAGGTTTACTAAAACATTCATCGCCCTTTTACTTGCTAAAGCAACATGTTTATGACTCCTAAACTGCCTTCTACAGATGAGATAAAGAATAGAGGCAATTACTTTTATAATTTTTCAGCTGATGTTTTTGCCTGTGTTTCGAAGTCATTTAAATAGATATTTGAAATTAAAAAATTTGGGTACGATCCAGACTCTTAGCCTAAATGAAACAAACAGTATCTTTGAGCTATATATACATTTCTAGGTTTCTACGATTGCAAGGTCATCGTGCAGCAGTCTATCTGGATGGAAAACATGGCATGCCCTGTGTGAAGTACCTCTGGTGCTTGCGTTTGTTTAATTATTAGAAGATGCTCTTTCTAAAATGGAGTGGCTGCATGGAACAATGCATCTATGGATCGGCAAGGTGAAAAAAATTGCAGTGGCTTAGCTCGGCTATGCCAGGATATACTTAGCGTGAGCTTAGGTTCAGCTGGTTATTCTTAGCTTTCCTGGTTGTCTAGGATTAGCTTGATTATCATGCTTACTGCTGCTTCAATGACACACACACGGTATATGCATTAGGTGACACATCTATATTTATCAAGCGGCTCCGGTGCAGCGTCAGACTTGGCTACTGCTCAGCGGAGGCGCACAGCTGGGCACGCGGTGGCGCCAGTGCATCTGCCGCAGCTATGACGTCACTCCTCTGGAATGCGCAGACCGGCGGGGCGCGGCGGCGGGGCACAGCGGCGGCAGCTCTGGCACGTTAGCTGTGCGCCGCGTGACGTCACTGCTCCTCGCGCATGCACAGCACGGCTCTCCAGGAGCCACGCGAAACTGCTCAACCTCGGCCAGTGTAGCTCACGCTACAAAAGATTGGTTATGTGTCTTAAGTATGCAATGAATTTTGGGTAGTGTAATCAGGCATGAAAGAGGTCGAGTCGGTTTTGAAAATATATAAATCCTTATCAGGTAATAAAATGCAGCCTGACAGAATGCATCAAACAATACATTGGGGTAACAGTGAGCTAACTTTAGATTTTTGGTTGTTGCATGTAGGCATTCCTTCCTGTTTCTACTTGTTTGTTGCACTCACAGTGGTGGATGATGGCAGGCTGTTACATAGAGTAACTCATCTCACCTACTCTTGCAGATGGCCTCAGGGAGTTCACGGAGAATCTGTCGAAATTCACGAGGTACAGCAGCATGCGCCCTTTGGCAACACTCAACTATGCCACGGACCTGCTAAACGGAACCAGTATTGTATCGAGGTAGGACAGTAGCTTTGAACGTTCTAGGTCTTGGCATTGGCAACTGGGGAATGTGCCGTGTGTGTAGTGCTATTGACTGGATCAGAATTTTCAGCTACCGTTGTCATACTCTTTTTCAGCATCGAATTTGACAAGGACAACGAGTTCTTTGCAATAGCAGGAGTGACAAAGAAGATAAAGGTGGGCAGTCGAGCAGCATTAGTGCATTCTGCGACTTAGTTTTGTTTCCGTGTTGTTTGTAAGAGGCTGCGATTCTCTTTCGCAGGTGTTTGAGTATGGCACAGTGATACAGGACATTGTGGACATACACTATCCCGTCAACGAAATGATGTGCAATTCGAAAATCAGGTGAGTGCTTCTGGAGCTCTCCAACGAGTGCGCTTTTGCCCTGCTGACACCAATTTTCTGTGCGCTCTTTCTCACCCAGCTGCATCAGCTGGAGTTCCTACCACAAAGGGATGCTTGCATCTAGTGACTATGAGGGCACAGTCACCATATGGGATGCCTTCACTGGACAGAAAGTCAAGATGTTCCAGGTTGGGCCACATCGTTTTTCACTGTGCGCGTTTCGGAGCTGTGGCTTAATGTTTGACACATTTGTGGATGGGGTTAAATAGGTAGACGAAGCATAGGTGGTCCACATGAATCCCCCTTCCTAGGATTTGCTGTAATTTGGTGTAGCGGCGTGACTGTGCTGACCAGTAGCGAGTTTTGGCGATTGATCAGGCTGCACCTCGTACAACAGCTGGGATGCAATGCTGATAAAAGTAGTCAAGAGGCCATGAGCAGGAGCCAGCTGTGTGGGGATCGATAGCCTAAGAGTTATATGTTTGTGCATCAAATTTGCTGGATTTTTTGTTTTGTTACAAGGAGATTGCAGTGTTTGGGGGAGTAATGAAATAAGAATAGTAGATGCTGCAATTGGGCACAGTAAAATTTATTGTAGTGAGAAAAGTTAAGTGTCCTCCAATAGGACACAGTGAAATGTATTCTTGTAAGAAACAAGTGTAAGTAAATATACCTGGTTTTTGCTTGCGGCCTTTCGGTTGTTTTGCACCAACCGCCGGCAAGTAGCACCTGGCAGTTTTGTATCTCCGTGTAGTTTGCTGGTAGATGAATCCCCTCAACATTTTTGCATCAAGCATACAAACATAATTTTTTTTTTTTGTATCTCCATGTAGTTTGCAGGTAGATGAATCCCCTCAACATTTTTGCATCAAGCGTACAAATATAATTTTTTTTCTTTTTTTTTTTTAATTTTTTTTTTAATAATTTTTCTTTTTTTTTTTTTTAATTTTATCTTGAGAAAAAGTTATGAAGGTCAGTAAAATCCTGCTATAACAGTTTGGTTCGTAGAATGGTTTTGAAATATACCAGTGTAGCTGTCACTCTAGAATTTATATGCTTTAGACAGGCTAACATTCAGCACTAGTATTATATATGAGACACTGCTTTGGTTGCATCGCTTAATAGGGGTGCCTTTCGCTGTTAATTCTTTGCAGGAGCACGAAAAGCGGTGCTGGAGCGTAGACTTCAACAAGGTGGACACCAAGCTCATTGCGTCAGGCTCCGACGATGCAAAAGGCGAGCTTGAAACGATACAAGATAGGATAATAGTATTTAAAGTGAAAGGCATCTTGGCTAATTCAATCTGCTTTCTACCTTAGTGAAGCTGTGGTCCATTGCCTCGGATCACTCCATTACATCACTGGAAGCCAAGGCAAATGTCTGCTGTGTCAAGTTCAACCCGGAATCCAGATTTCATCTGGCGTTGGGATCAGCTGGTGAGAAACATTTCCTCTCTAGCCCTACTTCTCCTTATTCTTCTCGGAGGCAAAGCTCTGGCTTCGTAGCAGCCTTCTTTGAAGGTTTTGCTGTTGGTAAGCTATTTGTGGGGCGTTATGTGTTTTATTTGCAATGTTACATCCCCACTTTGGAATTTTGATAGGTCGATTACATGAAAAGTCCCGCAACTAGTTAGTTAATTTCTAGGTTGAGTAGAGCTTTCTCTTCAAGCTAGAGTGGAGCCTCGTAAAGTGTGATGTTGCGTGCGGAAAGACCGGCGGTTTGAATGCCCGTGGAATGTTTGACCAACCACATCCTAAGAAGGGTCAGTGTGCGGGAGAGTTGTTTGTACCGTTGGGAACACTGAGTGAACCATTTTTGGAAACTATATCTATCCCATAATTGAGCTTATATGCGACCTCAGGTCACCCGAATGACCTGATATCAAACTATGCTTCATGAGCATTGCAGCCCTTTTTGGTGTATCAGTTTTTTAGACAAACGGGACGAGTCATGAAACTTGCTCTTCAAGCACTTTGACTGCTAAAATGTTCAAAATATGGTTCCCTTTCATGCATTAAATTACAAGATGTGGCACCGAGGTTCTAGCTTATGCACTCCAGTGCATTAAGTGGAGGTTCAGGGACCATAGCTGTTCGCATTGAAAGAATTTTTTGTCAAAGGATTGCCTCGTTTTGGAGCAGTGTGCGAGCATTTTGCCTGCAGTGTCAGCCACTGTCAGACAACTAACATGGCCACAGCTCTTGTCTGTCTTGCTGCAGGGGAGTGCTTGCATGCAGTTCTTTTGGAATGGCACCAGTACTGAATTGTCCTTTGTTCTTGTCTTTGTGCTTCCTTTTAGAGGAGGATGGATGCTCTAAGCTTGGTATCTACAACAAAACCTATCTTCCTTGGCTTTCTGCTCTTGGCTTTCTGCTCTTGGCGTTTTACTCTCCGTGTTTGGCTCTTAGCATTCTGCTCTTGACATTCTGCTTTTGTCTTTCTGCTGGCATGCACATAGGCTTAGATCAGGGGTCTTCAGACATGCTCCTTAATGTGTTTCTTCTTTGTACAGTCGCCGACCGATTTTTCGGACGCCGATATTTTGGACTTGTTCGATATTTCAGACCTAAAGGAGGAACCGTGACCTACCCAACAGAAATAGTGCATATTCACAACTGATGTTTTGGACAGCTTGAAGTCCGAACATTTGATTTTTTGGACAAAATCATTGCGAGCGATCAGCGGAAAAAACTTTTGGAAGCGGCCATTTTGAATTTTAAGTTGGCTGCACATAGATTGGCTTGGTTTGGCAAGCCTAATCGAGTTCTGCTAAGTCCTACCACTAGGTGATGCTGTATGACTTTTTCTTTTCTAGCTGTGTGTCATTATCATCATCATTGTTGTTACCATTTTGCTTTGTTAATTCGCCATTGAAGTCGTGGACTTGCGCCTCATCTCGACCTCATTTCGGTGAATCGTGTTTTCGGACTATACTGGCTTGGACGTCATTGCCCATCTGTTCTTTCGCTGCCGTTATGTGCCGCTAAGAAGCGCAGCAAGTACTCGACCATATATATAATGTTCGAAAAGAAGGCAGCAATTCTCAAGTTAATAGAAAGTTGCCGAACTCAGATGGAGGTGCAACATGAAGCAAGGCACTATTTATGGCTTTTTTAAGCCCGCTTAGACTTAATAAAGGCAAGTTTTTTAATTTGCAGATTTTTCGGACGTTTTTTCGGTCCCTGCAAAGTCCAAAAAATCGGTCGGCGACTGTATATGCCTGCTGTTTCCAAGCTCACACCTTCTTCTGGTATACTTTTATTGTGCGGATCAGTTTTGGTTTTCGAGATGCATGCACTCTACTTGCACTCATCTCATTGTGTCATGCTGCACGAAGAAGCTTCCCTTTTTCATTCCGCAGCACCTTCTTATTCTGGTTTAGTACTCCCAAGGTACTAGCTTTTCATTATGTGTTGAATTATGGTTTTTACATGTGGTGCTGCAACAGTTGCAAGTGGACTGTATACTTTTGGCCTTTGTATACCTAAAACTGCATGTCTAGCAAGCATTTCAGAAGGAGTAACAAAAGTTATGCAAGACTGTCTTAAAGAACACCCTTTCGTCGTTTTCTAAACTTGGGAGCTATGTGGAACATGCTGCAAGCGCTCACAGTGGTTGCTAATACACAGTAAAACTGAAAAGTAGAAATAAGCTTAAAAAAGACAAACTTGATAGAGAAGGAGGCTACAGACAACATGAAGCGACATGGACATGGTCTCATGTCTGCATCATATTGCCTTGCCCCTTGTCTTTCTGTCTTTATTGTCATTAATTTTATTGGTGGCTCCTAGGCAAAGTACCTATCTATGAATCCCCATTTGTCAATTTGAACGCTTGCCGTGGTGCTTGCTATCTGCCAGATGCTCGTTTGCAGTGTATCTGTCGCGTAACAGATTTTGGTTGACTGTTGAAGGCTGCCAGGTGTTCTAGACTAATCCCAGTGATGCAAGTGTTGCGACCAATTGCGCCACGAACGAAAGTCTGCTACGTCTTGCACTAAAGCGCCACTTTTGCTAAGAATAGCATCACACCTGCACCGAGGTAGGCCTAAACAAAGCAAAAAATAAGAATATTTTATTGTTGCTCGGTTTCAATATTTAAAGAAGTCGGAGGAAACGAAAATAGTACAAATATCTTGTTCACAGCATCTCTGTCCACCGTGTAGTTTGTTTAGGTTAGAGCACAGTCAAAGGCCCAAACATATACAATCGCACATACTAAAAGTGCAAGTCGAGTGGCGTTCGCTGCACTTGATTGGTTTAGCTGACGAAAAAACACGTACGGATAGATGATGAATGCCACAATGTCGCGCTTTTGACGCTATTTGATGGGTCCCACTGGCTCGTGGCATCACCTGCGCTTTGAGTTAAGATGAAACGAAGTGTAGACAATGCTAGTCAACTGTGCTGGCCCCTTCATCATTTGAATTTTCAGACGATGTGGTGATGTTAGGAGCTAGGAGTCGCGAGAAAAATTTACAAAATAGTGGGATGGCAGCTATTGTAACAAAACAGAACCAGGGTCTTTTACTCCCGATAATGTATCTGCCGCATGCCTCTATGCCGTGGCTACAGTGTACCGTGGCAGTTGCTCCTCTTGCGTCAACCATCGTAACCACACACCAGCGTGCGCGCGCGTCAAGCTTCACCGCATTGCACCGGAGTGCTAGGAGCAGCGGCTGACATGGGAGGGTGAACGGGTTTGCGCAATGGGCTCGGTAATTACGGACAGTACTATTACAGGTCGACCTTCTTTTGTCTTGACTGTAAATTGACCTCTAATTAAAAGTTAAGGAAAAAAGAAAGCTGGTGCCAAGTAAGGAGAAGAAAACGTGGGTCTGTATTTGAATAAATCCGGTTATCAAGGTAGCTCCCGTGCAGCGGTCAATTGAAAGGGCAGTGAACTTTGACTCAAGTCTAGTTTGAACACCACTAAAGAGCAGCGTCACTTTTAAAACACAAATATAGGAGTGAGTTTTCATAATATTTGTGGGTGGTTGATTTTGTAGTTTATAATATAAGAATCTTGAGTTCAGTGTTCATAAAACTTGGTGGGACGTATTTTTATTTATAGACCTTTTAGCAAATAGTGTAAACGACTAATTTTTCGCGGGCTCAATATTTCGCAATTTAGGTCAAAGCTAAAGTTTTGAAATAATTTGCGGGTTCTAATTATCGCGACGCGTTGGGATCTCAATATAGATTCCAATGTGTCTACATTTTATCGGAATTGTTTGCAGGACCTATTTTTTTGCGACTTGTAGGCGATTTACGAAAATTAGGTCTTCACAAAAATTAAGTCGTTAACAGTATGTTGATTTTTGCTGACATTAGAGAAATTACATTTACAGGCTTAATTAACTATTGAGTGTAAAAGTGGGAGGGAGAGAGTCTTTATCTCAACTGAAGTGCTGCACTATGCTGCATTTTTCAAGCTTTTTTATATACCAATTTTTTTTCAATAGAACCTACTCTGAGTTGAGCCTTTTTTCTAAAAAGAAGACTGTGTGTTCCTTTTGTGTCCTATTCATTCTTACTACAAAAGGTAGTAAGTAATATGCTTCAGTATCAAAGAAGAACCCTCCATTATTATCAAATATGAACTCATTTAGCGATGGAATTAAATTATCATTTTCAAGTGACGTGCCAACAGTTGGTGGCATGTGCTCCAAAAGTGTCAGTGGCTGCTCCAAGGCACTAGCTTGCCTGCTACAAGAGGTCAAACACTGCTTCTAACACTGTAACCCTTAATCTTTTTGCTGAAGCATGCCAGATGCTGTCCTTTGTATGCAAACACCAAACATTTTATTTTCCTTTGGGTTTAATATTGTTGCTTTAACACCAGCTCTTCGGCATTCTTATCCTTTTACCTTTCACTAATTCGCTAGGAGTTTGTTAAAGGGGTAGTGCAACAATTGTAACGTTAAAAGAATTTTCCATTTGTATTTTTTTAATATTGTTTATTTAGGCTCAAGCGACAAAAAACACGCGACTTTCCCCCAAAAAACCGCTATTCCGTTGCATAATCGCAAAGGAAAAACATGAATTATTTGCCAAATTGCAGCTGCCTATGGCGGTTACGAAAACTATGGTGTAATGTCAGTGGTGGACACGCGCAAGTCAACGAAAGCCGTCCCCTTCTGCTGCTACACTTGCCAGCAGCCACATGGCAAATTGTCTTTTCTGTCGATCGCTCGACGCGATCTTCGGCGATGCCAATCCTTGAAAAATGGACAATTGCGGAGGGGGCAGCTGGGGTCTCTGAAGAGAGACCCCAACGGGAAGCCTTCCCACAGACGTCATTAGAAAGATGGCGTGTAAATTGAGGGGCACTTTGACCTTCGATTTGTTTCATTTTTTTTTTTTAAGTAAGAACTGGCGTGCAAGAAAACATGGTTTTCTGTTCTTCATCCTATGGGTGACAGAGATTAATTCTCACAGTTGCAGTCTAACCTCGTTATAAGAGACTTTTATTTTGTCCAAGATTTTGGTCTCTTGTAATAGGAGTTTTTTGTATGCAGATATGAAGTTGAGTCAGTGGTATGTAGAGGAAAACCAACCGAAGTTCACAAATCGGTATGTTATATATCCAAATGTCTGTTGTAACCAGGTCTGTTGTAATGAGCTTAGACTGTAATTGGCCAAAGTCCGAAAATTGTTGCACCGTTGCTTGTAATGCATCACTAAGAACCGGAGGGTTGAGTGATGCTCATAGTGACTCTTGTCATAACTACCTAGTGCCACTACTATTCCTCTTTCTTTGCCTGCCAGTATTTCAGGAATCATTTTCTCAATTAAACTTTGCAAATATGTGCAATCATTATTAATTTTACCAGCAGCTGAACAAGGATGGTTGTGCAATCTCCTGAAAACTGCCTCAAAGACAACAAGAATTTGTGCTGAATGGTCAGCCTTCATTAGGCAAGCAGAGGTCCGCACCCAAATCTCCCGATTAACCGATAAGGTAATCTGGAGGAAACACGGACCAAAAGACTTGACTTAGTGCCTGCTCAATCATATACATATGCCACAGCTATGTCTCAAGTTTTTAAAAGGTTAAAACGGTGCAAACGATGAGGGACAAGAAGCAGAAGGACATATACACAGCGCTGCTTCTGCTTCTCGTCCCTCGTCGTTTGCACCTTTTAAAAATGTCACACCAACTAGCCCAAGCTTCAACCTTAGCCAAATGTTTATTTGCTCTGTGTGTTATGTTGTGGTACTAGGCAATGCCTTTCCCACCCAAGGGTTCCTTGTGTCCTCTGTTCAAGATCACTGTGTGCACTATTACGACCTGCGGAGCACCAAGCAGCCCCTGGGGGTGTTCAAGGGCCACAAGAAGGCGGTGTCCTACGTCAAGTTCCTCAACACCACCGAGCTTGTGTCTGCGTAAGTGGATGACGCCCCAAAGACACTCGCTAGTAGTATCCTGTGTGCCGTGAATGTGATAAGCGTCTGCCATTACACGGTTTGCCGGAAAATCATTCTCGGGCACTGCCATTGAGCCTCCGCTTCCGTTCCGAGATGTTTCTTTGGGATCTGATCATGTTGCATTGTGAATGATGGCCAGCAGGCATGTAGCACGGTCGGGGCAATTCTCATGCATTACATTGTTGGGTCTTGAAACCGGCGGTTCCCATTCTTGCGCAGCTCGACGGACAGCCAGCTGAAGCTGTGGAACATCAACAACCCTCACTGCCTGCGCTCTTTCAAGGGACACCTGAACGAGAAGAACTTTGTTGGGCTTGCAACCGACGGCGACTATGTGGCTTGTGGTGAGCCAACCATTCAACTCGAGTGTCACTTGCAGAGGTGAAATCATTTGAGGAATGCTGTTGGATGTAGTGGTATTGCTTTGTTCATTCTTCATATCGATTGTATTCGGGGCTCTTCTTCAATTGATTGACTAACCAAATACCACAAGTCATCAACGATCTGCCATACTGATCCGACGCGAAGGCACGATTAAAACAGTCGAAAGGCATCTGTCTAAAAGATAAAGTTGTCGAAGTTAAGAGCAGTTTTGGTGTTTTGTATCCCCGTACACGGCGCTTTTTTGTACAAACACTATTTCTGACAAGGTCACCGGTGGCCGGGGCCCTGTACTTGCTAGAAGTAAGCTATCTTTCCAGGTTTTTTAAAAACAAAATAGCCAGTCATGCCAAAAACAGGGGTGGGCATCTCTGGGGTTATTACGGTAATTAGTTCAGTTTCATGTTATCTGGATACATACTCCCTTGTCTTATATTTTTTAGTTGTGTTGAGGAGTACTGTCGAAACCGGTTATAACGAATTCGGTTATAACGAAATAGCGGCTACAGCGAAGCAATCACGATTTCCCATTTCCTTTTGCACTTCGTTATAACCGAAGTCGGTTATACCGAAATAGCGGATATAGCGAACTGATTTCCGATTCCCATTGACTTCGTTATAACCGCTCTCGACAGTAGCAGTTCTGACCGACCCGAGAGAATTCAGAAGCTAAACATTCCACGTCGCAGGGAGCGAGAACAACGCCCTGTACATCTATTACAAGGGACTGTCCAAGCAAGTGCTAACCTTCAGGTTTGATGTGGTGCGCAACATTTTGGTGAGTCTTTAGCCGCGCCAGCACACCGTCGGAGAGAACCCGGGTGCGTGACGAGAGTCCCTTTCGCTTGGTCGTTGCAGGAAAAAGACAAGAAAGAGGAGGACAGCAACGAGTTTGTCAGCGCCGTCTGCTGGAGAATCGTAAGCGGCCCTCTCGCGAATGAGCTCACTCTCGTCTCGGCAGTTTTCGTGCGGTGCCTGGAATGTGTCTTCGATTAATGCGTTTGGCGTCCTACCCAGTCTGTGCGTTGATATTATGGGGTGTCACAAAAAGTATTTTCGTTGTTTTTCTTACCTTAAAAATAGACTATGCATCGTTAAACACTCATTTTCTGTTTGAACGTAGTGCTAGCAGTTCGAACCAGATGCCAAAGTTTCAGAACTAACGATCATCTCAAACAAAAGTTTCAAGCGATTTTTTGAGAATTTCAGTGGGGAAACAGCGCCAGTCAGCTGCATGTATTCGAGGGCCCCGTCGGCCGCCATTTTCCCATAGAAAATTTTAGAAAATCGCTTATAACGTGTGATTAAGACAACGGTCAGATCTGAAACTTTGGCATCTGGTTTGAACTACACTTGGGAAGAGTACGAGCGTTCGGCGACGCATAGTCGAGTTCTGGCAATGACAAAAATCCTCGCAAATATTTTTTTGGGACACCCTGGTATTCCCAAAGTGGCAACAAACGACGTTGCAGAGATTGGTGCGTCACGCTCTTGGATGTCGCGATCTCGGTAGTTGGTCGTAAAAGTTCTGGTAAAAAATCTGCGCAAGTGTCACAGTTGTTGTGGCGTCCAGGCTGCTGAAGCTTCTGTAGACCAGGGACTCTCAAACTTTTGGCCTGGAAAAACCCCCATCCGCCTCAAATGGCAGCCGAGGAACCTCTGCCGATCTCTGCATCGATGTAATAAAGTGGCGCTGAAGCCTATGCATTTTGTAAACAATGCGCATATTAGGGAGTGGCTCAGATCTGAAAGAACACTTTACTTGGAGGGAGGGACAGTCGGGGAAATTTGGCAAACTTTTGGGGAATCCACGAGGGAACTCTGGGTTCCCTAGAAATCATGGGAGTTCCCTAGAGGGGACTTTGTTCTCCGTCTCACCTTACGTCCGGACCAGCAGACGCTACGAGGCATCCTAACCAATCCCGCCTGTGAACATAGCCCGTGATACACTTTCCGCCTGTCGCTGTGCCCTTTCTCCAAGGTCACATTACACTCACATGGCCTTGGATTGGCTCTGATGGCTTGTATAGGGTTGTGCTAATATTCGAAATTTCGAATAGTAGTTCCGAATAATACACTATTCGATATTCGCTTCGAGAAGAACTGCACTATTCGCGTTTTTCGAAGTGTTGATTGCGGCGGGTTAGCCCCGTTGAGTGCGCTTCTTACCAAGCACCGATGCGCTGCAGAGAAACAATACCCGCGGATTGAGCTCCGTGGGTGTTGCTTCTCTGCATTACATTGGTGCTCGGTAAGAAGCGCACTCAACGAGGTAACCCGCCGCAATAAACACTTGGAAAAGTATGAATATCGTAATTGCGTTCTTGGAAGTAAAGCACAAATTCAAAGCGGGATGGTGCACCTGTGCCGACTGTATTTGAAAATAAATGAAAACTTTGTGAATGTGTATATCTACATTGTAGTAAAAGTTTCAAAATTAAACTATTATGCAAGAGTATACTATGTTAGGCAGAGGTGCCCTTACAACTTGCGTTCATCATGCACGAGTCATTGTTTTTTAAACTCGAGATTAAAGAAAGAATATTTTTATAGCAAGATTTGTAAATTCTCTCCACTGGATATAGTTGGCCATCTCTACAGGATTAATTTTATGTCAAATCCGTCGTTTACTTGCCATCCCAAGACACCAGACCATCTGAGATCACAGTTCATAATTATAGATGGATTAATCTTGGCTTATAAATGAACAAGTGGAACCTTCACAAGTTTAGCTGTGTTTTCGTCTAAGCATTATGCAATGGTAGTGAAAGGCGTGGAAAAACTATTCGATACTCGAATTGAAAATATTCGGCCGAAACCACTATCCTCTTCGAACTTAAAATCCACTATTTGCACAGGACTAGGCTTGTAGCATCCGCTGCGCTCGGACGTAAGGTGAAACAGGGTATAGGGAAGACAGTTGGAGGATGTATGCCATAGATGAATGGGAGTTCCCTCGAGGGCACTCTAGAGAAGACAGTTTGATAATGTATAGCATAAACGACCGAGACGGAGAGCTACCCGCGGCAGGACGGGCGTCTGCTGTTGTGCTGGGATTGCAGCGGGCAACAGCACACACTTTTACGACGTCATCGAAGCAGAAATCGAGGGACCACGTTTGAGGACTTGGTGGATGCACCAGTCGGAGACGCATTCCAGGCGGCATGGTTTGGGGGGTCTTTTTGCCGCAACGCCAATTGTTTTACGCATTTAATATGTGTATATGTTGTCTCTTTGTAGGGATCAAGTGTTGTGGTAGCCGCAAACAGTCAGGGCACCATCAAGGTTTGTCTCTTTGTCGGCAATGGAAAGCGCTTCGCCCGCCTAACGACGTACGAACCTTTCGTTGCAGGTTCTGGAGCTCGTCTGAAGTCCTGGAGTATTTCAATTTGTTTCCCGATCCATCATTTTTTTTTTTAGTTAATTTTGCCTCGATTTTGTTTTATTGCTAGGGAAACTTTGCAGGTCTCTGGACTGACACTTTTTGTTTAAAAAACAGCAAGCAATTTCAGCTTTGTATATAATTGTTATTTTGTTAGCCCTGCTCATTCGTTATTGAGCCTCATTTTGTACCAAATAAACCGTACTGGATGTTGCTGTTCTGCGAGCATTTCATAAGAATTGGGGTGCACCTTAGTAGTGTCCCGATTTCTTTCTGTTTTTAGACTTCCTAGCAAGTAGACATGTCGCGGTGAAAATATTTTTTTCTAACGTAAACTTAATCTGAAAAATTGGCTGAAAGCCTACAGTGCGAAGCTTGTTTTTAATTAATCAATTTAAAAAAAAAAGACCACGCATTACTTAAAAGAAAAAGTTTATAAACTTAAAATGTTGCATTGGGCAAGCACACGGGTAAACTCGACGAAATTTAACAGACAACTAAAATAAAGAATGAGCACATATCGCAGCCAACCAGGGTGTCGCTCACAGGAATCACGTGCAGGTAATAAGTTCCGCCACATCTACACGGCCAAGTGAAAGTTCCGTCGGCACCAGTGTCCATTTCCGACAACTTGACCTGGTCGTGGATCGGATGGTTCGACGTTGTTTTCTGCTGCTCCCTCAAGGCGTCGTATTGTCTGCGGCTTCTGTCGTCGCTCAGTGTTTTCCACGCCTCGTGCAACTTCATGAAGTCTTCAGAATCGCCACACACTCGCTTGTCCGGATGAAGTTCAAGCAGCTTTTGCCGGTAGCTCCTTTTAATGTCTTCAGTCGACGCATCGTGAGACACTCCTAGAACTTCGTAATAGTTCTCCATTCGAACGTCGTACAAAATTCGTTAACCATAATCATAAACTCGGTTGAGCTTTGATTTCAATTATCTTGCGACCGGATAGCTCGAACTCGTGCAGTGCGCGCAAAGCGAAATGGTTGCGGCCATATTGTTTTGCATGGATTAGATTGGATTGGATACTGATACGTTATCTAGCCACCAGTTTCAAAAACTTCACTGGCTACGTGCGCTACCTGTTCGCTGTCGGGCACGATGTGGCGGTTTTACATTGATTTTCTTATAAATATGCTTTTATTTATAATAACATAGTGTGTGATAATAAGTCAAAAGTTCTTCCACATACCCAGAGTTCTCGGTATGTAAAATAATTTTTAAAAAAAATCCCTCAAAAGTACAATATTTAGCACTATAATAGTTAAAAAATAATTATATCGAAATATGTTCAATGGCGAATGACATAATTTAGACTTCTATATTTACCGTTTTATATCTATCAATTTATAATAATAAAAAAACTAGATTTATTTTTATATTTAAGTAGCGTTAGCAGCGCAAAAAACAACTGGCATCAAGAATGTGATTGAATTTGGCTGGGCTCATGATGTAGGCCTAGTGTGGGCAGGTCGGCCCCGAATTTCGAAAGCAAAACAAAAAAAAACAAAGCTAGCTTTCTATTTTTTTTATTTTTTTAGATTAGTGCCATAGAACATAGAACCATTAGTGTGCCATGTTTTGCAAATCTCTTTCGCGGCAGCGTGCAGTCATGCTGCCCGTGCAAGCCCGGAGAACGTTAGCGTGAGCAAACGCGCAGACGAGAAAACGTCCCGCCCATGATAATCAAGACGCGCGTAAAAGGAAAAGTCCGTAGCGTCGAAACTTAAAACTCGGCAGATCGACAGGTACACAATGTGCATCGAAAGCCGCGAAGAGAACGAGCATCTCGTGAACTGTGCTTCAGCAGCGTCTCAAAGCCCCGACTGTGATCTCTCCTCACTAACGACGCCGGTGTGCTTTGCAGCGAGTGTGTGAGGTGCCTCCGAACAGGCTGGGCTGTTTCAGCCATGCTACACTGCGCCCCGTGCAAGCTTGGTTCAGGTGCTCTGCGCCCGAGGAGTGTTGTGATCTGTGCGTCCGCAAGAAAATAATTAGCGAACAAGTATGATGTGCGCTGCGCCATGCCATCTAAGAAGCAGTATAATTTAGTGAGTGACGATGCATACGACAGCAGAATTCCGTTGCACAGCGAAGAGGCCTTTCAGCATGGAATCTCATTCAATGCCAAGGTGAGGGGGGCTCTTGAGCGATCGCTTTCTTTTTGCGACTGATACCAGGATTGCAGCGTGCACAGAGACTCAGCTATTGTTTTTTTCTGAAAAGGTCACCGTGTTCGAGCTATTTGGGCAGGGCTTGTGCTCCTAAGAATGGTGGTCAAACAATCGCATTGTTGTAAAGCCCCGTAAACATTATAATTGTTTTTTTTTTCTTCTTCTTTTAATACTAGTATATCGGCACCTTGGATGTTCCCCGACCGAGTAGCAGGGTGGAAATCGTGGCAGCCATGCGCAGAATTCGGGTAAGATTCGATTTCTACTATGGTATCTTGTAAGTGACTGGTTGAATTATTATGCATTTATCATTACGTTTGGTTGTTAGCTGTTGTATTGAATGTTAGGCAGCCATGACCAAAATCTTTTCCTGCACCAGAGTGGACGTGTAAACCTCATGCAAACAAAATGTGCTACGACTTGTTGAAGCGCATCATGTCTAATTTCAGTATGAATTCAAAGCCAAGTCCATCAAGAAGAAGAAGGTGACAATTACCATTTCGGTTGATGGGGTGAAGATTGTCCTCCGAAAGAAGCATGTGAGTCCCGTCCTCGAGTTTTGCCGTTGAATCTGAGCCTGTAAAGTTTGTTTTCTTAAATGTGATGTGTCGTAGATTGCATAATCATTTGAGTATTAAGCATGTTTCATGCCTAAGATGGAGTGTCTCGCAGTTAGAAAAGCCATGAGCAAAACATGCTGTAAAAGATAAATGGGACATATATAATTGTTAGCTCTGCACTAATTGAGCCATAACTAGAAATCAGAGTATGATTGATAAGTGGACACAAGGTGCGCATGAATATGACGACCATGAGAGACATTAAAACATGTAAGAAACAAAACTTGAAATCATGAACTTGTACAATTCCTTTTAAATAATTAGCGTAAAACATGTTCAGTGATGAAACGGAAACATGCAGAATGTTCACCATTCTTCTTGAAAGCATATGATTGTCGCATTTGGCATTAATCGTAGAGTGGTAGAGCTGTAAAGTGATTCATTAAAATTGTACTCAAGCTACCCCATGTAGTCAAAAGTTCAGTGCCTAAATGCCTCCTATATTTGAGTGTAATTTCTGTAACTGTAACTTAGGTACATTGTTGGAGTAACTTGCAGCTTGGATCAATTTCGGTTGCTCCTCAAAGGTTTTGTTGACAAATCCATGAAGTCTCATCAGTTTAGTCCCGTCCTCAGCACTTTCTCAATCTCTCAAACTCTACCATCTGCAAAGTACTGAATCAAAGTTAATAGTCCACTTGCTAAATCCCCCAATAGCCCCGGCCTGCACTCGGGGGAATCATGGGAACTGTGTTCCTTCAGTTCCCTAGTGATTGGTGATTTCGACCGATTCAATGTTTACAGACTTTTGAGTGTAATCCGGAGTCGTCCTGAATAAGCGTCGTGTAGAGTCCAAAAACCTGTTGTATCACTTTTATTTCTCGTCAGTGTCAGCATTTTTGATACTGTGCATGCCATCCACCCTTCAACCTGGCTGAGCCGCAGAAATCGCTTGCAATATTATCATTCTCGTAGAGCTTCAAAGACATTAATATTAAGTTATAGATGCTAAAAATGCTATAAACTGCCCCGCTGACTCAGAGCTAAACCCAGGTTTTGGTTGTTTGGAATTCTTGGCTTTTTAGGCAATTCCTACTAAAAAAACAATTATGAGAATGATAATTTGTATGACATTTCTGCAGCTCAGCCAAGTTCAATTGTGGATTGTGTGCAAAGTATAAAAAATGCTGACATAAACGAGAAATTTTAAAAGTGACATGACAGATCATTGGACTTTACACAATGCTTGTTGAGGGCGACTCCAAATTAGACACCTAAGTGTGTAAGCATTGAATTGGTCCAAATCACCGATCACTAGAAAACTGAAGGAACACGGTTCTCATGATTCGTAAAGTGCAGGCTGGGGCGCTTGGGGCATTTAGCAAATGGTCTAATGTGACGTGATTGCTGCACCATTTGTGCCAAACTGTGCCAAAGCGCTTACCCTGCTACATCGTGCTGCTTTTCATCAAAATGTGAGGAATTTGCGCTAACATTTCACTGAAACTTATTTTTACTTCATTAAAACTGAACATATAATAAATCAGGTCTCGTTCCACGGCCGGATCATTATATTAGGCTTGTGAAAATTTCCAAAAGTTTCAATTATTGGCTCAAATTATATCATATTCGATTTGATCTCTGTTTTAAACATTGACAGTTCTTGAACGTTTAACAATATTTCTCACGTTCATTGTCTGTTCCGGCTAGATAACTAGCATTGTTGGGTGTGCTTGTCACCGCACTGTGGTGTACTGCAGTGTAGCGACAACCGCTTGCTAAGGGAAAAGCAGTCCTCCAGAGCGAGACGTTACATATGATTTCTGAATAAAACTGCGGCTAGTTATAGACTGCAATATTCTGGTAATATCTTTTTCACATTCAAGATTAATCAAGGATACTTGAGTACTGTGAGAAACCTTTTATGGACTACTCTATAAATTTACTTTCAATGTTAACTTTTGTTTTTAATGGCACAGTGAATATGGTAACTTAAGGCTAAATTAGCTGGAGCAGTAAATGCAAGCCTTAGAAAAGCCTAAATTAGGTCAACACAATCCTTTTTTTATTCTTTTTGTAAGAAAGCCTCTTTATTGTTTACATGCTGGTGTCTGTTATCATGAAGTTCTGCTTGTAAAATGTCATTGATATTTATAAATCAAATGTCAAAAGCTTTGTTTTCTATCTATATAAAGAACTGTAGTTTTGTTACAACTTTAGAACTTATAGAAAACACCACTTTAGATGCTCGAAATTATTATATCCTAACATTATTTCAATGGGATACACTATTTTTTTTATTGTTTTATTTTCTTAGCTAAAATAACCATGCACTGCTGTTTGTACTGCCCTTTATCAATCAGCATCTTGTTACCATGCCTCGTGTTATGTGCAGTTAAACTGCCAGCTGGGGAATCAAACCTACCATGCTGTTGATGCCATCAAAAGGTTGCACAGAAGTAGGGAGGCAAAGTAGGCATAAACATACATTTTAACATGATATTTGCACTGGTGTCAAAGAAAAAACTAAATGTGTGCTTTGGCTAATCCAAAATTACTCAGGCCAACCACATCACTGCAATATCTTTTCTACACTGATCACAATTGTTGGTCAGTAGTTGCTATATACTTTTGTGAAATATCCCAAAAGTAATTGGAACCTAACTTAGTTCATTATTGTGAATAATAACCACAACTAGATTACTAAAAATATACCTATTTCGAACTTAATTACATTTTGTCTCAAGAAAAATAACTACAACTAACATAATTACTTTTTAAGAGCAGCATTTTCTACAGTTCCACTAAATAGCCCTGGCGAGGGGGCTGATGTCCCCTCATTATTTGTCAAGCACAAGACAAGACCTTTTTCTATTTAGAATTATCAGGGTTGATCCGGCTTCATTAAGGATTTTTGTCAAGAAAAAATAAAGATAGCACACAAAAAAAAATGCAAACCGAGGAGAAAAGTGGACAAGACCGTGCTCGTTTTGCGCTGTTCTTTCCTTGTTTTGTACCTTTTTGTCTGCTGCATTTATTTTTTCTAGTCATGAACTAACTCGCCTGCATCACCACTTTGGTTCAGTTTTGGCGAGTGAGGGCTAATTATGTAGGAAGAGTTTATTTTCTTTAAATGTGCGCTTATTGGCCATGAGGTCTAGTTTGTTTTTGGTTCTCGTCTTGTGTGAAATTTCGGGTGCCAAAACAGGTATGTACGGGGAACAGTCGAGATTTTTACCACTTATTTTGGGAGCCATATATTTTAATAAGAAAAAGCTCCCTGAACTTGCTTTATTGGAAACCTCAGAGGCTCACACACAGTATTTGACATATAAATGAGGTTATTTATTTTTATTTTATTGAATATCCCCATAGCATAGCAGGTGATACAATTAGCATCACCAGACTTCACTATTTTTCTTTTACAACTGAAAGGTTCTGCTCAACACTACCAAAGTAGTGGAGCATGATGTTGTGGGGCACTAACCTACTAAACAATGAGCTTTGGTATTTTGCACTAACCCAGGCACGTCAAATGTTAAAAAGCATCAATGTTGTTTTTGCACCAATTGTGTCATCCAACGTACATATAGTTCCCATAACAATAGTCTCTATAACTGTGCCACAACATATTTGTTAGCCTTTCTGGACGGTTGTGGGGTGAGACCAGATTCAAACCCAATCGTTTTAAAATGTCTGAGGGGACTGCCAGCAATTTCGAACTTGATAACATTTTTTGAGAGTTTAGTACTACCTGTCACTTCATAGTACTACTTGTCACTTTATCTTTTTTTTTTTTTCTTTTTTTTTCAGAAAAACAAGTGGTCATGGGACGACACCAGGTATCTTGTTATGAATCATCCCATATACAGGTGAGGAAAGTCTCCCGTTTTAGGTGGGGTGGGATCGGACGCCTCCTTCGGCGTCCAGCATCTAAATGTAATTTTGAGGATTCAGCCATCATCTACTTATGCTGTCGTTTGGATAACTTTCAGGATATTCTATGTGTCTCATGACTCGCAAGACCTGAAGATCTTCAGTTACATTGCCAGGGATGGTGGAAGCAATGCATTCAAGTGCAATGTCTTCAAGTCTAAGAAGAAGGTAAGGGTGCCTGTGTTTGTCACTTCATTAGGCGCAGGATCATGCAGCAATGACCTTTGATATCTGCATTTAAGTTGGGTAACATATTATTCATATTTTGTTTTCTCTTGAATTGCTAGAGCGATGATATAAGGTCACTTGCTTATTCTGAGCATCTGATTTGCATCTGGGTAACATAATGATGTATCCACAATATCAGGTTTAACTGCAAAACTATTCCAAACAAGAGGCATCGAATGATTTCTGCGTTTGATTTTGAGGGGGGTTTACGGTCGATTACTTGGTTTTTAGGGAAGTTTTCTGCTGTCATGCTCCAGTTTTTCAAATATCATGTCACCTACGGATCATGAACTATATTTGCTTGTTTTCAAAGAGAATGCTTGGCAAAGAGTCCTACCGGGAAGAGACCTAACTTTGTTTGTGATTCTCGTTGGCTTCTTTTTCTTGAATGATAGATTGTTGGCCCAATTCCAGCTTTGACAGTTATTTCTCAATCTCAATTGCAAGAATACTGTTCAAGTGGCTGGGATGAAAACAACCTTCAATGGAGCTTTGTTTGACTGTAAAAAATAAGTTTCATGTCTCGACTCTCTTTTGAGAAGCACCAGAAAGTTTTTATTACGGCATTAAATCTTGAGACATGTTAACTTTGCAGATGTTTTCAGATTTTCACAACTTCTATAAACATGATATCTGCATGTAATTTGATCAGTTTGTTCCTTTATTAAGCCTCTTGCAACTTAACGGAATAAATGATGCCCACGGTCCTAAAGTATTTTTCGTAGGCATTAACCTTTTTATTCTTTTATAAGTAAAAAACATTTTTAACCTTGCAAGAGTTTGTTTGTATTGTTGCATATAAATATAAATTACATAGTCATGAGATATACAGTAGGAGCCTGCTATATTGCGGTCATCATAATCTTCAGGATACAAAATGGGAGGCTTGGGTTTTGGAAGGGGGGGGGGTGGGAGGGTGCGAGGAGGAAACATTTTTCGTAATGTGTTTCGTTTTATAAAATTATGTCTCTAAGGAATAAACTTTTTTTTTCTTCCCATTCGCTTTGTACTAATTTTGCGCCTGCACGTTGTCGTAAAAACGGGACGTGGGCTTTTTCGAGGCAAAATGTCGGGACAATATTAATGAACCTTTAAAATGGGACTGTCGTGCCCAAACCGGGACGTCGAATCACCCTGTGTTATATAAAAAATTACATAGACGAAATATCAAGCACAGAAGGGAGTTTGATGTAAAATGTGAAGAATGACATAAGTAACAAATACAAATGTGTATTTTGCTTATTTTGACTTTTTGACATTACAGAGGTTGCCATGGAGCTGGGGCTAAAAGGCAACAAGAAATTCGCCTTCTTGCGAATTTCTTGTCGCCTTTTTGGCGACAAGGCTACAAATGATCAGTAATGTTGGAAAACTCGCACAGAGTAGGTGAATATTCATGGTTCTCTAATTAATGCATTGCAATCTGAAGTTATCCAAGGATAAATTAATTGGACATTATTTTTGACTACTGTGATATGGTATCAGGCTTTCTCTCCAGTCTGCATGTAAGCCATGCTCCAGGTCACATTATTACAGATGCAAAGAACGCTTAAGCGAAACAAGGAGCGCAGCACGATTTCCTCCGAGACAAACCAGCCGTTCGCATTGCCACCAGCAAGGAATCCACGTTTGGTGCCAGTCCGTGTTTCAATTCCCACTGACAGTTACAAAGAAGCATCAAAGCGTTATGCTTCATACACAAATGGGACTCCCCAAGTCGTTTGGGAAACAGAGCGAAACCAAGTGGGCAGCCGGCATCCCCCCATCACCTCAAGAAGGGGAGAAAGGTTAACACAAATAAACGACGAGAACAAAAAAAAAAACAATTGAAGTTGGTACACAATGCTTCCCAGTTGTGACTTCGGCTCGTCGAAAACAAAAGTCGACTTTCTCTTCCACTGCACGCTCCGCTCTGGCCCCTTCGTTCCGAGGAGACGGCGTAATGCCGCTCGCTCGGGGAAAGGGTAAAGGTGGCGGTTCCGGGCTGACCCGAGATCGGGAGGGGAGGGTGCGCTATTCTGGTGCCCTTTCGGAGAGGGGTGGCGGACAGAAGACCCTCCAAATTTAGAAGGGTAGGGGCGAGGAGGAAGGGTGGTGTCTGGGAGGGGGAGGTCCTTCCCTCTCTCCCCTCTGGCATTTTCTGGCTGGGCCGCTGTGGGTGATGCGGTGGGCAGGAGATTCGCCTAAATCTTGCCGGCTCTCCCAGACTCCCACACCGTCCCACGTGGCCGAGAGTTTGGCGTCCGGGAGCGATTGCACCGGGGCGACGTTTTTTCGGGGAACGTATCGCCGTTTTCAAAAGGTGGCCCTTGTGCGGTGCGATCTGTCTGGCGTGCCCGGTTGCGGCCATAGATGAGAAAATGGTTTGTGACTGGAATGTGCGTGTTGGCAAGTGCAAAGTATCAATTTGATTATGACAGTCATGCTGCGAATCTTGTTCTGTGAGCAGGTGGTTATGTGTATCGACGACTTGAACTTGTTATTTTAGAAGCGAAGCCGGTGCAGTTCCTGGGGCCAAGCGTTTTGTTTTTTTTGTATGTGTTATGCTCCGGACTGTGCGCAATTCCTCTTGGCACCAAGACTCTGCTCTCGGGCACATGGGCTGGAAGCGTGCCCACTTAGAGCTAGCGATATTTGGCGATTTTCGCGCTAAGTGGAGAGCGTGCCTACGGCAAGTGAAGTGAGTGGCGATCGTCCGAACAAGACAGTGGAAGCTGCGGCGAGCGTCGGACATGCGCAGGGCGTTTTCACAGAGGTTGGGCAGGTCCCGCCCCAACTCGGATCCGGGAAAGGCGACCAAGACCGGAGACCGTCCAGTCAAAAAGCTCAGCTTTAGGGACCCCGAGGTCGAGGACGGACGTGACCAGTGCAAGAAGTGCGACAAAGAACAGAAGCTGACGGAGGCGGGCATCAAGAGTGGAAAGAATGGCGACGTGGATGCCACGAAAAAGGCTTCCAAGCCGAGAATTTTGGTGCAAGCTCCGGTCCTTCAGCGGAGTTTTAGTCTAGAAGATCTCGACTTGGAGGTGAAGTTTCTTACCTCAATGCTTGTTACGACAGATTAGCAGTTCATAACAGTCAGCTACTGCTGTGATGTGTTCCAGGAGATTGTTTTCTCGAGTTCTTCATTCAGAGTGTGCAGGTTCTTTATACTTTTACTTTGCTCTTCAAGTTGGTAGTTATGTGGCCAACACAATGTCACCGTTTTTGGAGTTTTTTTTTTTAACTTTACATTTTCCTGGGCTGTCATTTATGAGTCGTAGCTTTGTTTTGCATAGGCTTCTAATTTTGTTTTATACATGAGGGGTCTATCTTGCACCTGTCTCATCGTCAGACCATATGGTTGATGTACAGATGTTCTTTATTTGCAGGCAAAATGAAAGCTACTCTTCTGCATGCATGTTTCATTCTCAAAACATGTCTTTTGGCTGTTAACAGAGTCAAGCCATGCGTGTGGTGCGGACGATTGGGCAGGCTTTCGAGGTGTGCCACAAGCTGAGCTTGGCCAATGCGACGTCCAACTTGGTCGCTCCCGACAGCCTTCCTCCAACCAACCGGCACAGCAGCAGCGAGAACTCCATTTCCAGAGGTATCTTCACACAGATATTTCAGCTGTTTGGAATGCTGAATGAGCTCCGTTTTCCCCACATGTCGTTCAGCTTTTGCATATGCGATGCCAACCAACCCTCTCGTGGCCAGCGAAATTTTTTTTGTGCCAAAAGCGGTGGTACTTGGCATGTCAGTTTCAAATGATCAACTGTTACCGTTTCCACCGAAATTGAAAAAAAATTGCGCATGGCCAGAAAAGTGTACAGTGGACAGTTGCTCGTTGTCATCATTGGACATTTGGGAGTTATATATGGCCGAATTGCGCTAAAGGTGTGAATTTTGAAAGGAGAACTGATGGTGATTTCTTCCACATTTTCTTTAGAACAGGCAGCAGATAGGTAAATTCACGGTAAAACTCTCGAACCAACTCTTTCTCTTGCAGTGATGAGCCTTCTGTTTTCCAGGGCACATCTACGTGTTAGACGTGACCAGAGTAAATGTTTGTATGTTCATGTCCTCAGTGTCTTCCGTTAGAGGTTTATATGGGGTAGCTGATATATTGGGACTGGAGCTCAATGAATATTTGCAGTTATCAGTTATGCTTGGAAAAGGAGAAGAAAAGATACACATTTCAATATGTTACTTTTGAGCATAGGTCGGCATTTTAGAGCCCCTTCATTCATCATCACGTTACAAACAAAATCACGTCTCCAAATTCATTCGAATTCACGTCACAAGTTATTCCAACCTCCCAAAGTCACTGCCCATCACATCCCGGCGTTCAACCGCTCCAAAACTTCATCCCCTTCACATCACGACTTTCAAACTCCGCCGAGAATTCATCCCCTTCACATCACGGCGTTCAACCGCGCCAAGAATTCATCCCCATCACATCACCAATTCACGAAGTCATTCACCATCACCACGAATTCATCGGAATTCGCCATCGTGAATTTATCGTAATTCACCATCACATCATGAATTCATCCGAATTCACCATCACTTCACAAATTCATCCGAATTCACCATCACTTCACGAGGTCATCCGAATTCACCATCACATCATGAATCCATTTGAATTCACCATCACATCACAAATTCATCTGAATTCACCATCACATCATGAATTCATCCGAATTCACCATCAGTTCACGAAGTTATTCACCATCACGGTCAACATGAATTCACCGGAATTCGCCATCACATCATGAATTCCGCATAATTCACAACTCATTCAGGTTCAACTAAATTCGACTTCACGGCTGGTAGCCCTTCACGAGTTCACAGTTCTTGCGGAATAGGACTGTGGCGACTTTTTATGTCTGCCACTTGAAAGCTGGACCTGACTTCGTCGGGGAAGTGGGGTATTTAGAGTGCGCGACACTCAAAGCACATTGATAGAGTGCCAACCCAGCCAATGCGGCGCTGCGATCGTGTCACGTGAATGTGTTCCATGCGCCGCCACGCGGAACTGGCAGGTCACGTGATATGGTCTCGGCGCCGGATCAGGTGCGCCTGCTCGTGACGTCGGCTTCGTCTTCGTCTCTTCATTGGCACTGCCACCGCACTTCCCTTATAAACAGCTGGTACTTTGAAAGTGCTCAACACAGAGCCACTGCGCTGAGGCGCGCACGGCTACGCAGCGAGACTGATGCCCAAACCGCTAAAGTAAAATCGGTTCCTGTCGTTTGCGGTGAAGGATGAAAACGACCAGCAAGCAAACAAGCACCTGCGTAACATGTTTTCCACCTATTCTGAATTAATAACCGTCTTCACTATCACGTCGAGAATTAAGTTCATGGTATTATAGTACTTCCCATCACAAACTTATCAACTTCACGAGCCACTCAGATCACAAATCAATCGTGTTCTTGAGCCATTCACCATCACGTCACGAATTCATTGAGTCGTTCACATCACAATGAATTCTCTTCAGTTCATGAAGTCATTCACAATCACAACACATCATGAGTTCATTCAAATTCACGAAGTCATTCACCATCACATCACGACTTCATTCAACATCACATCACGAAGTCATTCACCATCACATCACGACTTCATTCACCATCACCTCGCGACTTTATTCACCATCACATCACAAATTCATTCAAAATCACGAAGTCATTCACCATCACATCGCGACTTCATTCACCATCATATCACGAATTCATTCAAGTTCACGAATTCATTCACCATCACATCACGAATTCATTGACATTCACGAAGTTATTCACCATCACATCGCGAATTCATTTAACTTCACCAAGTCATTCACCATCACATCATGATTTTTTTCAATTTCAAGAATTCATTCAGAGCCATTCAGATTCACGCCGTAAATGTGAATGAAGGTGAATGAGCGAGTTCATGAATGAATTTGCCGAGGTATGCTTTTGAGTTCCACTGAATGCGAAAGAGTTAATTCGAGTGGCTGAGTACTTATTCAGTTTTCAACACGTGGCCATGGTTGTTTTATGCTTTATGTAGGGGGACATTAGTGCCCCATCCCATCCTGCATACCTGTTGGCAATGGACCGATCTCGCCAGTCAATTCTGCTATTCCGCCGCTGGCGCGACGCGTAGAGGGAATGGTAGTCTTTTTTCAAGTGCAACAACCTCGCTGCTGCTCTGCGCGTGCAGATACAAGCTGTCTCGTGCATTGCCACCAGCCTCCTATATACCTAAAGAGTCAGTGCAACAATTTTTGTACTTTGCGTAAATATCAATTAGAAGGAATCCTCTACATTTATACCCATGAAACACGCGTTAGTCTTTCTCTTCGAGCAATGGTAGTCACAAAAACAAAAATAAAGAAAAACGAGTAGCGTTCTCTTCCTCAGCTCACAGCCAGAACATGCGACCACGTTATCTGGAACCAATTATATGCCACCAATGTTTATCAGAGCCATGCACTGGGGTTGGCAAAGCACAGGACACGCGTTGAGTTTCAGACATTGTTAGGATTCGGCTATTGTCATCGTTGCAGCGATTGAACACTGGCCTCTACCCGAATATTTGTCGAGCTATCGATTATTGCGAGCCCAAATCGAGTGCTCTCGCAATGCTCGGTTTTAATTTGTGAGCTGTATTAAAATATCGTCACTGGGGGACTAGGCCAACACTGTGACCTTCAAACTATGTCTTTTTTCTAAGGAGAGATTGAAAGAAAATTATCGCTTTCATTCTTGAAATTACGGCGAAGAAAAGAGGTTTTTTGGTCAATGACGTTGCATGCGACTATACTTGGGCTTGAATAGTGCCAGTAAACTCGTGTAAAGTGAAAGGCATATTCCAACTGAATATTGTTGTACTGTCCCTTTAGGCTTTGGAGGCGTCATGCATGCACCGCTAACTTGGGGAGATGAGTTTATTGAAGTGCATCTATACTTCCGAATTTGTTTCTTCAGCTGTAACTGTGTAGGAACGGTGCAGGTTGTCACCCATCTCCCCGCTTTCAGACAAGGACCAGGTTGACAGGTTTGAGGCAGGGGACAGCACATGCGACGATGCCAAGCTGCTGGTACGGGGCGCGGAAGAGGACGTTGCTGCAGAGGCAACGCAGCCAGAGTCGTGCTCCAGCCCCAAGACCCCGCCTTCGTTTCCTGCTGCCGAGGGTTTGCAGCAGACGCTCTTGCAGCAGCAGCAGCAGTCTCAGCAGGCACAGTCTCCCACCCTGTCTTCCAACCAGCTTCTTGCGTGCAGCCAGCGTCTTGGGGTGAGCGTTCTCTCGGCTGTCTCAGTCTCGAGAATTGTGAGAAAAAAAGAGGCATTTGCTGAACTGTGGCTTATAAAAGATACCAGACTTGTTCTTGGAGCGAAAATGTCGTAATTTTCTATCCAAGATCTCTTTCGGTACATCCCAGATGTTGGGTCCCACTTATTGTGTCCGCAAAAATGTGCCACGAAATTCTGTTAGAACGTATCATCAAACCATCAAAAGCAGAAAGCGAGCAACGTGCAACAGATGTAGTCTGCAGTGTTTGGTCAGCCGTCCTTATTTCCTGTCTTAAAATCTCAGTATAGTAGTTTGAGCTTAGGCAGAGCCGGCTTTATAGACCAACGTATGGCTTTGACATCATGTCACTGGGCTGGCGCTGCTGTCGGCACGGCACACGCGCAGACATGCTTCACCTCACTTGAATCTGGTTTCTGGGCACGTGCAGTGCCCACACCTGGTTTGGGCAAACGCACGCTTGTTTGTAAGCAGCGTGCTGGCCTATTGAGCAAAATTCACCGTCCTGCACGGGTAACTGTGTCGGAAGACCTGGGAAAACATAGTTGACGTCCGTCGCCAGCTGCAAACTCAAAGCCTATACTTCAGCGTCCTCTTAACCGTTGCGTGCGCAGGTAGGGGACAGCCTGGCCTCGAGCCCCGTGGAGTTGGGGTCTCCCCCGCAGGGGCCCCAGCAGGAGCCGGGGTGCGGCCCTTCCTCGCTGGCCCTGTACCACCAGCTCCAGCTGATGCGTGCCCAGATGGAGCACCAGGCCCAGCAGGCCCAGGCAGCTGTCAGCCAGGCCAAGCACCTCAGGGACCAGCTGGCAGCAGAGGCATCTGCCCGCAACGAGGCCATGGTGGGTCCACCGTTTGGACAAAGAACCAAGACAGTTCTGAGGGCATTTGTTTATTTATAATGAACAAGTCCTACACACAACAAAGATTGGGAGTAACACAGCGTGAGGAAACACGCACAAAATGCAGGCATCTCTACAATCGTTCCAGTACATTTCAATAAATGAAAAAAGAAACAAAAGTTGACAACTTCAGGTACCAGTAATCAGAATGTCTAATAGTACTAGAGGTGCAAATTATTCCTGGCTTTCGGCAGTTACAACGTGTGGGGGAGGTTTATTCCATCCTGCACTACTTGCAAAAAGAATGAGCATTTAAAACAATTCTTAGAAAACTTTTAAAACTTTCCCTCCACATATATGGTAACCTCGCCACAAGTTTATATGCAACTTTTGTTTATATACTATCGCTTGTTAACAAGAACCAGCTTATTAAATGTACTGTAAAAAAAAATTAAATAATTTCTGCTTCCTTCGTATCTGGAGGGCGGATAGGTTCATTCTGTTATAAAGAAGTGATACCGAATCTAGCCATCTATAATGAGACTAAACAAAGCATAACACACGACATTGCACTTGCTTAATTAAATTTGAACATACTACTCAAACTGTCCATATGGCCCCAAATTGACTGTTAAAAGTACCTACTCTTTACTTCGGCCACTAGCGGAACGAGTCACATTTTGTATGTCTTCTTGCCCATCGGGATGCCCGCATATATAGACGCTTTACACACGCGCCAAATTACAGCCGCCATTGCTGACCTTCTCTTGTCTTACCGAGATGCCGAGCAACTGAAACGCTAGTTGACGATCCTCTACAAAGGCCGATGCTTTAGAAAAGGACACAGTTGAATCTAATGTGGCAATAACCTGGCCTGCTAGGGTAATGATGAAGTGAAATAAACGAAACAAGAGGAAACAAAAACTGAAGGTCAGTTATGGCGGCGTTCATGCAGAGCTGCTGCAAAGCGTCTATACTATAAACAATTCTTCTTGTCCTTGTTGCCATACGTTATAATGATGACGAATTAAAATTGTAGTATTTTTCTCGGCCTTTGACCCTAACCTTATAGTGTTTCTCGCATTGCATTTAGACGTGCCATAATGCGTCCTCTACCCCACTTTAGAGCTCCAGAAGCGCTACGGGGATCATTTACAGACAAGCTCTCAGAAATCTAACGTAAGCGTAGAGTAAATGGACCACTGCAGACCATTTAGGACTAGGAAGCGAAAAGAAAGCCCTTTATCTCTGCGACTTCGTCTAGAAGCATCTATAGCGACTGACAGGATGGGAACGCCAGGGAGGGTTCCAGTTGCTCCGCATCCAGCACAAACTTTTTATCTTTGATAACTCTTCGGCGTCTCAAGCGCGCATGCGCGGCCAAAGCACGCCGATAGGCAACGAGCACGCGCTTGAGGCCAGGCATTCTAAAGAGACGCCTTGCTGTCGTCACCTTGCCAGCGACTATAGTGCTTCGATCTTATCGAGCTCGTAAAGTCTAAACTTTTTTTCGGCGTTACTTCCGTCGAGTTACGCTGCTGTCCAGGCGAAAGTTTTTCGGAATCCAGCACTGGCCACTCTACTTCTCTGAGGTTAATGAGGTTGCAACTTAGAAGGTCCGGCGGTCGTGTCGATGCAAAAGTCGCCACGTTCTGGTGCGCAGTCCCAGAACCAGGCCCTGATGGTGCACAACCGAGAGCTTCTGCAGCACATTCACATCCTGGTGAGGCACATCCAGGAGCTCGAGAAGAAGATCAACAGGCTCGAGGGGAAAGGGGAGCACCTGCAGCCAGACCTCTCGCCCTCCCCCCTGCAGGTGGGCTTCCAACGCGTGGCTCCCGGTTTTCGTTACCGTTCGCCTACAGATGCGCATAGATTATCTTGGCGGGAGACGGTATTGAGCGCCCGCTCAAATATAGGCGTCTCTTCCCCTAGAAGCTTGACTTGTCACTTAAAATTTCTACAATAGCCGCTTCCCTTTCTCTCGTACGGTGGCTTCAACAGCACTGTCCATACTAGTGAGAAGGGAAGAGTCGCCTGTCTCTTTCTGACATTCCGATTGGCTCAAAGGGGCCATAGCATTCACTCTTTGCCAAGTTACGGTAAAACGAAGTATAGAACCAGTCTTCCTAAAGCCACGTTTTTAGGCACGTACAGTCGGGAGATCCGTCTAGACCATACGTGTCGGAATACAGAAAGTCTACGAGGCAGATTTCACCTGACTGGGATATTCTGAACGCTGAAACTCTGCAGAACGTTTGTCTGGACTCTGGGATCTTCTAAATGCTCTTGCCTCGTGCTAAGTGGAGCAGTTTTGCCCGGTACCTTGAGTTTGCGCTTGAGAGATTGTGGATTGTACAGCTTTCCGGCTTTATGAAAGACCCACACATGGTGCACGGCCGGGACGGCGGCTAGTGGGGCTGCGGTACGTGACGGAGGCGGTTTCATGTCGCTCCAAGGAGAGTGTAACTCGATGAGGCTGCCAACTGAGTCGGCGTGTATTGACGAAGCATATCGTATAGTATACTTTCCCTCAAAACGGCATGGGATTGCTCAAAGTGTGAGCAGTGGTCCGGCGGCTGCCGTCTCGGTCGCGTCCTCCGAGCATGTCTTCCGTGTCGCTGGAGACTTCATGGATGTTTTTTTTTTTTCTTCTCTAATATTCTTCCTCTCTTTCATATACTCCAGATTAATGTGTTAAATAACCCTCTCACCAGTTTTCCCTGCTAGGTCAATACTAAATGCCAACGTTTCGGGTATTCTAAGATATTGCCTCTTGTCGGTGATTTCCGGTAGGGGCCAACATTTGCTTTCTGAAAGGAGTACCAGCTTGCTGTACAGTGTCCCCTCTAGAATGAGTGTGGCAAACCTAAAGCCCGTGTACAGTAGAATACCTCTGGGTGAAACCTTGTAGGGAAGCGGAAATTTACAAAACATTGATTTGGTTCTCCACGTTTTTAAATCTTTGGTTGGCCGTTCATTCCACTTCTGATAACTGGAAGCTTTACTCGCTAAATGGAAGAGTTCTGTTTTTTCCCTCTGAACTGCATGCTAAGGTAGTGTTCCCCAAATTCTTCTACCCTGCAAGACCTATCAAAAATAGAAAATATTGCGCCGCGTCCCGCCCTTGCCGGCTTTTCACGATGCCACATGCCTTTCGATTTCGTGCACAAACAGTGATTGCCAAAATTGACAAAATTTTATTTAACAGTTAATATAGTCAAAGCAAATCAAATAAACTAAATGCTATCGAAGAAAAAAAAAAAAGAAGCGTGCCAGCAGGGATTATTTTTCATAATGAGCTTGTTTGTTACAGCGCAGTTTCTCAAAACGAGAGCATAGTTTGGACTGCAGAACTCTCAGTTGTGGCTCAGAGGACAGCTGTGACCTGTGTGCATTGTTTTCATCGAAACCATTACAGAGAAGCCAACTTCGTATTTTTTTCTAGTTTATTTATTTGGAAATATTGCCAGACACCTATACGGCGTCCAAGGCATATGTGAGCACGGTACAGCATGTACACTGTACAGTGTAGACAAACAAGGAATAACATAACATCAATGAGCTTAGGCAACATGACAACACAAAGTGACAGGTGCATACTAGAATTGCAGAAAAACTAAAGCAACACTCAAAGACACCCGCGGCACGGAAATGCAAAATTATTCTTTGGCATTACATGGTTTGGAACTGCCGTGACAAAGTTATGAGCTGATTCATAATGTTTAGAGGTAAATTATTCCATTCATGAACTTGCACAGTATAGAGGAATATTTAAGAGTCTTTTTTAGATTGTGGCACTATAATGGTTTTCTCATGCATGTTGAGTGTGAATGCCTCTAAGCCTCGATGTATTGTATTGCATGTATATTTCAAATGTAAGTTTAACATTGCCATTGACTATGTTGTAAAGAAACTCTAGGCGACTAACTTTTCTGTGTGCTTTGAGTTCAGGTATGTTTGACAGCTTATACAGTGGAAAGAGGGAAGTCAGCCTGTCTTGACCCCCATTGAATTTGTACCGACCCCCCCCCCCTCCCCTTCTTGGACTTATGACCTCCATTTTGGGAAGCGCTGCACTAAAACCCGCTCCGGACTAGGCAATTTTTTCCCAACATCTCGACGTCGCAACACCAGCAACACAGGCCCCTCGCACTCGTACGTAGCAATTGCAAAAAAACTCGAGTTGCTGCGTTTTGTCGTCATCGTAACTAAAATTGCAATTTTCTCGCACTGTTTAGACGCACAGTTACACATTAATAACATACTTTTCACAACTTTCAATGGCATTGAGAATACTACCTGATCTCCCTGAAACCATCTAAGTTGCAAAAACGATCCATTTCAAACTGAAACCAAGTAAAACCCCTGTCCAGATATTAATATAATGACAAATGGGCTAGTTGATACATAGTTCCTTTTGACAATAAGCACCACCAGACAGGGACAGAAAGTAAGAGACAAGACACCAGATATCATCAGCACCTCAGGGGTTGTGGGTCACATGAAAGTATTGCATCCTCGATTGGCTGCTGCCGCCTGAAACATCTTCGAGTCGTTGGAGTTGCTTACCCGTTTCGAGCTGGACTTGATCCCAGCAGTTTGTGTCGTGGCGCGAATAGAGAACAACTCGCCAGGCACCCTGAAATTGCTGGGAAAACGGCCCCGGCCGAAGCGGGCCCAAGGCGTTCTTCGTAGTTCCTCCCATGTGCCGAGCTTGTGCAAACAATCGACCCGGCGGATGTATATCTCTCAGATCGGCCCCCCGCCGCGCTTCCTGGACCTCCTGTCCGGGTCGCAGGGTGGGAAGACCCCTCCGCCGCTGCTGTCCCCCGACTCGTTTGACCTGGGCAGCCTTGCGTGGCTGTCGGGCTGCCACCCGGTGGCCAGCAGCAGCCCCCCTCCCCCGACCACCCCCTCCCAGACGGCCACCACCAACTCCTCTCCCTCCATCGGGAGCACCAGCGGCATTCAGCTCAGGGTGGGTGTAACACGGGACCCTTCCGGTCGGCCTTGACTGGCAGACAATAAGCGTACACCCTTGACATTGTGATCGCCAATGCGTAATCTGGCCTTTTTCCTTGGCTGCAGTCCCCACAATCCCCATCGTCTCTTAATTTGTCGGAAAGTTAAAAGACAGGAACCCAGTCTTGGAACTCTAACCCTAGTGGGTTGGAGCATCTTTAAAGACTGGCAGATGCGTTAAACGAGCATGGTAGGCTTTTCACCCTCATATTGCTTGGGTTAGTGATTCATTTCACCATAGCTGCAAGCAAAGTCAATGCTAGGAGCACGTCGTTTCAAAGGGTGCTTTCAATTCATGGGCGTGCATGAATAGCCTGTCTGTTTGAAGTGTTGCGTTTGCTCATGTAGGTTTTTTTTTATTTTATTTTTATTTTTTTGCTTTTAAAGTGTATGCTGTCCACGAAACGTTTGTGAAAATTTAAAAGTCTATGTGGAAAGCAGTGGCGAGACCCAGTAACAGATAGGGGAGGAGGAAAATGCCCATTGTTAGTGGAAAGCAGGCTTTCTTTTCTGATAACAGTATTTCTTTACATCCTTTGGCAGCTGTAGGGTTTCGAAGCTCACTGTAGGTCATTGTCTGCTACCGGGGCTCTTTAAATTATTTAGCCGACAGTTTTTAAGGGGGCACTAAATCGCTTTTTGCAGTAGTCTATGTATGGTCATGACACATTCATGCGTGGCCGATTTCTCTATTAAAGTCGGTGCCAAAGATTGTGCACTGCCAATAGGCTATCGCAGCAAGTGGTTAAGCGCCCGTTTGAAGTTGTGTAAATGTCAGTTGGAATTCCTATTTCTTTCTTTAAAGAGAGCGGGGGAAAGTCAAGTTCTATCTACTATGTGTATGAAATACAGATACAAGCATCCCAAATACAAAACACATAAAGTTTGCTCACTCTGCAGAAACTAGAAGGCAGCCTACCAACTCTCTCGCATCTGTCATTACACATTCAGGAGTGCAAACCATCCCTATCTCCTCTAATTTCTAGCTGGACGATCTGAGCTTCTCCGGAGCCATGAAACCCGCAGATCAGCAGCAACAGCAGTCGCGTGCCTGTCCCCCGCCCCCATCCCGTTCTCCCGGCAAGGCGGCTCCGGCGAGCCTGCCCGACCTGCCCGTGTTTGCGGACGGCGGCAGCGGCGCGCTGCCGTCGCCCCCGCCTTGGTCGGCCGGACCGCTGACCTCCTCTTCCGGAGGGAGCACGTTTGTGCGGCAGTTCAGCATGCCCCTCTCCAGCCAGGAGTCGGGGCTGAACATTCGACTGCCCGACATCGGCCGCCTGACCATCGACGAGAGCGAGACGCCTTCTTTCAAGTTTTTCGGCGGGAGCTCTAGGGCGTTCAACAGGAGTTGAGCGGCGGCCCAAACTCGTTCATCTATATTTCGCATCTCTCGTAGCGTTTACCTTTTTCGTGCTCTTCTCGGGAAGGGAGCTGTCTCGCGGAGTTGCCAAAGCTCATCGGCAGGGAGAGGTGTGCGGTCTGATCCTTGGAGCAGTCCTCAAGTTGTCATGTATGTTTGTGATTTTGGTTATCAATTATATACTCTGCTTCCAGAAACCCCGATGTAATCGTGCAGTTCATTTTGGAATTGACAACGTCGGCAATTCCTGGGGACTTGGTTGAATGTTGAAAGAAGGGGAGCTTGCTATTCTTCTTTACTAAGGGCGCGAACCGGGTGTATATTTGTGTAGGGGCTAGCACCGCGTAAAATGTTAGGTCATGCGCAATTGCTGCTTCTGCATTAGAACATTTTGACATCTGAGTGTGAAGTTGGATTCACACTGGCACATTCGTCACGAGGTATTTTTAATTTAACTCGCATACCACTAAGAGTGGTGTTTATTTCTTATCCATTGTCAGTTTTCGGACACTCCCGTGTCTGTGCACCTTCGGACTGCATGAAAGGTGTTGTATCATTGAAATTTGCCTTTGGATAAAATTTAGAATGTGTCAAATGCCTCTAAGCTTGGAATTTTTTTTATCTTCCTGCAGGTTCAGGAAAGTAGTAGATAGAAAACGCCTGAAGGGGATTCTAATCTCAATCAACACCATGTATGCCCTCCAAGTCTTATGAGTCGTTAAATGACTGGTTTATGTTTGTTCATGAGGACAACATTGATACAAAAAGTACCTGTGCCACAAGGTTCAAGTTACATTTCTCCTGATAATCTTTATGTTTCAGTTTGAGCGTTGAGCACAAGTTGTCCGATGCCAATGAAATGTCTGCCCTCTTTAAGTGGCATCAGCAATTGCCAACGAGGTGTTTTGTGATGTCGGTTTTTGCCTCGCGACGTTCTTCGGCTGCCAAGAAGGGCTAAAGCTAATCTGGAGCTGTTCGGGAGCTGCCTCTAATGTCAATGTCGCTTCCTGTGTGCTACGTCTTTTGACGCTTAGTTTTATTGCCTTAGCTGTGCCCCATCAAATCTGAGTTTATCAGGGGCCACTTTCTGATAAGCTGTTTCATTATATGGATCAGACAGGCGAGGGTTACATCACACATTCCTGAGTTCCGCTGCCTCCCTCAACCCTAGGGTCCTTTTTCGTACATCAGCATATTGAACATTTTTCTGTTCATATTGGATTGGTTTGCCTTTGTGGCATCACTGTAGATAACCATAAGGCTCCATGTATTTATGTTATGACCTTCATGAAGCTCTGCTGTATTTGCCTGGTGAGGCAACATATTGGTGACATGACATATTTTACCTTTTTCAGTCAAATGTTTACACTTTTGCTCGTTCAGAAGTTTAGTGTTGTCTTCTTTCTCCATTAGATGCAAGCCATTCTGTGCAAATGCTAACACTCTAAGCTAACTTTTGGAAACCAAGACTGAAGTACAAAAAGAAAGTCGTTTGTGTGCATTGGTATAGGTGTCTTCAAGTTGGAAAGCTGTGGGTGAAATGTGCCATTGATTTGTGTTGTAATTGCATTGCCATTGATGTGCCAGCTAACGTTTCTGTTATACTCATCATAGCGTTGGTGATGTTAGCCATGTTGAGATGTTATATGAGTGCTTTTCATTTACTTTTACAGCATGTTTCACTTGACTAACCATTATATTTGGATAAAACAGTGCCATTGTGTTGACTGTTTGAAGTGCTGTGTAGTGGTTAAGTTTTGGAGTGTGTTCTATACATGAGTACGCTATAATCCTTACAGTCCCCAAGTTCTGGCACTTTTAAAAGTGGATTGTTTCTGTGTGTTTAGTAGGGAATTTAGCAAATATTTTTATGACCACAGTTATAGAGTAGCGTACGATGCACTAACCAGTGGAACCGCCCGATGCAGATGTGAGCTACAAGTGAAAAGTTTGTGAGACCACATCACATCTGTATCAGGAAGTTAACTGTAAGGATCGGAGGGGCATTTATTGGTGATGAGTAAGGGCATTACATTTTTAAAGGCGCATTTCACCATGATGTTTTATACTCATCAAAGTACAATGCAAAGCTTGGAAATGTTGATCTGTGCTACCGTTTCTGAGTGTTTTCTGCCAAGGAAGGTTCAACAATTGCTGCTAGTTATAAGGGCTTTTTTTACAGTGCCCATGCAGTTCTTTGTGTTAACTTTGTACAATCTGTAGCATTGCTATGCTGTCTCGTTTACTTAAAAAATATTATATGTACAACATTGCATGCCATCTGAGAATACTCGTTTTTAGTGCTATTTTAGATGACACCCTCCACTATAGTGAGCATTATTAAATAAAGCTTTTTGAAGGGTTTATCTACTTTCATACATTTTGCACTTTGAAACTTGGCTGATCTTGGATGGATCATTGTTTAGTACTGCATTTTGGCAGATCATATCACCAAGTTCATCTAGGACTAGGTGATGCATGTCCGTTATCAGCTCTACAATTGAGGCAACAGAAGAAGAGAAACATGTAGGATCTGGGAAATGCTGCATCTTATTGATGCGACTTCACATCTTTCGGAAGCAGTTGCGAGCGGTTCGGTAAATGCGTATGAACGTCGACATAACAGAAGGTCGGTCTAGAACACTGGAACTCCCGAAGTTCCATGCCACTGGGACTTCCAAAATCGGCGAGAAAAAAAATGTGAGTATGGCCACTACAACGAGCGACAGGAAGGTCGCTTGCTTTTCACTGGTTCTAGGAGAGCAGCAAGGTGTGTGGAAACCCCGCGTCTTGTTCTCCTCTTCCTTGGTGCACTCAACTACTGTCAGTATTTGGTGCAGTGGTGCCATGTTATTTTGTGCAGTTTGGGTGGCAAAGCTGCTTAGTGGGTTGCAATTTTTTGCACCCCGTTCGACCGGCCAGTTATGAAGAAGTTAACGATGCATGCCTATAGTTATTGGTGCCTATAGTGCGCAAGCGTGCAGGCGTCTGCAACTGATGTGGAGGAGTTTTCACACACCATGAGGTATTTTTGAAAAGTAACTAGGCTCCCTGTAAAGGTGGTGTCCCAGGCAAGTTGTGTCGGGACTTCTCTATGTTGTCCCCTTTTGTGTGATGAACTCAGCAGTGCTCCAGTGCTGCCAGCCCATGGAGTGAAAAAAAAAAATGTCTTGGTCTTTGCAACACCCTTGCATGTTGCATAGTGTTCATCACTACGTCAACATCGTGAAAATTCAGGGAACGGATGAAAGTTTGACGGTGTGCAACCCAGCGGGGAGGGTACTGTAGGTGGGATAACAGCTTGAAGTCGGATATTCTTGGGTCTGCTGCAAAATGGTGTGGACAGTGTGACAGGGCACTTTTGACTTGGAGAAAGACCGTATTACGTTCCAGTTTTCCGTGTCGTTTCTCGGGAATGGTGGCCTGCAATTTCTGCAAGAGGGTTGTGCAACAAACTCGCAAAGTTTCATTCTTATTCGTCAACTCGCTTCCATCCCGTATGAATGTTCTACCGTTTAAGGTGTTAAAAATGTGCTGCGACGACTTGGACCCATCGCAACACCGTTCTTCCATAAAGCTCCCTTTTAACTTTCAAATAAAGCGCCGCCAAAGCAAAAAAAAAAAAAGAACACCTCATTTGGTGTTGAAAGGGTGTGATAAGGGTGCAGTGCATGGAAGTGACAATGCACCCGTATAAAACCGCTTAACGTTTTCTTTTTCTTTTTTTTTATCGTGTATTGAAATTATGACAATTATCATATCTTCCAAAAATTGTTGCCTGCAAAAAGCTGGCGAGAATAAATTACCATATTTAGAAGCTTAGTAATAGCTGAGATGGTTCTTGGCGAAATGACTGCCTACCAAGTAATTCCAGTGTCGCGTGCTTCAGGCCTCTGTTCCTTCTGTCCTTATGTGAAATATACAAAATGAAGGTGCAAGGGCTGCATGTGGTGCGTTATTGCATTATACACTCTAAGAAAAAAGATGATCTAAAAGGACTAATGGCAGCATTTGGTCCTCTGAACTCCCATTTGCTCCCCGAAGAGACCATCTGGTTCGAGTTAGGTACGGTGCGCAAATGCTAAGGACTAACTGCACTCGACCGGGACTAACCGAAAGGCGCGCGGGAGAAAAAAGCAGCCGCGGGATCAAAAGTACGGGAGCAAAAGCAGCGAAAGGCACGCGGGAAAGAGCGCGGGAGCAAAAGACGCGCGGACAAGATGGCGGTGTCTGCTGCATAGCCGATGGCCAGCGTTAGCGACGCACTTACTGTTCCAGAACGCCGGGGGAAATATCCACAGACAATCGTAGCATTAAAAATTGCAGAAGGGAAGCTGACTTTATGACGATCGCAGCCTCTGTTCCAGCACGTCGTGGAAGCTTACTGGAAGCTAGAGTTCCTGTATAGGCTCCCTACGGGAGCCAGAGTTGCGCGTTCATGCATGGCATGTGGATACAGCTCCTCACACGACTGAATGCGGCGAATAGCAGCGCCGCGCGCCTCGAGCGCGCGGCGCTGCTATTCGCCGCATTCAGTCGTGTGAGGAGCTGTATCCACATGCCATGCATGAACGCGCAACTCTGGCTCCCGTAGGGAGCCAGAGTTGCGCGTTCATGCATACGGCACGTTCCCTGGCGTACCAGCGGGGGTCTGTTCCGGCGTACGTTCCCTGGCTCAAAAGCCAGGGAACGTACGCCGGGGCGCGTGCAACGGCTACTTTGCTGCACGACACTTGATACGGCTCCTCACGTGGTCGGATCTCGGCGAATAGCGGCGAGGGCGGCACGCGGCGCGTGGAATCAAACGCGCAACTCTGGCTCCCGTAGGGGCCTATACAGGAACTCTAGGGGGCCCTAGCGTTCCTGTATAGGCTCCCAGCGGGAGCCAGAGTTGCGCGTTCATGCATGGCATATGTGGATACAGCTCCTCACGTGACTGAATTCGGCGAATAGCAGCGCCGCGCGTTCGAGGCGCGCGGCGCGCGGCGCGCTCGAAAGCCGGGGAACGTACCGCCGGGGCGCGTGCAACGTCTACTTTGCTACACGACACTTGATACGGCTAGGGTGACCACCCGTCCCGCGACTCGCGGGACTGTCCCGCATTGAGTGCTTGTGTCCCGCGTCCCGTAAGCGAATTCTCAAATCTTCAAAATGTCCCGCATTTCATACTGTCGTAAAATTCACTCAGCAACTTATGGCGCTGCCGAACAATGGGGCACGGGGAAGCCCGGAGGTCGTTGGTAATCGTGTGAATCGCAATGGTACACCATTTTCTATCCAAGCATTCCGGGAAGCGACCGTCGTTCTTGAAGGAGAACCGACGCGCATGCTCCGTTGTGCCTCTCCCCTTGGTGGCAAATTATTCTAAGAAAGATTGCTCGCCAAAAGTTTCAATATATTGTAATTACTTTCAAATCGCTCTCTCAATGCAAAAGGGTTGCTGTGGACCTTTGTTTTAGTGAACACAGCCACACAAGCAGAGCCTGCAACTCGGAACGGTCGAAAAAGAACATCATGTTAAAACTTTGTGTTTCACTATATTGATAAAAGTAAGCGTTGACAGGAAACAATAACCCGAAAGAGATTTAATGTTTCTTATTTTCATTTGATGCATTGAGTTCTGCTACGGTCGATATTTATGTTTTCAACTTCGACACATTTAATAACATATTTACCATAAGAGATATATTACTTTTAGTAAAAATTAATTGAGCTTAATTGCTGCAATACAATTAGCAGGTGTATAAACAGCACATGATGTTAAATGTATTAACAAAGCCTCGGTTCGTGGTGTGTGTGTTAAAAAATTTCCTCTACCCCCCCCCCCCCCCCCCCCCCCCCCCCCCCCCCCCCCCCCGTGTCCCGCATTTCGCTAGCAGGAAGGTGGTCACCCTAGATACGGCTCCTCACGTGATCGGATCTTGGCGAATAGCGGCGAGGGCGACACGCGGCACGTGTAATCAAACGCGCAACTCTGGCTCCCGTAGGGAGCCTATACAGGAACTATAGTGGAATGGTGGAAGCTGGAAGCTAAGCGAGCTAAAGTGCCCTCTATCCTGGGAAAAGTGGCGCCATTCATTGTTGTAGAAATGCTCGACACAGATGCCGTGCGCCACTTCTGGGAAATCAGTGCTGCGCTGTGCCGCCTAGATCTTCCCAAGGGCTGCACGCTGCACGTGCCTCGTGCCTCGACGCACCTTTCCCTACTTTTGAAACATGAAGGGGCTGCTGACTCAAGCGCCGCCATTGTTGATGCACTAGTGACCGACTAGCCACGCGGTTTTTGACCATTGTCCTGGCGTCCTTCCCCTTTGCATTCTTTTGAACGTGCTTTGAAACGTTTACACACACACACACACATATATATATATATATATATATATATATATATAGTTTTTGTTTGTTTAACTGGAATAAAAATAGCCACGTAGCACGTGTAGGGTGACCACATTCCTCGGGGTAGAAAACGGGACATCGCGACGAGGGGGAGGGGGGGTTAAAGGTTAAGATTGGGAGAAAAAATGTAATGAAATAACTGCTCTTATTTTAAAACGGTACCATTCCACTGAGCCCTAGGGCCTAGGGAACAGTCGCACTTACAGTTCAGTTGCATAAACTTATGGAAGGTCTTGCTTCGGATCCTTCGTTGGTGTGGGCCACCCTGGTGTGGGGCAAGACTCGGTTGTAAAAGTCTGCGCAGTTCAACTCGTTTTGGTTTGCTTCAACTCGCTTGGCGCCAATTTCGAAGCTATGCACTCATGCGAAAACGGGACATGATACTTTATTGGCCCAAAATGACGGGACGGCAGAAGCGGTTTTCAAAAAAGGGACTGTCCCGGCCAAAGCGGGACGTCTGGTCACCCCAAGCACGTGGTAAAAACGGTTCCAAAGACAAGAAACATTCATTCTGGTTTCTTTTCTTTTTGTATTCTTTACAATCTGTGTGTTGTTGTTCTTCGCAAAAGACGTTGCGGTCGCCACGGAAACGCGCATGCGCAAAGTAGGGCAGTCTATGCGGGGAAGCGAGAACATGGCTGCTGGGAGCCTATGGGGACGCTGTTTTATAGACTGTCACAAATAATTACTGTGTGTACCGTTACTTCTTGGTAGAGATACACCCCTTGGAAGGTTTAGCAACAGTATTGGAGAACAATATTGTTGCGAAAGCAGCACCATATTTGTAACATCGTTCACAGTTGAGATGGTCACTGACAAAACGACTCCTTTCATATGATGAGTATAAAAAAGCGCATGGGTAGGCTTTGGGGTGGCGATAGAACAACGTTCTGTACGATCTGTGCTGCCCGTGGGCCTTCACAGTATATGGAAATCCCGCATGGCCGTCCGCAATGCAGATGCTGATGCTAGAGAGGTTAGAGAATACTTCGGTGAATCTACGCAATATGTTCTAGAAGTGTGGAAAGCTGAACCCATGCGTACCTGATTTTGTATCGGTACTCAACGATGTGACTCGCTTGAAACCATTTTACTTGCGGCAGTCGCTGGAGCGACTAGCAAGTGGTTTTTCGTCGCGAAGCGACCAAAACAGGTCGCGACTGTTTTTGGGCAGTCGCTCCCTGACCGATCTTTCAAGTCGCAAAAACGAGTTGCTGGACGGCGGAGCCGATCACAGTCTCGTTGGAAGTGATGCGTGCGTTTGTTTACATCTGGCACTGCTTCCTGCGGGAAATAGCGACGCGCGCACGGCTGCGGAAACTGGCAGGAGGTTCTGCGGAAGCTCCTAAATTAATGCTGTCAAAGACTATCTGTTTCCTTACAATAAACGGCATTCCGACTACAAGGATCGGGACACAAAAGCTGCAGGCCTGGAACGAGATCGATGACATTTTCGGCATGGCAGGTACGTACAATATCACGGTTGTGGGAGCGCGCATATAACCGTTGTTTTACATTCCGAACCACCATTAAGCTTTTTTCTTTTTTTTTTTTTTTGCTTTTTTTCTGCCGGCGCCTTTGATCCGAAAAACCTAAGCCGGCTCGGGAAGGTGTTGATTACTATCCGTTAAGTTGGCAGCCAGGGCCGGATTAAGGTACGGGCTAAGGGGG